GCTCGATACTGTCCAGAGGAGGGCGGTCCGACTGATCGATGGCTCTTCTCTAACTGACGTCGGCGATCTAGCTCTTTTCTACCGCTACAACAACGGGCTTTGCTCCTCAGAGCTCTCTTGCATGATGCCGCCGCGCGATGTGCCTGCCAGACAGACCCGCCAGACTTTGGCGTCCCATCCTAACGGTGTCGAACTTCGTACATCCAGAACTGGCCGATACTGCCGCCCCTTTGTTACGAGGGTGTCGAGATTGTGGAACAATCTACAAGAGGAAGCTTTTCCCAGTTCTACTAACCTTAGGCAGTTCAAAACTCGTAATAACAAAATTTCTTTGGGATCATCATAGCAGCCGCGGTGTCCCGGCATTTAGGCTTCTGCCTGCGCGGCTGCTTCGGTATAAAGTGAAATTCTGTCAGAAAAAAATGATTTCAAGTAAATTGACTTGATACTGTTCTACGCATCCTTAACGTTTATTTTCAATTTTCCATACGTACTATTAAAAAATTCTCGACATGGTTTTTGAATCATTATTGTTATTCAGGGTGTTAATACTACACCTGGCGAAACTACATATGTCATATAAATATGGGTAATAAAATTTCCTCTTAGTTGAATTTATAATTTCTAGATCAATGATAAATTATATCTGTGAGCCGCTTTCCAGTGCTTTTGAATTGAGAGTTGTATGCACCCGGAGTGTGAGGCTTCCGAACTGCTCTAGCAAATGTGTACGAGCATGCGACGAATAAAAACCTAACCCGTTTTTTAATGTTTTGCTTTGACTTTGACAATTTGTATCACACTGCCAAACTAACAAGGAAAATGTAAACACATCTTGCCTTTATTTACAGAAGCATTTTCAGACTATCCAATTGATACCTGATGATGCTTTCAGAATAATGGTGCAACACGACAGAGGTCTGCATTTTTATTGTAAAGCTTCTGGATAAATGTGTCGAATTCATATTTCAGTGTAGACATTCAAAATTATTTTCAGTGTGCCAACTATAAGCCGCTATGAACTTGCCTTCTTACACTCTCTTGTGATCTTCATTATTAAGGAACATCTCAAATGTACGTTGGGACTCTGGATCATAACATTATCAGTTTCTTTCCATCGTCCATTGTCTGGTATCTGTTTGATGTGAGTTTAATGGAGAAAACAAAAACAATGAAAAAACATAACTTAACAATCTTGACACATTGTCATTTTCGTTATCCCCACTATTTTAGAGCGTATAACACCGAATAAAAAGCTACTGAATGAGGGGGGAGGGGATTTTAAAAATGAGTAGCTCAGGTGCATGACACTCTAGATCTTTATAGAGCAGTGGAACGGTATTGACAGGTGGTGGGCAGCACCGAGTTACTCCGAGTAACAAAAATGACGCCCTGGAAACCGCCCATGGAGTGGTAAAACTTGGCTTATGTACTAATGACAGCGTAGATAATACATACAATTCTTGAGGCTGAATTTGCACTAGTGGCGAAGAAACTGTAGAAGAAAAAAGAAAAATATGCTCTACGCCACTATCTATTTTCAAGCATCTACTGCATTTGAAATAAGAACTTACGAACTTGAGAACTTTTTGTCAGACCTTCCTTTTCGAGAAAATCAGTTGGAATATTTGAAGAAGAATACGGATAAAAATTACAACTTTGGAAACCAGCATTAGTGAAATTCGACATTGAAAGTTATGTATTTCATGCATATTCATGTTTTATCCTGCACTGATCTTGTCAGTGGCACAAGAATGTACAACACCGTGTATCTTAGTTACGGTACATCTTCGGGAATATGTCTATATGAACGTTTTTCTTATAACAGCTCAATCACATGACATTGGCTAGGTATCATTATCAACTCCGTGTTTGTAACTAAATGAGTATGCCAAATTTTAAAGTATACTAAGTGACATATAAATCCGAACACTCGGTTTAAATGGTTTTATTTTAATAAAATTTTGTATAAGTACTTAATGAAGCATAATAAGTAAATGATAAAATTTCAAAATGATTGCACTGCTTTAAAGCCCTTTGACCTTTAATAATGTGTGGATGCACGCTGATGTGCTACGCATTCTCCAACGCGCCTAGGCATGCTTCTGATCAGGTGGTCAATGTCCTCCTGTGGTATCTCATTCCAGGCAACCACCAACTCCTCTCGAAGTGCTTCTAGAGTCTGAGGAGGACGTTGCAAATTGAGCAATCTCCTACCCATCATATCCCATACGTGCTCAATTGGGGATAAGTCGGGAGATCTTGGTGGCCATGGTAACAATGTGACATCATTATGTTGAAAGAAGTCTATTGTGACTCTTGCAACATGTGGTCGGGCATTATCTTGTTGGAAAGTTGGATCTGCCAGGGTGTCAAGATAGGGTAAAAGATGGGGTTCTAGAACTTCGTGGATATAACGCTGCGCCTTCATGTTACCTCTGATGAAGATTAAAGGTGACCTGGAACCATAAGCTATAGCACCCCAAACCATAACTCTAACAGTGTGATGAACATGTCTTTCAACAAAAAACTGTGGATTCCTCCTTTCACCACGTCGCCTTCTAACCCTGGCACGACCATCGTGCATGCCTAAACAAAATCGAGACTCGTCACTAAAGACAATACTGTTCCATTCCTGATCCCAGAGTGACCGTTGTCTGCACCACTCAAGGCGATTACGTCGGTGTTCTCGAGTTAAAGGGAGGACCCAGTGTGGCCGGTATGAAAACAAGCCAAAACTTCTCATTCGTCGGTAAACACTTCGGATGCCAATAGGTCTTCCGTGTTCTGCAAACCATTCATTTGCAGTGGACCTGGTAGTGGAGAAACGGTCCCTTAAGGCCAACAATGTTAGGCGGCGATCTTCACGGTCTGTTGTTCTACGGTGGCGTCCAGTGCCCCTTGCTCTTTGCGTACGGCCTTCTCGAAGCCATGCCTGACAACACCTAACCACAGTGTCTACACTTCTTTGCACTCTAACTGCAATTGCCCGAAAGGAAAGTCCAGCTTCCCGTAGTCCCACTATACGGCCCCTATCAAACTCACTAAGTTGACGAAATCGTACAGGTCTCCGTACTCTAGGCATCGTAACCGATCGTAAAGGATGTCAAGAACCAAAATCCGCCAACGTTGATTCTTTACTGCGGCTGAAATATTCATTATTAGAGCGTTAGTGAATTAAAAAAAGCAGTATAAAAACCGGAATGTCCAACTGATAAGGCTGAAAATTTTTTCACTTGTTATTTACAGTAAGATAAATACATTCACCAACTTTTATTAAAATAAAACCATTTAAGCTGGGTGTTCGGATTTATATGTCACTTAGTATATTTTGTTTTCTATTTTTTTTTCAATAAGGTCCTTTGGTGATTTTTTTGATTATTTCAAATCTTTCACATCTCCAGAAAAGCATTTTGTCTACACTATAACATTCTCAGAGAGCTCTAAAAAGCACAAAATCGAAGTTTGTGCTTCTCGTAATTCTGTGGCTAATGCACGGATTTTAAAAGAATGACGTCAATTACGTAGACTCTGCACTGTTCACGCAACGCTGCCAGGCCCATATACATACTCCCCATCCATTTGATAACGCTAACGCTCGTTTCTTGCCTGTCCTAACTATCGACCATCTGGCAACTCTGCGAGACTACACCAGTCAAACACGTCAGAAGCGCCAGCCACGATACCAAAACATCCCTGCCGGCAATACAGCTGGACGCACGGCAGGGTTCGGCGTATGAAAGTCGCCATTGCATCGCATCGTCCCGATCGACCGCGCATCCGGTCTACAAATACTTCTTTAAGTTATAAGGTCAAAAAATTACCGTCGTTGGAAGCGTATAAATATGCTGCCCCAAAAATGAGATATACCTTCCCCCACCATACAACGCCTAACCCCCCATTTTCATCTCCTACAAAATATTTCTGAAAATGATCAGGAGCCTCTCAAACATCAAAAAATAAAGTTTGAGCGATTTTTATTTTTTTCGTATTTTTACATTAACTCCCCCGCCACTGGACCAAAGTTTTATCGACCTTGGCATAGTAACCTTTTGTGAAAATTTCATCCAAATCCGAGCACCAATTTCCAAGTTATATGCGGCCCAAAGATTAGCGGACAGATTGAGAGGCGGAAAGACCGACGGAAATGTGTGACATGGTTTTTTGTCATATAACATACAAAAATATAATATCTGATTTTCGAAACTTTTCGCGATTACGATACTTCCTCGCCAGTTGGAGTGGGATCTTAAATTAACAAAACGAAATTATCATCTTGTAATGTGAATATTGCCTGAAATAAAATGTCTACCACCGCCTCTTATACACAAAACGCTGTCGAAAAGGTTTGGGTCTTGCTGATGCTTCTCCAGCATTGTCTGACAAAACGAAACACGTTTTCAGTAGAAAGAACCTACAAATGTTATACTATTTTTAAAAGAGCATTAAATAGGCTACATTTTAAGATCATTTGCTGATTCAGCCTGGTAAATTTTTTTCGCAGTAATTAGACAAACTTTAGTAAAGGTTTTCACAGTGAAACAAAATAAAATATTTTTTTTAGCTTACCGTGTTAGTTTACAATGAAATGAATACTTGGTGTCTCAACCAACTATTAATGGTAGCCTAGGGAAAAAATTATAAGTTAGTAGTTCTTTATAGCCACAACAGGCAAAAAAGGAGCAAAACGTATTGATTTTTTTGAAAAAACTTGAAAATGTTAATATCTCGAAAACGAGAAAACTTTTACTAAGGTCATGTTGATTTCATCTGATCGATCTAAAGCCAATCTACCTCCTGTGTCACCCTGTATATGATTCCCTCAGGAAATGGAGTCCTCTGAATATGAAACTCACATGATAAGTTTCAGGAGTTTGTCCTGTACATACTTTGTATTCATCTCTCTGTTATGCTAGACTTCTAATAAACTTGTATTTTTTACTTTGTTTCATTTGGCTGACATGTGTTACACGTTTTGTATTGCATAACTTGTTTTTCAGGTATCCAGTACCGGAATCGAAGTCCTCACCTACCTGGCAGACCGCCTAGGTAGCGATTTTAGGCCATATATACAAACCGTGCTACCCCACGCGGTAGATCGACTAGGAGACGCTAAGGATTCTGTTAGGGAAAAGGCGCAGCTTTTGTTGCTGAAACTGCTGGAAAGAGGCGCCGTGCAGCCTCAGCAACTGCTTGACAAGCTACGACCTCATTTCCAACACAAAAACGGCAAGGTTCGAGAGGAGGTGCTCAGGTGTCTGGTTAATACTCTCAACGAGTAAGTGCTGTTTCTATGTCGCCCTCAATCGCAAATTAAACGAATTTCAAGATAGAGTTTTTTATAAAACTTCTATTTCAGTCATCTTTAAGTCGATTAAATGCGTACATAGATAGATGGTTTATTTCCATGGAGTGTTGTCAAACAGAAAATATGCATAAAACAAACCAAGATAACACTGACGACAAAAAACGCATTTGACAAATTAAAATCTGAAATCCATATACTCTGACCGAGGAGAAAGGGTGGTCTAAAAAGATTTTTTTAGCTTTGGTTTTCAAAAAGGCTTACTGATGATATAGACTTTATATTTGTTGGAAGTTTGTTATGTAACTTAATCATCATTATTCTTGGACCTTTTGATACCAACTTGTGACACAACCAAATTGAAGTTTGTTCGGAAACTGTATGCTGATATAGACGCTTCTCTAGATACATACTGTGAATAATTTGATTTGATGTATTATGGATCGGAAAATGTAAAAAGAAAATAAGGACATAATCCCTGATTCTTTAAATAGCAGTCGGCAGGAGAAAAGTCTATTCTTAAAATACATGGCTCTTAGGACTTTATTTATATGGTATTTGTCCCCCAGCTAAATCGAGTGAATATGTGCAAAATAGTAGATTTGAAGAATATCTTTTATCAACCACAGTTCTTAATCGCTAGATCGTGAAACAGTGAAAAGATAGTCTACGCAAGATCATGATTGATACTCATCAAATATATCCCCAAATATTTCAAGTTTTGAAGTACCACGTAACATTAACTCAGTTTTTTTTAGCATTCAGTATGAGTCCATTCTTATTACAGTATTTTAGCATTAGACGAAATGTCATGCAACCAGTTGTACTCAGGGCTTCAGTTTTCTCAGCTGTCACTATCAACGTAGTATCGTCGGCGTATGAGGAGTGAAAAATATTCCAGTGATACTTACATATTGTGGAATAGTAAATGACATTGCATGAAAGGATGAACTTTTGATGTATCGGCAATCCACATCGCTGTTGCAAAACCTCAATTGTGTTGCTTATAATATCAAGTAAAATAGATTGAAATAGATTTCTTCAGCTGGTTGGAAATGTAGTGTTGAGCTGTTAACCGACATAGTTTATTGATCAATGATTTTTCATAAAAGATATTTCAGTGAATAATGTAATGTAATCGCTAGTTTTCTATATTTATCAGACATCAAAACAGGACTATATCGCAAATACTGGTTTTGCATAGGTTAAGAATATTTTTTATAAAAGCTGTATGCAAGTAAAGTACCGGGTACTCGGCGGAGTGATTTGCTCTGGGTTATATCACCTACTGTTAGAGCTATTAAGATAATATTTGTGTTTTTGAAATGTTCCGTTCTCAAAATTGATTTACGTTTCAATTAACGCACCACAATTGTGCACCTTAGACAATTTTTTATGAATAAACCATCGGAGGTTGGTATATTTATGGTGTTTTCAGAAGTTATGATTTTGGAAATATATGCATATATATTCACATTACATTCTTTGCTTTTGATATAATTTCCTAAACACAAGAAGAAGCACATTTGCAAGATATTCAAAAGGTATATACTTATATGCACATTTTTTTGAAGATAGGCATCAAGACACCCCAAGCTGCTCAATTAAAAAAAATGCCTAGTGGAATCGGTGCCATCACGAACGATGAACTTTGCGAGAAGGTTTTCGAAGAAACAAAACTGCTGGATATTGTAGCGAGACCAGTTTAGATTCGGGAAGGACTAAACCTAAATTATTCTAACGTAAGAGTAAAGAATTTCTTTGCAAAACGTGGGATACTCGTTATTCCTGTTACCTTTACTCATAAAAAGATTCAAAATGGTGTATCACTGTCCCACCATTTCATGACAATGAAAATTGGGTTCCAAATTAACGATGCATATTCGAATTTCGATCTAATATATGCAGAATATAAAACATTGACTGTGGGCGGATGAAGCTTCTGCAGTTTCTCATAATTAAACGCCCGTGAAGCTTAATTCACCTTTTGAGCTATATGGAGTGACAAATCAAGTTTATGGTCACCCCCAATCTTATAATTAAATTTACAAACAGACGTTGTTCCTGGACTACACTACACTTAGATGCATTAAGAAACTAATTATTCTCATTACATCAAGCTACTAAAGCTGAAGTGCAATACAATCAGCCTCAGAATCAATAATGCTGAATAATTTTAAATCATCCACAAAGCGGAGTTTATTAAAACTTAAATATTGCACAATGTCATCAATAAATAAGGTAAACAATGAAGGTCCAAAGTTTGATACCTGAAGCACTCCCGATTTGGTTACATATTGGTACGACTTGAAACTATTAAAGTAACATATTGTTTCCTTTCATAAAGATAAGTTTAAATAAGCGCTAAAGTTGATGAATGGAATCTATCTCTAATGAAAAAGCTTATTTAAAAGTACTATACGCCATGGTCCACCCTGGCTCACCCTATCGAGCGCCTTAGCAAAATAAGTATATACTACATCTCGTTGACATTGCCGACCGACAAATTAAATAGCGAATTTAGTAAAAATTGTTAAATTAGTTACTGTGGATCTCCTAGTAATACTTCTTTTACAGATACGGAACCAATTCGCTCAGCCTATCCAAGTTCATTCCGGACATCGCGGGACTCCTATCTGACCCAACACCTTCGGTGCGTGATACCGCCTTCAATACGCTGGTTGAACTGTACAGGCACGTGGGGGAAAGGCTGAGGATAGACCTGCAACGTAAACAGCTGGTGCCAGCTTCCAAATGGTCAGCGCTCACCGCACGGTTCGATGAAGCTAAACTAGCTGAAGAGTTGTTACCTACTGCTGTCAAAAACGTTGGTGATGGTAAGTGGTTGAATACTACTACACTCATACACGCATATTATGATAGAACGGAATGGTTGGTCGAACCTTCATTAGCTTTGACACATGTTAGTGGCAGGAAAGTTACCAAATATCTTTCTCGAAGATGAAGGCGGCGTTTTTCGATCTGAGGCCCTCTTATTGCCTTACGTAGTCATCAACTTCAAGGTGTTCTTATTTCACTACTTGCTAAGCGAACCCATTTTGGTTAAAACGTTACACGTACATTTCGGCCACAGAATACAAAGTTACCGGTAGAGGGGGCACTCGCGAAAAAGCTTTTGATCTTCTGAATAAAGATGCTGGCATTTTTCTAACCCGGATCATTTTTTTGGGTGCTTCATTGAAGAGGCCCAGCACTTTTTTATTGCTTTATACAGGGTTGCGCTGCCGTACTTTGGCGCACGTACGAAACAGGTTGTCAAAAAATTGTTTGTAACGGCATCGACTAATTTTATTTATACAGGGTGATTCATGTTGCTATTGTTTTTATGGCATGAACAATAAATGGCAAATACAGGGTGTAAACGTTATGATAGTCATTATTTAAATGGGTGATAGAGGGGGTTAAAAGAAGCAAAATGTTTTATATAACATGGGGGTCAAAGAGAATAGCGACTTTAAAGTAAAATAAAATCTGACAATGCCGCAATGCCAGACGCAAATTACGACGGAACGCAGTGTAAATAGAGATGGAGTTTGTTATTTTTGGCTCTTAGGTATTATTTCATTATTTGATAATGTACTCGTAAAATGCAAACAATTAAAAAAAAACGGTCTTACCACTAACTGCCTCAGCGCTTCACCTGGGGTGTGAAAGTTTATTGTACGGATTAAAAAAATCCACTTATAAATAGGGAACACAATTTTGATACATACATTGTTTTTCTTTTTAAAACCCACACGGCACGTTTTTGTATTTAAAGAAGGTGTTCAAAATGTCGTCCTTCACTTTCCACACAAGCTTCATTACGACGAACCCAGTTTATTCTTACTCTAGGTCCTCGAAGTTATTATTTCAGCCGCATTAAATTTTTTTGGCGAAGTTGTGCTTCAGTTTCATCGGATTGAGGTCAGGAGATCTTGCTGGCCATTTTCGAGGATCAGGGGCATTTCGACCGATCCAGCGATTTGGATAATGTTCATTCAAATACTGAATGACGCCTCTAAAAATGTGAGGTGGTGCCTCATCATTTTGTCTAAGGTCTGTTCCAAAAGTAATGGTAGGTTATTGGCTAGAAAGCTAAGGTATCCTTCTCCTGACAACTTTGGGGGTATCTGTAAAGGGCCAATTACCTGATCGTCAAGAATACCCGCCCAAATATTTATTTTAAAACGTTATCGGAAATGACCTTCACAAATCGTATGAGGATGTTCTTGGGCCCACGTGTGAGTATTATGAAAATTTAACATCCCGTCTCGCGTAAAAATAAAAAATCCGGATTTTTAATGTTTTTATACAAAAACCACTGACAGAATGTGTTAGTCTGCGAGGATAGTCTTCTGGTAACAAGGCCTGCACTCGTTGTATATGGTAGGGATAAAGCAAATTTTCCCGTAGGATTCTATGGACTATGGTATGCGATAGTCCTACGCGGCGGCCTAATTCTCGAGTGCGAATATTAGTGGGCTGAACACTTCCTGTATCTCGAAGTCTTTGTTACACTTTGCACAAATTTCCTTCTGCCTGGGTGTACCTGTTGGCGAAATCTGTCGCGATACATTTGAGCTGCAAGATTTGAATTCTGACGAGTTTCACCGTAAACTAACAACATGTCGGTGAACTGTTGATTCGAGAACATTGTAAATAAACACGACGACGTACGCGAACAAAAACAAAACAACACGCCCGATGCTCTGCTCGACAAAACGATAAAGTAATTTATCTATGCAAAACGATAACTTTTTTTATACTCCAACCACCACGAAGGCCTAAGGCCTAAGCACCCATTGGATACCGTGGGGCTATAGGGGGATACATGGGAAAGGGGGAACGCCACACGGACTCTAGCGAGGGAACACGTGTGCATGCAACATGCACATTTTCTGGCTCCGCCTACGAGATCCGCCGGGTGGTACCTCCGCGTTCGACAGTCAGAGACCGTCTACCACCTACCGACAATCACAACATCCATAGCCAAGAGAAAAAATTCTCCTGGGACGGGACTCGAGCCCGCACAGCGCACGGCGACTGATCAGGAGACCGAAGAGTCTACTACTGCGCCCACCGCTGCTGCCTAAACCACTGTTACCGTTTGCGATCGATTGCCGGTTCGATAAGAGTGATGAAAGACCGACGCGCTGTTGGCATGTGTGTTTTAAATATTTAATCTAATGAAACTTACTGATTACAAATTTTGGCTTAACTTAGAAAAACTTAATGCCAGTTATTTGTTAATTACCCAATTTAAAAACGTTTTAGATTAGATTATAAAAATTAGTAAGATTGTGGTGATTGTGGTCGATATAAAGCACTTAAAGTTGTAAACTATAAAGCCATTTAGTCAATAATCTATTGACTTTTGGACCATGGGTCATATGAACTTTTTGACTTGTTTTGACCCCCCCCCATATTACCCATTTCAATAATGACTACCATAACGTTTAAACCCTAAATATATATATATATATATATAAATAATGATAATAATATAAATAGTCATATCTGTAGTTAGGGGACAAATTGAAATCAAGAACAGAAAATAACGTCAAAGAAAACGAGGCTTCTATAAACTACAAAGGATATGGCATGAATTCCACTACAGTTGGTGTACTGTTAGTAACTATCCTAAACAAACCTATTTATCAAACTAGTAATATAGTTTTACGTGCTATATTGGCAAGGCGTCAGCATGGTGTAGGCTTGATCTTAGGTAGGACAATGAACGAAAGCTGAATAACTATTCTATATCCATAGTATAAGGTCTGTCGAAATAAGAGAGAACAAAGTGCCATCTCTTATCAGAATCGACCACTGCCAATTGTTTTTACTTCCGAACTGGTAGATTATGGTAACACTTCGTTATTGTCTTATTTTGATAAATCTATAGATGAGTTAATGTTCTCAATTTAGGATTAGCTTTATTTGCCCTAGTAGTGACTATATCCCGGTTGACATATTTGAATTGAAAATAAATGCTGACTTGTGTATAAAGTGAATGAAAATGATCACCTGAAAACTGTTCACAAGAGTGAGTGACACTGACGCCTAAGACTCCAGTTTTCAGTCATTTTCCTACCTTGTCTACACAAGCTAGCTCAACCAAGTTTTTTGTAAATATTTCCTCGAATTCCGTAACATATTCAACGAAGTTCCGAAAAGGCACAATCTAGCCTCCAAATGGATCATGGGTTATTTCAGAAATTATAAGTAAAAGTACATATCAAATGTTTGTGATATCGCGTTTTTGACACTGGTACACTCATGAATCATAGATAAATTTTTGATGGATCTCCTTCATCAAGTACACCTTGACCTGAGCTCCTATATGAAAAACGAGATTCCAAATATTCTGGAATAACAATACTTACCTAAAATCATTAGTTAGGCAACGAAACATCGGAACACCATTTCCCTCCTTTATTTTGCATCAAAGCATGCAGCACCAAATTGTAATAGTCAATAGCCCTGTGCACTTCCAACAACCATGCCACTCACTCACACGAGGGGATGTCTACTACCTGTACAGTTATAGTACAGGAAATATCTTCGCATCTGGTTAGAAAAATATTTTGATTGTTGCTTTTTTATTAAGGTTATGCAAAAAAACTAATCAGCATCTTTCCGATCAGATGCGAAGATACTTCCTAGACTATTACTGCGGGTAATGAATAAGTGATCGCATCCAAATGGCAGGTAGCATTTCAGCTACCAGAGGTATCATCTCAGTCACCAGGGCAGAATCTGTTTTTTCGAGTGGCTCTTCTACTGGTAACTCTGTGTTCTTTAATTTCGGCATACTTTCGTGGACGCTAGCTATTCCATATAAATACTATCTAACCACTGTATTGTTCTAGTAAGTTTACTCAAAACTTCGCACGTAACGGTATTAGTTTAAACAAGAGGTATTTGATTGGTTCTTAGAGCTAACCATCTAAAATTAATTCTTCCTGTAACGTTCCCAAAATAATTCATTGTATGTGTGGCAGCATCGTTTAAGCAAATTTTGGATTACTCTGAGCGGTTTATTTTCAAATTGTATTCAGAAGGTGATGTATAACCAACAAGTAAAATAACGTTAAGAAGGACGCAACCAAGAGGAAAATATGAAATACCGTCGTCCTATGACGACCTTCCTGAGGTGCTTTGCATTCCATAGAGGAGTGCCAGGGTTCGCCAAGCGTTGTCTCTAATACCGTTTATCTTTGATAAACCCGCTGATCTACAGCTTCACGGACGATAGCACTTTGCATGCGGGCATTCAGAATGTCAAACCAATGTATGGAGAGTTGGAGAGAAGAGTGGTAGGGATACAATAGTGACTTCCACTTTGACATAAGTCGCGAGGATTATCATACGACTTCTAAGACATAGTCTTGTATTTTAGTCATCAAGAGGCACGAACATGTCCGATTTTGTACATATAGGTATATGTGACAAAATGTGCTCAAAATGGGGCATACTCTCACGCCTTAAAATGTTATCGACCTTGTGAGTATATGATGTAACCTTTCGTTTTATTAGCTATATCCCTTCTGAGGTGCTTTGTATCCTTACGTGAGTGGTCCTCAAGGGTTGATTGCTTTGCCTCTATACTGGGTGTTTTCAAGTTGAGTCATTTATTTCAACAGCCTGTAGAACCCGTCAAAAAAGTTGATATACCAAATATCACGTATATAAAAGTTGCTTAATAAGAGACTTAGTTTACATTATTAAAAATTATTAAAAAAAATCATTATCAAGTTAAATGGATACCGTTCTTACAAAAACTGTTCAAAATTGTCCCCATTTGTTCGATTAACTCTTTACAAGCTTCGAAAATAAAATCCTAGTGTCCACTAATTAAAGAATTTTCAGTGCACCGTTGAGGTTCTTCCAGAGTATTTACTGCTCCATCATGATACACCAACCCTTTTAAATAGCCCTCACAGAAAAAAATCGCAAGGCGTTAAATCCGGGGAGAGAGCAGCCAAGAAATATGTTCATTGCCCATCTATTCGGATACTCATTATTTAGATGTTCATGAACTTCTCGTCTAAAATGTGGTGGAGTCCCATCATATAGGAACCATATATTCTGTCTCACATTTAGAGGAACATCGTCTAATAATTGTGGCAGATTGTGTCGAAGAAAATCTAAATGAATTTCACCAGTCAGTCGAGGTGGAAAAAAGTAGGGTCCAATATGCATGCCATTTACCACGCCAGCCTAAACATTTACTGAACATCTAAATTGAAAATGAGTTCTTTTTACAGCATGCGAATTTCCTACTGCCCAAACATGATTGTTGTTGAAATGTGCACTACGTTTCGTGTAAATGTGGCCTCATCTGTAGACAAAATTAATTTCGTAAACTCTTTCTTTCTGTCAAATTGTTCTAAAAGCCACTGCCAAAATGCAACTCTTCTCGGATGATCTTCAGTTTGTTATGCTTGAGCCCGTTGATAATGAAAAGGATAATATGGTTCTTGTCGTATTGTCTTCCACACTTTACTATGAGAAACTTCAACGAGCTGCTATGGCTCTAGTACTCATTGTTGGGTCGTCTTCGACCATTTCTAAAATGTCTTCCTCAATCTGTAACATTTCAGGTTGACCAGGTCTTCCAGCGTGACCTCCTCGTTCTTTTAAATATCCTGTGGCATGAAGTCTAATAATTAAATTTACAAATATCCGTGGGGCCGGATGATTTCTTAAAGGAAACCTTTCCGGATACAACCTGAATGCTGCGGCTGCATTTTGATGGCACTCTCCGTATGTTTTCATAAACATGGACCATTTTTTCGCACAAAACAATCAGACAAATAAAGGTATATGCATTATTGAAAGACTGTTACAACTGATACGAGTGCAAGAATAGTAAACAAAAAACGCTAAGATTTTACATGGCAGTGGCTGAGAATATCAAAAAATCTGTGTAACAATATTCTTATTTTTTAAAATTTTTAATCTTTTACTATTTCTTTTATTATACGTTTATATAGGTGATTTTTGGTATATCAACTCCTTTTGACGAGTCCTACAAGCAGTTAAAATAAATGACTCAACTAGAATGCAAGGTACCTCAGGAAGGTAATATCATATTGTCCTTTTCTGATTGCGTCTATCTAAACGTTATGATACATGTTGGTCAATGGCGTATTCTGGCGGGCTTTGGGACTAAAGCCCCCAGAGCCTGACGACCTAATATATGTTTTATCCTTATACATATAACCCCTCTTGCTCAAAGGCTGGGTCCGCCCTTAAGACCACCCCCGCTGCGAGAAATTTCATGGTAAACTTTTTGAAAAGTCCTGAAAGTTGAGACTTTCTTTTTCAGATTCAACTACGCTTGCAATACCAGAGCTAATTTGCGGCAGAACAACACCGAAAACATAAAAAAGAAATGGAAAAATACTCATTATTCATTTAGTAAGGAATTTTAAGTACTTCTCTGTCTCTGTAAACACTGCTTTGAGTTGTCGCTGTTCGATTCAAAAACACGAGATTGTTTACCTCTTCCTAAATTTGCAACATTTGGGGTTGTCTAGGTCCTCAACTGTGTTCAACCAGGCGGATTTTCACGATATAAAATATCCATGACGACGGCGACGTGAAGTATCAATAGCAACTTGAAGATGTTCATATCCAATCGATAACTACGTTATTGCTCTAGGCATGTGTCAACTTCTGTTTTTCAAATGCGGTTTCTTAATAAACTAGATCAACCTTGACACCACGATGGGTTTGGATGTTGGCTCACATAGTCATACGTTTTGACATAAGAGGGGATTTTGGAAGGGGAGAGTGGCATGATCGTACTGGCACATTTATTGCTTTTTGAAACCTAATATCTTGGTTATCTTTAAGCTGTGTAAAGAAAAGCCCTAGTTTTGAGGACACATTGTATTGATGTAAATAGAAAACAGATTATAAGGAAAATGTGGTGGTGTGCCACACAGTGAATAAAAGTTCGGGTAATAAAACATAATTTTAATTTACCCTGTACGATAGGTCAAACCGAGGGTACAATCAAGAAAGCAGACATTCAAGACAATTACAGTCAATGAGTGTACCTACCGCCTGCCGGAAAAATCAATGAAGTTCTGTTAAAAATGACGTTCTGAATTTGACCAAAATTTGCTTGTTGCATTTATTTTGCACCTACGTGTATATACAGCTATCATAAAGATGACATCAAATTGAAATACATTTTATTCCTTTGCAGCTGTAGGCTTAGACGACGTGGATAGGATTGCCATGCCAAAGCCAGCAGTCCCAGTGAAAAAGCCCACTTTGGGCAGTGCAGTGAAACAGAAGCTTTCAGCAACTCCTAGCAGTGCGAATTCTGGCAAGGAATATTTTTACTTTTAAAGAGAAGCTTTTTAACAGACTGCCTCGGAATAGGTCAATCTCTCGGATGCATATATAGAACAAACAATTATGTGACTAGTTCCTATAAAAAATATCTTACGATGCTCCCCTCTGGGAATACAGGCCGCTGGACATCGATTCTTCCTAAGTAACTCTCAAATAAAAATTTTGACAGCATAGTAGCCATTTGATACCTCACATAATGATGTTTATGGAAAACAACTAACTTGTATTGCCAGCGATGGACCGGCCCAGCTAGGAATTACAGTGTAATTCGGATATTTTTGTTTGTTTGTTCAAGATTTATTTAGCATGTTTGCTACAATTACATTCTTCTAAAAAACTAAACAATTGCATAACATACACATATTCAGAAGAAAAAAACAAAATTTGCATCTCTAAGAATTTTCATTGTCCAAAATATTCCTTTAATTTCCTTTTAAACATCTTTAAATTACAAGTAGACTTCATATCATTATTTAGTTTATTAAATTCAAGTAATCCTTTCTGAAATATTGATTTGGTAGTTATATTACTATTCCAATTTTGTAAATGAAAATCTATATTTCCTCTTGTATAATAATTCAATTATATGTTGTGTTCTAAATGTTCTGGCAAAAGATGATTTTTTATTGTAAATATAAAAATAAGAACCAAATATGATAGGAAATTTTTTATATTCAACCACTGTAATTCTTATAACATAGATTTTATTTTGGTGTACTAAGACTTGTAATTTTGAGAATACAGCTTCATTGGCAGTGAACAAGATAGTTGAACAATATAGTAAATCCGGTAGGATAATTGTATTATAAACTATTTTCTTGGAATAGGTACCAAGACTGTGAGAAGCCCTATAAAAGTAATTTGTTTTTTTTTTGGCAATTTTTGAAATAATGTATTCATAGTGATCCTCAAACTTTAGTTTACTATCACTGTATATACCTAAATATTTAATTGATTCAACATTTTCAATTATTTCTCCATTTATCGTAACTGTGATATTATTTTCGTTTAGGTATTTCCCTATTAGCATACATTTTGTTTTAGAAGAATTCAATTTTAGTTTATTTACATTTAACCAATTTACGACTTTTGCCAAGTCAGAATTTAGCATTTTTAAAGCATTGTCTATATTTTCATCTGATATGTATATTAAATGTATCAACTGCAAATATCTGAAGTTTACAATAATCTAAAATATTACAAATGTCATTAATGTATAAAATAAATAGTAGTGGACCTAGCTTACTACTTTGTGGTATACCAACAGAAATATTTGTTGATTTTGATAATATAGATCCAATTTTGATCTGTTGACTTCTGTCGATTAAATAGTTTTGTAGAATTTTGAATACAGATCCTTTAAATCCGAAATGATGCAATTTTGTAAGTAATTTATCCCTGTCGGTAGTCTCAAACGCCCTTTTGAAGTCCAAAAACACTGTTACTGTATGTTTCCTATTGTCCATACATCTCCTCCAGTCCTCTAAAACCATTTGTGTTTCAGTTGAGTGTTTCTTCCTGATTCCAGCTTAAAATTTGGTTAAAATGTTATTTCCCTCGAAAAATTCGATGATCTGTTGACATGGCTTTGTCGTTTTTGTTGTATCTTCAAATTTCCTTTGTAATGATTCAATCTTTTCATATAATTCCTTGACCAATTTTTCTTGAATTGATATTGTATAGTCTTTTAATTTGAGTATTTCCTTTAAACAAAAACCTTTCCCATCCAATATTTTTTCAGTTTCTACTTTATCACTATCTTCCTCATCATTTGGTGTTTCCATATCTATTCTACCTCCTGGAAAAGAATTGACCTACTAAATGTGACAAATGTCTGTCAAAAAGGCCTGCATCCAAAAACTCGAATAGTTCTTGTAACGTCTCCTCCACCGCCTCTCCCGGTTCAACAAATTTAGCTGGAACACTTCTTCTCCAATTAGCAACACCGAAAGCAATTGATTGATTCCACTCGAAATCAGCAAAATTTCAGTTTGTTTCAGGATCAAAATCACACCTAGCTCCTAGCTTGTACTATTTATTTTGTTTATATTTAAGGAAAACCGATTTTCACTGTCATTCTTCAGTGGCCTGTATCTCGGTAAATGTTCAGTGTGCGAAAACCAAAAGTATTTTTGTCTTTCAGACAAGGCTAAAAATCGGTTTTAAAGCATTGAAAATTTTTTGGGATTTTCGGAAATTAAATAGCATATAAATCGAAAATGGTCAGCTTTAGAGAAAAGTTAATGGAAGCTTTTTTTGTTCGGAATAATCCAAAATACACGAAAAACATTTTTCCGGGCAAAAAATTGTAATTTGTTTTAAAAATTTGTTTAAACAAATTTGATCTGAGATACCGTGCGGGCATATTCAATGCTTAAAAATTAAAGACATTGACGAGTATTTGGGGATTGGTTTATTTTTAACCACACATGGCAATATTTCATTCTTACAGGAACTAGTGAAATTATTTTGTTTTGTATGATGCATGCATCCGAGAGATGTACCATTTATTCTGGGACACACTGTATTGCTAACCAACTGATAGCCTAACAATATGATGCTTGTCAAGAAAAAAAGAAATTTGCCAAGGATATCAAGTATTTCTGTCTTTTCCAAATGACGTTATTGACACTGTCTTAGCATTATTGTTTGATTTCTAGCGGGAGCAATGGATGAAGATTATTTCATCAGTTCTTTTGAAGACTGTCCTACAGTACAAATTTTCTCATTGCGAGAAGCAACTGAGCAACTAAAAACTATTCATGATATCATATCAGATTCGAATAAGGAATGGAATAGAAGGGTAGATGCTGTAAGTATTAATTTTTACTATACAATATACGTTCCTTATTATTATAATTTTTTGATTTGTATAAACATATAGAGTGATTAGAAATTCATTACAATGAATTAAGAGGCAAACCTTCTACTTCCACACTTCCACATACCACCTATAAATCCTGATGTACTCAATAATATTAGTGCCCAATAGAAAAACTAAAACATATACAAAATACTGATGATCTGTTAACAAATCTAAACCATATAAATATAATTCAGAAATGTTTACTTCGTCCTACTAACAATTATGAATTACCATTAGTATTAAGATATATCAAAAATAAAAATTCAAAAACATCAACAGCTGTTCCTATTTATAAAGGAGGATCAAGCGACTTATCATAAAATTATAGACCCATAAGCTAATTAGATTAAGAGACTTTCTAAAAACCAACAGAATGATAATTGAAAACCAATTTGGATTTGAAAAACAAATATAATGGATTTTCACATTACTACAACAATTATTGCTCAAATTTAATCGATAAAAAATTTTCAATACCTCTTTTTGCAACTTTTTCAAAGCTTTTAACTGTGTAAATCACGACATACCATTAAAGAAATTAAACAAATACGGTTCACTCGCTTCACTCAGTTGGTTTGAAACATATTTAGATAATCGATCGAAAATTGTAAAATTATTAAGACATATTTCAAATGAATTAAATATAATCGCAGGGGTATCTCTCGTCTCATTATTGGGTCTGATCCTATTCTTAGCGTATATCAATGATTTAAAAAACTTAAACATAAATGGTAAATTAGTAGTTTTTGCGGATGATACCACAAGATTTTAGCAAGACATAGATATAAACGAAATTAAGACAAAGTGATAGTGATATGCAAACAACCAAAAAATCGTGTGACAACAATTACTTGACTTTCAATGTTGATAAGACAAAATTTATGACATTTAAATGCTCCCTTGATTTTATAAATTCAAATAATAATTTGATACCCAAAACAGATACCATCAAATTTTTGGGAGTGACCATTGATTATAAGCTAGATTTTATTAGTCATGTAGACAAATTGATTACTCAACTAGCAAAGATTTTATTCGTTATAAGAACAATTAGATACAACATATGGAAAAGTACAGCCTTAAGCAGTTACTTTGCCTTAATTGAAAGTAGATTGAGATATAGCAATCCTTTTTGGTGTGTCTGTTCCTATAATGTTTAAAAAGATGTGCTTATTTTACAAAAACGAACTATTACATATACAGGGTGACTTTGAAGTTGAGTCATTAATTTTCAGATAATGATTGTAGAAGGAAGATAAACCAAAATATGTGTGTAAAAATAAAAAAAAAATTTTTACCTTGTTTTATAAAGTATCCTCCCGACAAGTATTTCAGTGCGGACCTGTATTTGATCGTGAGGTCTTGGAGCACCGGCATGCCGTCACCTGATTCACGAGCCCGTTGTACTACATTAACAAAGGCACGAGGGGTTGGTTGCACTCGATTGGGAAACCGATCCGCATAAACATGTGCCAATTTTTATTTCGTTAATTGTAAAAACATCGTTCCAAATTCTTTCGCTTTTTTGTTTCCGATGCGATGAACCGATACGGCGGATTATATCCGTTGTCGCCAAACACGAGCACATAATATTATTATTGAGACAGGGCGGTACTCAAACTTCCAAAGGGCTATAACTTTGTTACTTTAATTTTACCAGAAAAATGGTAAAGGAAAAAACATTTCTTTTGATCAGATCTACTCACTGTTAAAATAAATGACTCAACTTCGAAGTCACCCTGTATAATTAAAAGCAATGATAGAGCTACATGCTGGTCTTTATTTGTAAATCTTAAAATAATGACTGTGGTATCATTGTTTACAACTCTCATTTTTAAACATAAATCTAAAGTTGCAACATTAAATATAACTTAACAAAATTAATAAAATAAGCAAGACTCCTTTGTCTACTAAACAAATAGAACAGAGATCTTGCCAGTTGGTTAAATAACTTTCTGTCTGAAATTAAAAAATAGCTACGTAATCAAAATCTAAAAAAAAAACGTACTTGAAAAGGGACAAAAACGAGTTCACTGAATCATGGAAATTGGTAAAATTTTAAATTTACATTTACTGTGTCATGTTGTAGTTTAAAAAAATCTGTTACCAATTTTATTATATATAATATAAATGTTTGACTCTATTATGTTTTTTTTATCGGTAAAGTTCATTACTGTTTTTTTATCTTTAGTATCATTTAGAAAAATATGTGTTAAAAAATCAGTAAACTGTTGGTTAGGTAGTACATTTATATTTCTGTTTTTGAGATGTAGGTTTTTAAAATAAAATAAAAATGGTTAACACCTTGTATATTTTAATAGCGTTTTCTATAAAAATTCAATGTCATATAGGTAAAAATGTGCTAGCAGGGCAATGATAGTTCAAAGTGTTCGTCCTCAATATGTATCTTCCCCCACGCACAAGCATTTGCTTTTTGTGGTGTTGTCTATGTTTATTACGGAATATGCTTTTTTCTTTTGCACCTAAATTGTATTTTTTCTTCAATAAACATTATTATTATATTAGACGAAAACAAGATCTTAAATTAGTAGTACTTAGATCAACACTTGTGAAAGACTCAATCATTTATAATGGTCTGAAAATTTACGTGTCTCGCTGAGGAATTAACGGAGGTACTCCGCCGTGAACTTAAAAACTTTCTAATACGTAAACCATAATATATCTTACAATAGAGTATATTTATCTATCATCTATCTATCAATCTATTGAAGCTCCCATTTATACAAGCGATTTGATTCGTGCCATGGTACCTTTCGACAATTTTTGTAATATAACTTGTATTATAACTTAATTGTTGAAATTATTCAGTTATATTGTCGCTTGATTCATATCGTGTGCGTATGCTTTCAGCTAAATTTTATTTGTCTCAGGTAATCAGAACCTGAATGCTAATTTTTTGACTTGTATAAACGCACAGTGTGACTACAAAGTGAATTTTATTTACTAAGCATTGATACACTAATTTTACTTTATTTCCAGCTTAAACGAATACGCTCACTTATAATAGCAGGCGCACTGAATTATGAAGAATTCTATACCGTCATAAGAAACTTGGACATACCATTGCAAGGTACTCTTAAGGATCTTCGCTCACAAGTAGTTAGGGAAGCATGTGTGACGATATCTTATTTGTCACAATGTCTAGGAAACAGGTTCGAGAAGACCGCAGAAGTATTACTGCAGCAATTGATAAACCTTATACAAAACTCTGCAAAGGCAAGTACATTATCGATTTATATCTGACATTGATGTGTTCCTACTTAACACTGCTGTTTAGAGTGGGGATATTTCCCGGTTCAGTCGACACCCGTTATAGCTGTTCCGCTACCTAAGTGTTCTGATCATACTAACTATGGTCACACGAGACCGATCAGTGTACTGCCAATTTTCTCAAAAGTATTGGAACGCGTTGTTTACGAGCAGCCCTGCGCCTACTTATATTCTAACAAAATTATTCCATCTAAACAATCTGGCTTTTGACAAGGTCATAATATGGCTTCGGCACTCTGCAATTTAATAGACAATATAATAATGGCGCTTGACAACCGAAAAGCAGTAGCTCTCATACTCTCATACATACCAAATAATTTGACACGATTAATCATTCACTTCTTGTGTCTAAATGCAGTTATTATGGATTTTCTGAAAACCTCTTTCGTTTATTTAGACCTACCTTGAAAATCGGTTTCAAAAAGTTCGTCTAAACCAAGGCTGCCCAATATTTTTAACAGCCGGGCGAAACGGTGGATTCAGACTTCACGACGGGCCACTGAAAATTCCTATTTCGGTTACTCTCAGGACATACGCAATAAAAACCCAATATTAAGAAATAAAATAAAATTATTTAGTTTAGTATAAGCTTTATTAGGTAATACGAGTATTATGAACAAACAGAGAGTATCTTATGCTAAATAAAGAAAGAAAATTGAACTTATGTATGTATCTTCTCAAATCTAAATCTAGGGTAAGTCGTTGTTACAATCAATGTGATTTCTGCCATTGTTTGTCTTTTAATAATTTATTTATGTTAGGCGACAAATAACGAAAATATTCTGTTGGTTAAATAGTTTCTTTAAAAAATGTTCTCTGATAGCACTACCAACAGGGTAACTCTTTTTCAAAATTATTATGATTTTGCTTATAATGCCTTTCTAAATTATATTTTTTTGCAATAGCTACTGTAGTGAAGCAAAGTAAACATGTAGGTTTACGCGACTTGCTTTCAATAAAACAATATTTATTTTCCCATTCATCATGAAAAACACGATAGGCCTCTGTTGATTTCGAAGTACTCGGTTGGCTGTGAGCCATACTGGAACAAACCACATTTTGTTTATAATATAAAGAAAATATAAACTCATACACTCATACTTTCCTTTCAAATTAGGTAGGGTAAGTACATAAGTAATATGAAAACATAAATACTTAATTCATAAAATACCTTTGACAGTCAATGTAAATACGAAATTGAGAAAATATATGGGCCAGTTATTCATCAACAAAAACACAAATAAAAAAACTTAACTTTCAACAGTCAGTTAAACTACGTTCGCGGCGGGAATTTTTCAATTTGGCGCGTATTTCAAAACTTACTTGCGCGGGCCATTTAAAATTCTGGGGTTGAGCACCATTGGTCTAATCCAACAGTTCGCCTAACAAAAAAAATGTTTTGATGTAACACAGGGGTTTGTTTTAGGACCCCTATTACTTAAAAGGTAAAATGATGCACTATACATTTTTCTCCGACGATACTAAGATTTTGAATTCATTTAGGAGTAATAACTTGGAAACAGCGAGTAATAACATTAATCAAGATCTTGTCCAAATTGAAAAGTTCAGTAGTAGTCATAATCTCCGTTTGAACCCGTTAAAGACAAATATGTTAGTATACTCAAATAAAACAAAAAGAAGTGCTTTAAAAAATGCCAAACATAAATTTAAAATGTGGATCATTCTAAGAACCTAGGTATTGTAATGGATCATGATTTAAAATTTTTTGGACGCGTAATACAACATCTAATTTCCCAGTGCTACGCTATTCTCAGAGCATTTGCAAATAAGGCTATAATTGCGAGAAGCAATTGTGTGAATTTTTGTTGTTTTCAAAAATATCGTACTGTTTAGTGGTTTACTATTTACTACTATTTGAATATAACAAAAAATCGTATTCAAAGTATTATGAATTCATGTTGCAGGCTTGTAAATGATCTCAGAAAATATTATCTTATATTGAAGCCCATTAATGACCTCAACTGGATGAAAAGTGATAAAATGTATAGCTTCTAAGTCTGACTCATAGGGTTCTTTATTCAAAAACACCGTCGTATTCAGTAACCAAATTCATACGTCGAGGAAATGTGTATGGCATCAATATTTGATATAGAGAGACTTTTCCAATCCCACGCCACATCACATCTCTATTTCAGAACAAGTATTTACAATGCGATTAAATTATATAATTCCTGAGACGGTTGTTTAAGTGAAACCAATTCATTACACACATTCAAAAAACCAATAAGTTTTAACTGACCTTATGTTTTCTTTATGCCTTTACATTAGGTAATTGTGCTCTATTATTGTCGTTATTGTATACAAGTATTAATTTTTAATAAATTTTCAGTTTTTATGCATCTCGTAGTGTTAAGTTGGTTTTATGTGGTGTGATAGATATAGTACATATTTAAATCTCGACATTAATTATTATTATTTAGATTTTATTGAATATTTTTTTGTGGTGAATCAATTATAAACATTCGGAATACAAAAAAATGCATATTTTTGTAGATCGTCTATATAATCGAAACAAGATAAACATGAGATTAACAAGTCAAATGTCATATTCTTCGTAAAATGTTTTTCAGCTGAGTAGATGCTTGAAGGAGGCTTCTACTCTTGCACCTAATTAGCTGGTTTGCATGTGCCCTCTTGTGTTATACTGTTAGTAAATAAATCCATCGAAAGGATGATGCCAAAAATTGTATGGAACCTGGTACCCACCTCCGATAGCTATGTGTATTGTGTCATTAGGTAGCTCTTTTTGCGCTAGATAGAAGTTATTATGGCGCCAAGTTTCAGATATTAGTTCATTCAGAATTATACCGTATACTTGGTATGTATATGTGTATTATGTCGGTAAAATCATCTGATTTTGCCAGGAATTGTATTATTAGTGGCAAAAACCCTCTGGGAAGATGTTCTTTTACCGCTCTCAAAGCACAACTCTTTTCGTCGTCTGCTAATAGATGTTGTGGTTTTGTCGGATCAAGAAGATATTTTAACAGATGATATGGTGATGCATTGTTCGTATCGGTGTCTACATTTTTGGATTTGACTTAAAATAAAGTCTGTCCCTTCAAACGTTGATTCGAGATTTTTGATTCCTCAGAAAGGGTTGCATCAGTTCTTTGAAGCCAATGGCAACACAAACAGGCTTCAGTATAGCTAAATAGTCTTCAGCAGATTTTTTCAGATATATATTTGAAATTTTTCTATCACCACTTTGGGACATTTCATCTAACTTTTTAAAACACACTACAATTTAAACAAGAAATAATAGGTCATAGGAATACGCAATCTACTTATGAACGTATGGGCCGACTATAAGTTAAGAAATGATCCGACTCGCGTCGACCGTTCATTATAAAGACCAGCGATTTTTCTTGTTTCGACAGGATAGCCGAGGCACGTCCACACATCAACACACGTTTTTTTGTAAGTCGCCGAGGAGATTTTCTTACTATAAGTCAAGGCAACAAATATTTTTGGGCGAATCAATAAACCAATACAAATGGAGGAAAATCATGATTTAATCGAAAAAATCTGACTTTTCGTGATTTTTTGCAACACTGGTTAAAACATTTCGTGCAAATTGTTTAGATGCAAGCGTTGATCATATATACTAAGTGACATATAAATCCGAACACCCAGTTTAAATGGTTTTATTTTAATAAAATTTTATATAAGTACTTAATGGATCATAATAAGTAAATGATAAAAATTTCAAAATGATTGCACTGCTTTAAAGCCCTTTGACCTTTAATAATGTGTGGATGCACCCTGATGTGCTACGCATTCTCCAACGCGCCTAGGCATGCTTCTGATAAGGTGGTCAATGTCCTCCTGTGGTATCTCATTCCAGGCAACCACCAACTCCTCTCGAAGTGCTTCTAGAGTCTGAAGAGGACGTTGCAAATTGAGCAATCTCCTACCCATCATATCCCACACGTGCTCAATTGGGGATAAGTCGGGAGATCTTGGTGGCCATGGTAACAATGTGACATCATTATGTTGAAAGAAGTCTATTGTGACTCTTGCAACATGTGGTCGGGCATTATCTTGTTGGAAAGTTGGATCTGCCAGGGTGTCAAGATAGGGTAAAAGATGAGGTTCTAGAACATCGTGGATATAACGCTGCGCGTTCATGTTACCTCTGATGAAGATTAAAGGTGACCTAGAACCATAAGCTATAGCACCCCAAACCATAACTCCAACAGTGTGATGAACAAGTCTTTCAACAAAAAACTGTGGATTCCTCCTTTCACCACGTCGCCTTCTAACCCTGGCACGACCATCGTGCATGCCTAAACAAAATCGAGACTCGTCACTAAAGACACTACTGTTCCATTCCTGATCCCAGAGTGACCGTTGTCTGCACCACTCAAGGCGATTACGTCGGTGTTCTCGAGTTAAAGGGAGGACCCAGTGTGGCAGGTATGAAAACAAGCCAAAACTTCTCATTCGTCGGTAAACACTTCGCATGCCAATAGGTCTTCCGTGTTCTGCAAACCATTCATTTGCAATGGACCTGGTAGTGGAGAAACGGTCCCTTAAGACCAATAATCTTAGGCGGCGAACTTCACGGTCTGTTGTTCTACGGCGGCGTCCAGTGCCCCTTGCTCTTTGCGTACGGCCTTCTCGAAGCCATGCCTGACAACACCTAACCACAGTGTCTATACTTCTTTACACTCTAACTGCAATTGCCCGAAAAGAAAGTCCAGCTTCCCGAAGTCCCACTATACGGCCCCTATCAAACTCACTAAGTTGACGAAATCGTACAGGTCTCCGTACTCTAGGCATCGTAACCGATCGTAAAGGATGTCAAGAACCAAAAACCGCCAACGTTGATTCTTTACTGCGGCTGAAATATTCATTTTTAGAGCGTTAGTGAATTAAAAAAAAAGCAGTATAAAAACCGCAATGTCCAACTGATAAGGCTGAAAATTTTTTCACTTGTTATTTACAGTAAGATAAATACATTCACCAACTTTTATTAAAATAAAACCATTTAAACTGGGTGTTCGGATTTATATGTCACTTAGTATACTTGCTTATGCTTGGTCGACAAGTGCAAAGGGAGCTGACAAATCACATCTGGAATGCCCGATATATAAAATCTTTGCGCATTATTTATTGTCTAGTGCACATTAGCCTTCAACAACAATCATTATTCCAGGTTATGGCAACATCCGGTTTGATCGCAGTCCGTTTCATAATCCAGTACACTCACAGTAGTCGACTGACCCCAATAATCACCAACAACGCCATCAAGTCGAAGTCAAAGGAAATTAGGAAAGCATGCTGCGAGTTCGTCGAATATATTCTAGGGAACTGGACGAAGCATTCCCTGGAAAGGCATAACGGAGCATTGCAGGAGGCTGTGAAGAATGGTATTGCCGATGCCGATCCTGAAGCTAGACAGTGTTCCAGAAGGTGTGTACATTTTTTTCTCTTGGAATGCACACATTTTATAGGATTAATTTCACAAATATCTTGTCAAGTAGACTGACTCAAAACTTCCTACGCCTTCATTCGAGGTTTCAAAGAAAATGGATGAGTCAAGTCGTTTCAAAAGGCAAAATCGAATCGCGATTAGCTAGGCTTACTTAGATACGATGAAAATCAAACTATATCAAATAAATCTATCATATTTCTGTTTCCATGGTAGATGTAAGAAAAATATGTGTGACTTATTGTGTATACCATATACAGCTTCTAACCTACAATTTTCAAGCCCTCCGAACAATGAAAATGAGCAGGAGTCTCTGAAACGTTGTAACATCATGTTTCAGCGAATATTTTTTTGGTCGTTGTTCCGCCGCCACTGAATCAATTTTCAGAATCTACGACTACCTAAACCTAAATGGATACACTTAAGGATCATAAATTAAGAAAAATATATGTGTAAATATAAAAGCAGTCAAGTCATCACTTACAAAAGCATCGCAGAACGCTGCAGTGGTAAGTACTAATAATACCCAAATATTATTACAATACATATATAAGCAGCGTGTCAGTGTGCACAGCATCGCAGGTTTACCAATTGGAGCTTGATATCCATTGCGCAGTCAGCAGTGACCTCCATGATTATGCAGCGTCGCGCAGTGCACGCATCGCAAATGATTGGAAGTTATTTCGAATTATGGGCATCTATACCTTGGACATTTAGTCTTTGAATTATAGATGTAACATTTACAACCTCCTACGCCCTATAACCCCCAACCTCCAATTCAACCAACCCCTACAAAAAAAATTCCCAAAATGATCAGAAGCCTTTGAAACGTTGAAAAACGAATGTTAAGGGATTTTTTATTTTGTTTTTTGTCTCCCACTCCGCCACCACGGGACCGATTTTCAGAAACTAAAAAAAAGAACCTAAATTGGCATTAGTCATCTTTTTCTAGCTACTTCTTGACTATTGTGGATATTAACATTGATATTGAAACACATACTTCAACTAACCACATTTCATTCTCCGAAACTCATCACATAAGCATAGAGAGTGATTAAAAAAAACATCATTTTTATATTAAAAATAACATAAAATCTCGTAAAACGTAGGTCTTAAAATACCCCATTAGCAAGAAACAGGGTTACTGTAAATGTCCGCGACACCGACGGTAGTGATCATACTATAATTTTTATACGAATTTTGCTTCAAATATTCAAATACTGATTTTTCTCTGAAAAAATGGTTTATCAAAAAAGTGTCGAGAAGGAACTTTCTTGTTCAGTTGTATACCTTATTAAAACAGCAGTAAATGCTAAAAAAGTCAGTGCTTTAAAAATATTATCATTTTTACTTCCTACGCCATTAATCGCGAAAAAGTTCGAAAATGAGACATTGTTTTTTGATATTATAGATAGATAAATATGCTTTATTATCTGAAGAATACAATCATTATTGATGACAAAGCTAACTTTAAACTATACTTATATAAGTGGGTGTTAAGTAGGTGAATTGTAGTACTCACAAAAGGTAATATGGTTTACATGGGTGCGCCATCTTTTATGTATGTAAACATGAAATAACTTTGAAAACTGATTTCTATATATCGGGTATTTTTATTAAATATGGTCCTTTACAATTTATTGGGACTAGTTTTTGAACACAACCTCTATCAAGTAGCGACCTTTATTGGCCAAAACAAAATGTGCCCCTTTTGCTGCGTTTTCCATTACTTTTTCGAGCATCTCTGGTGGTATAGCGGCGATTGCGGTACGAATGTTTGCCTTGAGTTCTTCAGTGGTCTGGGGCTTGCTGGCGTACACTTTTCAAATCTCGAGACCTGTGTAGCCAGTCAATGTCACCTCTCTTTGACATCAGACGTCCAGGGAATTTTCGTTGCAGAAACTGGATTGTGTCATTTGCAGTGTGGCATGGCGCACCGTCTTGTTGAAACCAGTAACCAGACTTTTTTCACGCATTTGTGGTCAGACATAATGAGCCAACATCCACCGATATCGATTTCCATCGACTGTTTCGTTTTCGTTGAAGAATGATGGCTTTGGCGCAAACGCCGGCCCAAACAATCACTTTCGGGTCATGCAACGGCATTTCGTGGATCTCATGTGGATTTTCCGTCGCCCAAATGTGGCAGTTTTGCTTATTAACGCCGCCAGAGAGCGTGAAATGGGCCTCGTCGGTCATCACAATTTGCTTCCAAAAATCAGGTACAGCATCAACCATGTGACTGTTAGGGCGTATTCCACACGACGGGGACGGTCAGTTGGCAATATGTGTTAACTGCACTTTATAAGGAGACAAATTCAAATCATCCTCCAAAATGCGCCGCAACGTGGTTCCACTGATGCCAAAAAGCTGAGCGCGGTGACGATACGACACTTTTCTGTTCTGGGCAACGCTGTCTGTGACCGCTTCAACCAATTCAATGGAACATCTTGGTCGTTGATGAACGGTATGTTGACGATCGCCCTCTGTCCCATACTCAAGAAAATTCTAAACCACAGCTAGTGTTGTCAGACGGTGCCTGTTTGCCACGATATTTTCGACGATATGCACGTTGCATTACCACAGCTGAACGACGATTTTCAATGTACATTGTGACTATTTCGGCGCGTTGTTTCGGTGTACAGCGATTGATGACTAAAATTGTAGTAAGTTGACGTTTCAGAAACACGTATAACCAAATCACTCGGTTGGTAAATATCAGTCATTCGATGTTTCAATACCGACATAAAAGATGGCGCACCTGGTATTTAAAAAGTTTTTAAGTTCACTGCGGAATATCTTTAAATTGTTAATTCTTTTGACAGTAAACACATGTAAATTTTCATATAATTATAAATTACTGAGTCTTACACGAGAGTTGTTTTAAGTACCACTAATTTGAGATCTTCTTTTCGCTTAATATTGTAACTTATGTTTATTATATGTTCCAAATTTAGATTTATTTAAAAAAATATAGAGTTGCTGTTTCTAAAGTGAACAATGATACGACAGACATTATTTAAAGATTTACAAATAAAGGCTTGCATGTAGCTATAGGATAGCTTTCAGTTATGTATCTAATAGTTCGTTTTTGTAAAATAAGCACCTTTTTTTAAACAATTTTGAGAATAGACACACCCAAAGGGAATGCTATATCTCAGTCTTCTTTCAAATAAGACAAAGTAACTGCCTTTTCCTACTAATTGTTCTTATAATGAAGGAAATATTTGCTAGTTGATTAAGTAATTTGTCTATATGATTAGTAAAATGTAATTTATGATCAATGTTCAGTCCCAAACATTTGATGGTGTCTGTTTTGTGTATCAATTCATTATTTAAATTTCTAAAATCAATGGAGCATTTAAATGTCATAATTTTTGTCTTATTAACATTGAATAATTGCTGACACACTACTTTTTGATTGATTGTATAATACTATGAATTTTTGTCTTAATTTACATCTTTGTCTTGCGAAGGTATTGTGGTATTGTCAGCAAATACTACGAATATCCCATTCCTGCTTAACTTCAATAAATCGTTGATATAGATAGACTAAGAATAGGATCGGACCTAATACCGATCCTTGAGGTACCCCTGTGTTTATATTTAATTTATTTGAAATATGTTTTAATAATTTTACAATTTGGGATCGATTATTTAAATATGTTTCAAACCAATTGAGTGAAGTTTCAGTACAAACATATTTGTTTATTTTTTATGGTATATCATATGATTCACCCAGGCTGTGGAAAAGTCGCAAAAAGAGCTATTGAAATTTGTTTATCGTTTAAATTTGAGTATAACTGTTGAAGTAATGTGAAAATAGCATCCATGGTATTTTTTGGTTTTTAAAATCCAAATTGGTTGCCACTTATAATTTTGTTGTTTTTTTAGAAAGTCCCTTCACCTAATTTGTACTATTGCTTTCTATTATTTTTGCTATAACAGTACTTAAACTTATGGGTCCATATATTTGCGGTATAAACAGAAATAACGATTGATGTATCTAAAAATTCAGGGTAAACACATGTGTTGAGAGAAATATAAGTTTTGTTAGTGTATCAAGATCACCAAGTGAAAGACTCAGTGTAACATTTAAAGAAATCTCATCATTGCCTGATGATTTTTTATTTTTGATACACTGCGGGTCAAAAAAACTTGACCGACGATAAAAAACCCAATTTCTCGACTTTCCAATCGCAGGTTATTTACATAAATTACACAATTGTTTATACTTGCACTACTTTTGAAAGAATATAGTTGTTTAAATTAGTTAAGGTTGCGAATCGGCAACTATCGGGTGTGCTCGACCACTTTCGCCTCAGCTCGGAGGACGTAAGTTACATTCAAAATATTTGAACGTTTTTAGGAATATACTCATAAGTGATAATTTTCATATTTAGAGCGAATAGTGACGAGACTGTCAAAAAGCCTTTGGGAATATTAAACCTTATTTTGTCAACAATTATCAGTTGAGCAGCGGACCCAAATTTGTATTCTGAGAAAAGGTGGCAAATCATTTGGACATATTTCAAAACAGTTCAAATCGCCTGGGGGAAAAAGGCTTGTTGGCTCGTGTTACTGTAAGAAAACTATACATACGAGAAGTGAATCGCAAAAAAAGGTTAGCTTATGCTCAAAAGTATACAAATTGGACCATTAATCGGTGGAAATCAGTTGTCTTGTCTGACGAATCGAAGTTCAAATTGTTTGGTTCAAAACGTTGCGTCGTCAGGAGGTTCGCCGGAAGCTTAATGATCGTTACGATTCCGCTTGCATCGCCGCCACGGTTAAACATGGAGGTGATTCAGTCACGGTGTGGGTTTGTTTTGCTTATAATGGTGTTGGCTCACTGATGATCAAAATCGATGGAATCATGCGAAAAGAACATTACCATCGGATGTTGCAACGCCAAGCAATTCCATCTGGTGTCCGTTTGACTGATCGTGGCTTTACATTGCAACAAGATAACGATCCCAAGCACACTTCAAACATTTGTATGAATTATTTGGAGAAGAAAAAGAAGGGGTGCTGAAAATACTGGATCATCCTCCTCAATCACCCGATTTGAATCCGATCGAACTGCTGTGGGAGGAACTCCATCAAGAAGTTAGAAAACTTGGATCAAAAAATCAAACATATCTCTGTAATTGTCTTCAATTAGCCTGGGAAAATATAGAACAGATGACATTGCAGATACTGGGTTGTAAGACAGCTAAGATCTGTCCCTGCTTTTCAAATTGATATAGCCCTAATATATTTTCAGGCCATTTGGATATTCAAAATAAAACATTGTATTCTTTCTTACGATGTAGAATATGATTGAATCATTTTAACCCATTGAATGTGGCTAGATTTCGAAAAAATTACTGAATCTTTGATCCCTCTATACTATGCCAAGATCGAAAAAGCTTTTTAGCTTTAGAAAATCCGCCCAGTGGCGGCTGAGAAAAAGGCCAAAAACGCAAAAAATAAAAATCGCAAAATTGTTGACGTTTTAAAGGTTCTCGGTTATTTTCAGAAACATTTTTGTAGGGTTTGAAATTTGGAAGTTGTGGGTTGTAGAGGGTGGGGGAGGGTATATGTTTTCAATCGTAGTAGATTTATACGGTAAATGAATGCACCTATTAGCCATAATTCACACATCATAGATTTAACCGTACATTTAGAATAAAAAGTTAGAATGATAGAGAAATGTTTTTGATACGTACCCCTGCCTATCTAAGCTCACCGCCTGGCAAACCGGTCCGGCTTGTATATCTATCCGTTCCGAAGCGCAAAAGAACATAGACGGGCTTTGCACGAAACGAAAGATAACCCGCTGCGGCGATACCGCGCAGATATGGAGAGGAACAACGTTGCCACATGGACGGTAACTACCAGTAGGAGTGTCTATGGACTAATTATATGAGCCTGCTTAATTGAGTTGATACGTTAAATTTATATGTATGTTGTTCATGTCTCAAATTGCTTTGCACTTATCCTTTATGACCTGATGACGGCGTTACGTAGGAAGTGCAAAGTCAACGCACTTGACGCCATTTTTTCTAAGGAGCAAAATACTCTTCTATTATTTTTCGACCAACCTTCTACCTTGGAAAAATATACTGTTTATAGAATCATCTTGTATTTTTAACACACTTGGTATTACAAAATAGATTTTATCAAACTTGTTAATCAACCTCATCAATGATTGGTCCACCATTATCATCGTTGTCATCATTGTTAGGACCCACTGATCCAAACTGCCTATATTGCGAAGGCATTGTGCCTGAACTATATAATCTCATTATGATTGGCTTGCACATATTCTCCAGCGACTGTTTTTTCATCACGTAATCCCTTTCTGAGTAAACTTCTTGGTCTGCAATCCAATCTTTTATTTCTTGAGCTTTTCCGTTGACTTTTGTCCTGTCCTCAACGCCAATTTTGCTAGCGATATTGGGGTCATTGATCAAGTTTCTGACTGAGTATAAATAGGATTGGAGGTCATTTTTGGCGCTTATGGCAGCTCGTACCTCTTGGTCTTGTTCCTAAAATTATTATACAAAGAATATAGACGGTGGAATACAAGTTTGTTTGTAAAGATTTATTTAGCATTAATGCTACAATGTCCATTTTGTATAATTATCCTTTCACACATTTTTTTAATCAATTTTCTGCAATTTCACATTATTGTCTATTGAAATTAGATTACATTAATTTTACTTTAAACATTTTTAAATTCAAACATTGCTTAAAATCATTATTTAATTTAGTTTGAAATAACAGATTTACTAGTTATGTAGTTTGCACATGAAAATCTAGACTGCCTCTAGTTTCATAGTTATGATAATGATTGTTTAATAGACATAATCTTCGCGGATCTATTGTTAGTTTAAATGATTCTCATGGCTCTATTTTGGAGAATTTCTGATTTTGAAAATGTGTTTGCTGAAGACAAAATAGTTGAACAATTTAAAAAATGGGCAAGAATTATGGTGTTATACACAATTTCTTTTGGAAACCTACTGAGATTATGGGAAACTCTATAGAAGTATTAGATCTTTTTGAAACAATATATTCATAGTGCTCTTGAAACAGTAGTTTACTACCACATAGATATTTGAATGATTCGACTACTTCTATTTCTTGACATTAATCATAAACCTAATTGTATTGTGACCTAAATATTTCCCTATTAACATAATTATTGATTTATTAATTATAATAATTTATTAAATTAACCAATTCATAATTTTTTAATATCACTATTTAACAGTTCTAAAGCAGTGTTAAAATTTGTGTTTTTCTTTAATGTCCCCCTCCCCTTTGATTTTTTGAACGGATCAATTCAAAAAATTAAAACTTGGGGTAATGAAATTGATGCGTGGATACCATATTTTAGAGTAAAATTGACAAATGAAAATAACAAGATGGCCGTTGGGCGCCATCTTGGAAAAAAATTATATGAAAATGGGAGTCATTTACCTACTATAAAATGGTGGTGCATTTAATAATAATTCCCTGCCGTATCCACAGCAACAGAGATAAAAACTTTTGTTATTTTTTGTTGACAGTGACAAGAATATCAGTACGAAAACAAACATCATTGTACAGTTAAAATATTCTTATTAAGTTTTCGGTTTTAGTGCTAGATACTGTTTGAAATATTTTTAAAATGGTCAATTCTCGTCCATTGGAAGAAAAAATCAAAGCGATTTTTATTTATGGAGCGACGCGTTACTTTCACGAGACCGAAAGGATTTTTAATGATGGTTTCCCGAATCTTCCTATCTGTAGAAAATATTTAAGGGAACTTGTATCTAAATTTACAGCTACTGGTAGTGTAAACAACAAAAAGCCCCCAGGTCATCCAACCAATAGTCTACTTCATCCATCGCGAATGTATGTGAGGTTTGTCCTTCTACTGTATGGAGACTTTTGAAAAAGAATAAGTATCACCCATACAAAATTCAAAATGGTACATCAGCTCATCAGCTAACTGAAGATGACCCTATCCAAAATATTTGTTTTAGTGATGAATGTACATTTTTTTTCTCAACGGTAATGTGCATAGACAAAATTGTCGTTATTGGAGTGACACCAATCCTCACGTCTTCCGGGAAACTCATACTCAATATAAGTTAGGAATTATTTAGATAACAATTTCCCCGGTCGTTGGATTGGCCGTCGAGATTCTGTGGAATGGCCAGCTAACTCGCCAGATTTGACACCTTTAGACTTTTTTTTTATGGGGCTATTTGAAGCAAAAGGTGTACGAAAACGGAACCTGCTTCAATATTGGATATACGGCTGAGAATAACAAATATTTGTAGATATATCGATGTTACTATGTTTGAAAATGTTCGACGCGAAATTACGGACCGGCTGTTATTGTATCAAGAAGTTCAAGGCAACCATTTCCAGCATCTTCTAAACTGAACTCAACGTATTTATTCGAATTATCAAGTTAAATGTCAATGTATTCAGGTAATTATTAAATGCACCACCATTTTGTAGTAGGTAAAGGTATTGGCTTTATATTCTAGGGTTATAAAGTACTCGTCAGGAGCTTGAAACTTATGTGTGCCACAAGACCCCCGTTTTCATATAATTTTTTTCCAAGATGGCATTCAGCGGCCAACTTGACATTTTCATCTGTCAATTTTACTCTAAAATATGGTATCCACGCATCAATTTCATTACCTCAAGTTTTAATTTTTTGAATTGATCCGTTGAAAAAATCAAAGGGGAGGGGGACATCAAAGAAAAGCACTGTAGATGTATTAATGCATTGTTTGCAAATATTTTATTTTGCAAACATATTTCTTGCGTCTAATGATTCTTCTTAGACTATTAACTTTCTTGTCACACTTCTGGTATCAACTGTAACCCTCTTGGAAGATATTTAACAAGGCTACTCTAACTGAATCACTTCAAAGAAGATAAGAACGTGGCAGAAAAGTACTCTTATCGGTTTTTCAATATTACGACCGGAACGTTATCTGATAACTGGTCGCGTTGCCGTTTCTTTGGTGTGAACTCTTGGATTTGAATACACGTTCTGAGTCTGGTTACGGTTGCCTGTTGCTTTTGCTGAGAACGGTAAATCAGCGGAATGCTGGACGACTCAGATATACTACTGACAAGACGAAACCTAGTTTCGGATATAAAAATGTCCATTAGAAAATCAGATACTATACGTTGAGAATGAATTCATATCTCCAGCTTTCCGCGACAAACTCTAAATTGTCCATTTAACTATCTATTGAAATCACCTTTTTGTCCTAAACATGTTTACTATCAACATGGAAATCGAAATGTCCGAAAATTGTCGAACTACCCATGGCCAGATGATGCACATAACGCGTGCGTCGGGAACTCGGAGCTGAGGGGTGACCGAGAAACTCTGAGTGAAGGTGAATGTTGATAGAGCACTAATAAGAAAAAATATATTTCTCCTCATTTGGAAATTATGCCGAAAAATTAATATTATATATATATACAGGAAATGAGCCACTTGAGTTGTTGTTACAAAATGTTATGTATTGATAACAAGTTTATTACCTTAAACTTCTCGGCTTCAGCAATTATCTTCTTTATCTCATCTTTGGCGAGTCTTCCTTTATCGTTGTTAATAGTGATGTTGCTCTTTTTTCCTGTAGCTGTCTCACAAGCGCTTACAGTCAGTATTCCATTGGCATCTAAGTCGAATGACACCTCTATTTGTGGAATCTATTCCAACGATAGGACTCCAATAAATAGCATGTTTCATTGAATAAGAGGATAACATACATACAACCATGGCGTAGCCATACCGTACCGAGTATGGCATTGTATAGGAAAGTACTTTCAACTCTCGATAGTCATCAAATCGCAAAAAACTCCTTATTTTCCAATTCGGCAATCTTGAGCCTTGAGTTTGAGCCAAATTAAAAATGTAACAACTTCAGAATGAGCATCCTAAGATGTCACAGACTTTTTAAACGCGCCATTCTTCGAAGTAAGCCAATAAATTGTTTAGTAGATAGGGCATGAAATCAGTAGACCCGTTGATGTTTTGTAGATCTGGCAACCTCTGGTAGAGTGACAGTATTACTTTGACACTCTGCATAACCTCACTTTTTGCAAAGCTGCCAACTGCAGCAAGTAAGATATACATTCGTATTAAGCCAATACCGTCACTAAGGAGGGCGCGCAGTTAAACAAACACGTGAAAAATGCCAAAAACAACAACATAATCTGCCGTAATCTTTATGTTTATAATGCTTTTGATCTATTTACTACTGCAAACAAATAACGACGTACTGGGACCGTTCAGCCAACGTACAGCGGTACAGCGCTCTATGATGAATAGCAGTAGTTTGCAGCATTAACCAATATACTATTCAATCTGCCAGAAAAGTGAAAATTGCTGTAAAACTGACAAAGCTATTCTACGGCTTTACGTTGACTGACCTCATTAATATCACGTACATTACAAAATCTTGATTCCCAAGGTTTTTCAGTTCACTCACCATTCGCCATGCTTTGTTAGTTTATTAATATTATACAATGTTTCTGCTTGCAACTCGTCTGTACTGTCAAATTTGGAGTTGTTTACGTTCATGATGACAACAGAGATTTGTATACAGGGTGGCGCATCAACAACGAAACATGCATTTACTGGCAGCTCAGTTTTTTCTGGAAAAACGCTCAGACCCGTCGATTTTGTTTTCGAGGGGGATACAAGTTTGGCAAAAAATCACGTTAGCACGTGCAGCCCCTTAAGCAGGGGTGACACCACCCCCAAAATCTTAAATGGAAAGGGGGGTCGAGTGTAGGGATGTAACGGGTACCCGGCCTAACCAGCAAAAGCCGAGTACCCGGCTAATTTGATGAGGTACCCGGTTTTACCAGGTAATCATTCTACCCGGCCGGGTAGACTGAATAAATAAAAAAAAAAATTGAAAAAATAGAGGCCAAAGAGCCTGTAAAAAACAACTTAATACATAATATATTAAATAATATAGGTATTAAATAAAAACTACATTATTTAAAAAAGTTAAATTGTAAAAAAATAAAACAGAGAACGAATTTACACGTATATAATCTAATATTTAAAATTAAGTAAAGGAAGATTATGATGGAGGTAGGTTAGCATTTATCCATTTTCTGCAGTTAGCTTACTTCGTTTTTCTTCGAAAATCATTACAGCTTCTGAAAACAACATCTCACTGAATATTGTTGAAGCCGGAGCTGATAGAAACATCTGAACAAGATCTGCTAATTTGGGAAAACTCTTATGATTAGTTTGTCACCATAAAACAGGGAATGAAGTACGATCAATAAGTGGCAATTTCAAATAAGAATTGAATTGAGTTTCCACAGTTTCTAATTTTTTGGAAGTTCCTGCAATACTGTCTCGACTATGTGCAATATTCGAAAATATATCCCAAACAGACTCATTAGGTTTCTTGCGTTTTTCGGTGGGCCGGGTACCTGGCATGAAGCCGGATCCTAAAGAGCCGGGTACCCGGTTTGGCCGGTTCTTGGAAATTACTACCCGTTACATCCCTAGTCGAGTGATACCTTATTTTAAAGGTCTTTCAATTCCCTTTATAACGATATAAAATCAATGTACTTCAGTTCAGGATCTACATAAACTTGCCCTAAAACACCCACTTCTTTTGCTTTGTTCCTTATGGGATTTTCAATGTTGCGTTTTTTATTGGCGACTGACCCAGTTACCCGAAATTTAGCTACAAGTTCTAGCACATATTTTCGATGCACATTACTGTTCTCATGTCGCTCATTAAATATTTCTGCTGTTCTATCACCGCACTGATTATTTCCGAAAAATATTTCGATAATTTCAACTCTTTCTGCTGTGGAATATACGATAGCTAATTTATGTAATAAAGTGTTACAAGTTATTTTAGAAACAAAGTTTGGACAAATCAATCGCAAACTATGCACTAAATTCCTATTTAAAATAAGTACGAGATATTTCCTTATCTTTCTTCAAGAAATAACTTTTTTGCCACAAAAAACGCTCCAATAGCTATTTTCAACAACAAAATAATAAACAAACCATGGGCGTAGTGAAGAAAAACATTTACTTATTAAGTAAATTCTTTTAGTCAAATTTCTTCTGACAGAAGTACAAACTAATCTAATGTACCTATTAAAGTCTACTTTAAGGTTTAAATCAATAAATCTTCAAACTACTGAACTGAAGCTCATTTATTTACATCATTATAAAGGGAATTGAAAGACCTTTAAAATAAGGTATCACTCGACCCCCCTTTCCATTTAAGATTTTAGGGTTGGTGTCACCCCCGTGTTAACGTGATTTTTTGCCAATCTTGTGTTCCCCTCGAAAACAAAATCGATGGGTCTGAGCGTTTTTCCAAAAAAAAACTGAGCTGCCAGTAAATGCGTCTGTTTCGTTTTCGATGCGCCACCCTGTATGAGAGAGATGCCATATGCGCAGAACCCGGAATTCATTTCCTGTGCAGTGCACTTACTAGATAGCGCCGCTTTCAATGTCGACACTGCAGGATTAACCCCACCCTATGAGTTCAACCCCCCTATCTTTGTGCTGTAGCACTTATGGCAGCGATGTTCAATTTTGATTCCGCTAGACGTCGTTTGTGTGATAGGAGGTTAAACTGTCAAAAATAGATGGGAAAAAGACAGATTTCATAGCAAGGTAACCCATAGATGGGAAAAAGACAGATTTCATAGCAAGGTAACCCAATTTATTGACGATTGAAAAATGTTCATTCAAGACATCTCATCACTCTATCGAAGAGAGTGCTCTGAGGAGCATTTAAAAGAAACGCATTTACGTGAACCTGATGCGAGGTTCCAAGTTTTTTTTCTTTCCGCAACGATAAAGCGTTGTTAGGTTCATCAAGAGAAGCAGCCCTCAAGAGGTTGCGTTCCATGGAAAAAAAGGTTCCATAAACAGCCTACACTGAAACACAATCCATGCACGAGTATGTGAACGTAAATCATGTGAAGTTAGTATGTAGTGAAACATCACGCAATCTTAAAAGAAACAAGATTTGCCACAAAGCTAAGAGTTGTATTAGATGGGCGTAACAAAACGGGAAGTGGTATATCACTCAATGATATACCCATGGTTGACTCTAGTTGGTTAGCTCATAATGAGGATGCTTGGCCAAATGCCAAAAATATTTCCATAGTCTAAGTGCCTGAGAAGAAAATAAACAAATCTTTTTACTCAATCTCACCATGCCCATGCACAAATGTATAACAAATACTCGTCATTGGTCAAATTGCAGCGTTTTTCAGCGTACATGCTTAGATTCAAAAATCGTACTTTAAGACTAGGCCAAGAGGTAGATGTTTGAATGTTTTTGAATTACAACTTGCTTGGGAAACTATACTAAGTGACATATAAATCCGAACACCCAGTTTAAATGGTTTTATTTTAATAAAATTTTGTATAAGTACTTAATGAAGCATAATAAGTAAATGATAAAAATTTCAAAATGATTGCACTGCTTTAAAGCCCTTTGACCTTTAATAATGTGTGGATGCACCCTGATGTGCTACGCATTCTCCAACGCGCCTAGGCATGCTTCTGATCAGGTGGTCAATGTCCTCCTGTGGTATCTCATTCCAGGCAACCACCAACTCCTCTCGAAGTGCTTCTAGAGTCTGATGAGGACGTTGCAAGTTGAGCAATCTCCTACCCATCATATCCCACACGTGCTCAATTGGGGATAAGTCGGGAGATCTTGGTGGCCATGGTAACAATGTGACATCGTTATGTTGAAAGAAGTCTATTGTGACTCTTGCAACATGTGGTCGGGCATTATCTTGTTGGAAAGTTGGATCTGCCAGGGTGTCAAGATGGGGTTATAGAACTTCGTGGATATAACGCTGCGCGTTCATGTTACCTCTGATGAAGATTAAAGGTGACCTGGAACCATAAGCTATAGCACCCCAAACCATAACTCCAACAGTGTGATGAATATGTCTTTCAACAAAAAACTGTGGATTCCTCCTTTCACCACGCCGCCGTCTAACCCTGGCACGGCAGGGGAAAGGTGGGGAACGTCACACGGACGCTAGCGGGGAGGTACGAATACATGTGGCACTCACACATTCTGGTCTCACCTTAGAGATCCGCCGGGTGGTGCCACGCAAGGGTCTGAGACCATCTACTACCTACTGTCAATTACAACATCCATGGCCAGATTCACAGCGTTAACCACCAGGTCGCCGGGCTGTCAATATTTAGAAAACCGACTAAAAAAGTGTCAACGAGAATACTACCACTTTCTACTGTAATTATTATATCACGTTTCAACATATCACTGGTACAACAATGTTGCATTAAGGCCTCCCGCAGACTTTCTATCGGCCGGTAGTTCAGTCGGGTTGGGCTGCTAGTGTGCACACTGAGTCAACTGAACAGTTTGGTTGGTGACGAGAGCCCAGACTAGCCAACGCCGACTATTCCGAACAATACTAGTCTGTATCTGACTGTTGAAGAAAGATATTGCACAATGAAAATGAATACAATATTATCCAGACATGTTAATGCTCTCAAACAACGGAGAAGAAAAGTGGTAGTGGAAAATTTGCATTCCAAATTACTTGATTACCTGAAAAAACACAACTGTATGACGCCAAAGCTCGGAGTGAACTGAACTGTAGGCCGACTAAACAATCGTCATGTATGCGCAAGTGGAAGTTAACCAACACTGATTATTAACCAGTCGGCCCTTAGTTGGCCGACAGATTAGTTTGAAGGGAATTTTGAAGCCCATCAAACTTTTTTATCGGCCGATACTGAATCGCTGTAATGTGCGCATATACATACGGCTCCATACTGATTAAGAAGCCGACCAAACTACCGGCCGATAGAAAGACTACAGCCTGCGGGGCCCCTAGGAAATACAGAACCCGATACGAAATAAGAGCATAGCACACTTACACCCTTTGGAGCAGGCATGATTCCCGACAGTTCAAACCGTCCAAGAAGGTTATTATCCCTGGTTAGCACCCTTTCTCCTTCGTACACTTGTACCAACACTCCCGGCTGGTTATCCGAAAACGTGGAAAATATCTGCGTATGCCTCGTCGGTATGGTGCTGTTTCTTTTGATTAGTATTGTCATAATACCTCCGGCTGTTTCTATGCCCAGAGAAAGAGGAGTGACATCCAGTAGTAGAACGTCTTTGACAACATCGTGGCTATCACCATCTAATATGGCGGCTTGGATAGCCGCTCCGTATGCCACCTAGAGAAAATGTTCACTCACGTCGCAATGCGTACGAGAGAGAAGCGTACAATACATATGTTAGAAAGAGATAGAAGCACCGAGCTACCCAGCAATCCGAGTGACGAGGCCACCGACGCAGCTGCGGCTTGCTGTGTTGTCATTTGCGCATTGTTTCTAACATACGTATTGCACGCCTGACGTGCTTCTTGCTCGTACAAATTACCTCGTCAGTGATATTTGTATGTCTCTGTATGTATTATAATAACTGTAATGTTTTTGGGATTGGCTAAACAGGTTATGACATTTATAATATTTGACCTTACATACATGTTAAGACATTGTTCGTGTGACAACACAAAAACTCAGATTCATGGTGTGGTATATTGAACACAATCCAGCTTAAGATTGTACATGAGAAACAGTGAGATGATCACTGGCACTGTCATATTAGAATTGGATGTTGAAAAAAATGGTTGATAGAATTTTTAGTATTTTGTGATATTAAACATACGCGTAGGTCCTGGCATGCTTCACAAAGAATAAAATTCTTAGATGCCTGGTGTGTTTCAAACTGAAGCCATTAATGCTATTTTTTAACGTGTAGAATACGTGTAAAATGTTGTAAGCATTAGATAATGTATAAACCGTTTTCACTTCCCACGCCCACTGAGATGATAGAATTCCCTTTTCGAAGTCGCCTCATTCTAATACGGTTCAATTTGTGACATTTTTTTTTTCATGGATTGTTCATAGAATACCAACCGATTCGTCAGGATTGATTGATTTATTCAACTCCTTGCCCTTGAAATAATTCAACAGCAGCTGTTGTATTTTAGGGATTCTTGTAGATCCTCCCACTAGTACAATGTCCTGTATGTGATTCTTGGTTAGTTTTGCGTCTTTCACAGCTTTGTCTACTGGTTCTATCGTTCTCATGAATATATCATTGTTAAGGTCTTCAAACGTAGATCTAAAAAAAAATCCGATAGCTTATGATACTTATTTTAAAGCAACATTAACCTAACTAATGGTGATCGATTTAGAGGTACTTCTTTAAGAAACTGTATAAGAACAATCAATTTTTACGGACTTTCTTTGTTAATGATTTTTTAAAAGGCGGCTGTTATCGTGGTCAATATGGTTTATTTTCGAATTCTAATTTTCGCTGTACCGTCCGATCATTTCGAATGGGATTTGCCGACCGTTATTTATTTATTTGGGGTGTTCACAGCCAAAGCCAACACATACCCACTAAGTTACAATAAAATATGAGTAACGTGTACAAAATTATGATATATTAAAGTATAATTGACTACGAAATGATTAATTTGACGTGATTATTGATTTAAAAACTTGGATTTTACGACTAATATAGTGATCTTATTGCAAAGCAAGTCCTCTTCACAAAATTGATTGTAGGATCTTTGTACTCCTACTAACGGAGAAATTCTACTTATGCTAGTTCGCCAATATGATAACTTGAACATGTTATAATGATAATTCCTATCTGGAACATTAAAGTGAACTAGGGAAAGCAGATTGTTGCAGTCGTAAACGTTATTAACCAGTTCGAATATATAACAAATATCAGAAATTATTCTTCTATTAAACAGTGATAACATATTAAATTTTTTCACGATTTTACCATAATTGCCATCAATGATAGGAGTGCCACGTTTGAAGCCAAGCGTAAGTAGAAACTTATGATGGATACTTTCAATTCGATGAGAATGAGTGGCGTGGGCTGGATTGCACATAACAGAGACGAAAGAAAGTTTACTGAATACATAGGAGTAATACAAGGAAGTCAGGGTTCTTGGATTTTTGAAGGTTTCACATGTCTTTTTTATGTTATCTCAATATGGCATTTAGAAGTAAGTTTCTCAACTATATAGACACCTAAATATTTAGCTACCTCTACCTGTTGCAATTCAGTATTATCTTATGTATATTTGTATTCTATTAACGTTTTTAGTTAGGCGCATATAGTTACAATTATCTAAGTTCAGGGCTGTTTCGTACCATCACAACCCACTATATTCAATAGCCTGAAATTCAAGGTCATGATCTTCAAAGCATTTGGTTTTACTAAAACGGTGCGGCCTTACCTACAGCACAGTCCTTGAAATTCACACTCCTAGGCTTTTACTTTTGTGGCTGTCTACATTGATAAAATATTACGATTGAAGTATTAGGAATCATCAAACAAAGTAATCTTAAAATGAACCACGTTACTCGCAGTGATGGTCAATAAGGAATGTCATCAAGATTTCTTTTGTTTGATAATAAAGATAATTTTATTGATTTTATTTTAGTTAAAGGAAAATAATGAATTTCGAGTATTTGAGAGCGACATACGAGTAATTTTATAGTCCTACCTGGTCATGCCGGTACATAGGTCAACTCCCTCTGCTAGTGAGTCAATCTCAATAGATGCTTCTGTAGCCGATGACAATGTCCTCTTCGCTCTTTCGCAGGCAGTTTGCAATCTCCTTAACGCCCTTTTGTTTTCTTTGATATCAATTTTTGTTTTTCTCTTGAATTCCTCAACAAAGTGTTGTGTCATTCTAGTATCTATATCTTCTCCACCTTGGACCAAAAATGACATGTTCAATGGATATATTTATATACGGGGTGTTTCATAAAGACATGCCAATATATCTAGAGTAGAAAGTACTTCAAAAATAACAAAAGAAGATCCTATAAATATGGTTTCAAAAATGCTCCCCTACCGAGATACATGGCGATGAAGTTTTATTTACGAAATTGAATATGTATATATATATATATCTACATCTACGAGCGGGTAAAAATACTAAGGTATAATTTTAGATGTTCAGTGAATAAACACATAGCTTTCCGGCCCAAACTAAATCAGGGACGTAGAAACTGGGGTACCTAGACCCCTATTAGGAAATATTTTCTACTCCACTGGCTCCGGAGAAGTAAATTTTATAAAATACAATTCACTTGTCGATACATTTTGCCTCTTAAGGAATTGTTGTCCGATCACTCGTTTTTGGAGATATTTAGGTTTGAATATTTGAAGTAAAAATATTCTTATGAAAAGGTTTAGCCTCCCCTATTCTGGAAACACCGTGAAGCTTGACATTGGAAACATTATAATAAGGCATGTGACCTCATTACAACATTAATTGACTAATATGCGTATCTTATCCTCAATCAGTAGCGTAGCATCCATTAAACCTTGTGTCTATACGCCACTGGTTTTCATGGTATACGTATCCTGGTATTTACCGATTTTCGATTTTTCTACTTCTCTAAAATCACAACTAGTAATTGTGGAACCAATTAATTTGAGTAAAACTCTTATTATTTTACTTGTAAAATTATCGGACCCTTTTTCTCAAAATTCTTTTGAATTTCGTATTAAGTGAGTTCAATGAAAATACCGTCAGCAACCTCGGACACAAAGTATGCGGACGAAATACAGAATTCTTTCAACACTGTTCGTACTACGCTAGGTATCTTCCAAAGAGTCAGAGAGTCTTTGTGGCGTAGGGCACGGGCTTGTGTTGAATCCAGAGGTGGCCACTTTCAACACCTCGTTTAGGTTGAATGTTATAGCATTTATTCAGCATCCCAATGTCCACACAGGAAAGGTTTAATGCTCGGTAAGCTTCTACGCTACTGATTGAGGGTAAGACACGCACATTATTGAACTAATATTGTAATGAGGTGCCATAGTTTTCTTCCATGCCACGTAGTGTTTCCAGTATCAAGCTTGACGGTGTTTTCAGAATAGGGGAGGCTAAACCTTTTCATAAGAATATTTTAGGATATTATCTCGAATATCCAAACCTAAATATCTCCAAAACGAGTGATCTAACAAAAATTCCTTAAAAGACAAAATTATGGAAAATTGCATGGTGTTTTATAAAGTACACTTTCTTCTCCGAAAAGCCTAATGTAGAAAATACTTGCTATTAGGGGTGAAGGTACCCCAGTTTCTACATCCATGGTTTAGTTTGGACCGGGAAACTGAGTCTTTAATGCTTAAGATGTGCTCACGTCACGTCTAAAATCTTAACTCATTACTCAATATTTTTTTCAATTTCGTAAATAAAACTTCATCACCATCTATCTCGGTAGGGGAGCATCTTTGGACTCATATTTATAGAAACTTTTTTGTTATTTTTGGATGTACTTTCTACCCGTGAAATATTGGCACGTCTTTCTGAAGTTACTTTCTGAGGTTGGTGTATAAAAGTAAAAGTGACCTAAGAATTTCGAGCTGACGGCAGAGCGCTATCTTAGAAAATGTTTCAGATGGCTGGAGTAGTCATGTGATTACCATTTTGAAGCTCCTTGGCGAAGTGACAAGCTTCCAAAGTTGAGAGTTTTTGTACAGACATTGGCACGCTAATTACTCCACAACATATGCAATAAAGTGTGGATAAATCTGTTTAAATTGTGGTAATGTGACGTTTGTTTCAATAGACTTTCGCATTTTTTATTGCAAAATCTGATAGACCCTTCCAAACGAAAATTGTATAAGGCTTGGACGGTCAGTTGTCTAGTTATGAGTCAATGTTCTTTGAAAGACAAAGACTTTACATTATATAGCATAAAGTACTCATTAGGAGCTTCAAAGTGATGTATCAGGAGCCCCCGCTATTCTGTTTAAAAAACTTCCTAAGAGGACGCCCATAGGAAGCATCGCTTAGTTTCAGACTGATTCTTGGAATAGACAAACCTCATTTAAGGTAGGAAACTTTAAAGCTGGACATTTTATCCGTGATAATGAAGACAAAAATAATACGAGTTTATCACTCAGACGGATATATAATTAAGGATAAATTAAGATCTCCAATGTGAAGCTTATCAGCCATTCATTTGCACTTGCTTGCTGTCCAAAAGAAAAGCTGTCTTTGTATTATCAACAGTTCAATTTAGAAACGGCCCTACTTGTGTACGGAGTTTTTAAGGTCAACAAAACTTAAAACATGCTTCTCCATTTTGTATGACGAGCTTCAGTATTTAATGTAACAACTTACCTAGATGAGTATCTCCAGAAGTAGCTTTCACCTCGAATATCCCTGCGGCTATAAGCAAAATCGATACATCAAAAGTACCTCCACCCATGTCGAAGATCAAGACGTATCTATCATCTCCGCTCTTTTTGTCCAAACCATAAGCTATCGCAGCTGCTGTCGGTTCATTTATAATACGTTGTACGTCTAGTCCAGCTATTGTACCTTAACAGTTAAATATTGCCAAATAGATTTTCTATCGAAATAAGACAGTGCAAAGCGCCATCTAGCGGTCACATGGTAGCTGGGTTGTTAAACGTGAACTGAGATCTTTACAGTTCCAACAAATAGCAGCTATGCGCTCTCGCAATAGTCGATTCTGGCGATAGGTGGCGCTTTGCGCTGTTTTATTTTGATAGAGGATAGTTGCGATGCCTTCGGTCGTTTTTCCAGAGTCGAGAGACCAAGCCTAGATCATGTTGATGAGTAGCCAACAAGAACTGATTATGTGACATTCTGCATTCTGCAGATGTCGTTGCGCAGTTTCTTTTACGTACCATGACCAACCTGCCCTAGTATTTTCCGAAACTGCGTCAATCGTGGCTGCCGCAACTCTTCTCGACATGAACATGCCAACGGGAGAATAATGATGAAGTACAAAAAACTCGAGATTTTTCCCGCTGATCATACCAGGAGAATGGAGTTTTGTGATAGCATGAGAGAAATCATTGACAACGATAACCCATTTCTTAGATATTGCTCGAGGGAAACATATATTTAAGTTTGCTATTAAGGACTCAATATCCCCAAATAGTTAATGTTTGGGAGGTATTTTAGGGGACAACATTGTTGGACGTTTCTTTATGGTACCTTAAATTCCTCGCGTTATTTGGAACTGCTTCATCACAAATTTATCCCAACTATACGAAGCCTGGCCATCAACCTTGATGATATTTCGAAGCCTTACGACACTCCCCTATGAGAGCTAGATGGGTACTGACCAAAATCGCTCATTTGTGATCTATGGAGGTGGAAACCTTGTCGTGGAATGTACAAGATGCGGTGTTGTCAAGCAAATAAATAATGCAATGTTGCAGAATTTGTGGCTATCCTGACCTTTCATTTCGACCTAAAATGGAGCGCCATTGGGACCGATCCGGAATGGATTCTAAATAGATTCAACACAATTTACAATTAAAAAATTATACCATAAAACTAAATCTGACTCAGAAATACATATAGCCTAATCAATTTCCCTGGTTTGCTAGCCGCCAATTCTACAGATATTGTCAACATTTGCTACCGCAGCACATAACCGGTTGACCTAGCCTGTACGACTAGTTTGCTCCATTGTGAAAAGGAGACATTACGTTAAAATAGAGAACAATTAAAAAAGAGTAGATGGACGAAACGAATAGAAAATATTTTAATACCTGCATCTTTGGTGGCTTGTCTTTGTGAATCATTGAAATATGCAGGAACAGTGATGACTGCTTTGGATACACGAGATGTAAGATACGTCTCAGCGATTTCCTTCATTTTACTTAACACCATCGATGATATCTCTTCCGGGTAGAAAGTTTTCGTTTCTCCTTTATATTGAACCTTAATTTTCGGTTTTCCTTTGTCGTTGATCACATGAAATGGCCAGTGCTTTATGTCTTGCTGGACTGTCGGGTCGTCAAAACGTCTACCGATGAGTCTGTAGCAAAACATACCTTGCAAATGAATATACGGAATAATAAACTATTGCCTGCTTGTCTTGCTGCGGGTTAGTTTCTGATTTATCTTCAGAATCGGATAAAGTATTATCTCCAATAAAATCCGTAGAGTATTATTATTTGTTCAATGAAGTTTGACCTTGAATATTTTGGCTTGGCTCGTATACACAGGATTTTATGATTTTAACAAAAAACCAGTAATTTTTACTAAAAAACAAATTTATTGACGGATTCGAGTTCACAATGAAATAGCGTTTGTCACAATTAAGTGTGAAAATTTACGTCAGGCATGTGGTGACCGTTTTTGAGATGCATTGCTGGAGACGTTCTTGAAAGTTCGCGTAGACTCTCTCAAGTTGGGTGACTTGAGGCGGCCAGTGAACATCACCAAACCTGGAACTGAAGCGACCATGGAAGAGAGGGCGAATAACATTCATCGTTGCTCTGGCTGTGTGGGCGGTCGTCCCATCCTGTTGGAACCACACACGTCGGAATGGGACACGTCGTCGTCGTAATTCAGGTGAAAAGAAGTTGGTAATCATTTCGATATAGCGCTGCGAGTTCACGTAACAGCATTGCCATTACCGTCTTCGAACCGTCACTTGTGGGGTGTGCAGAGGGCTTTGATGTAACTGTCGCGGATTTTCATTAGCCCATTAACGGCAATTCTACTGGTTAACCATGTCATTATGATGAAAGTGAGCTTCATCACTCATGAACAAAATGAGGTTCTCGTTTTGCTTGATAAGTGCTTCCATCTCAGGTGCGAAGTTCATTCGTTGTGCGTAATCTCAATTTGTAGGGTCGAAAGTGGAGTTTCATATGCAAAAGTCGCCTTACCGAACGACCACTGAGGCGAAGTTCAGCAGCATGCTGCCGAGCAGATCGAGCTGGTCTGCGAAGGAGGGCTTGTCGAACGCGTTCCACATTTTCAGGGGTTCGAACCGTTCAAGAAGCTCCTCGTGGTCTTCTGTTGATCACTATACCACGTGTGCGAAGTGATTGAACCCAAGTAAGGATGGTGTTTCGAGAAGTAACAGCTCGATTTCGATGAATATTGAAGTGGCGACGAAACTCACGCTTTACAGCCGTGTGTCCATTATGTCGGACAAAAGTGCCATACGCGAAAACTCGGTGCTCAACCGTCCAGAATGGCTACTGGTAAAAATGCTAGGAACGCCCGAGTCGAATGGCACTCTCTCTACTACTCTCGCCGGAAAAAAATTTTAAAAACATCCGTCCTTTATGGCGAACCCTGTATAAGAAGAAAAGTTGACTCCAAGATTTACCTTTAACCTTCAGCTTCTTTCATTCCGAAGTGCAAACTTATGTTTTACTGTAGTCCATCTAAAGCCAAAATAGAGTCGATGATAGATAAATATGCTTGATTGTCTGAAGAATACAATCATTCTTAACAACAAAGTTAACTTTAAACCATAACATAATTACATACGTGTTTCTTAAGTAGGTGAATAGTAGATATAATTTAAGATCTTGTTTTCGCCTGATATTGTAACATATTTATTGTTTCAAATTTAGATTTTTTGTTGTTGTTGACTTTTCCAACATGAACAATGATACAACAGTTATTATCTTAAGATTTATGTTTATGACATAGTCGAAAGCTTTGGAAAAGTCACAAAGAAGGGATATTAAAATTTGTTTATCGTTTCAATTTGAGTATAATTCTTGAAGTAATGTGAAAATTGCATCCAAGATATTTTTGTTTTTATAGTCCAAATTAGTTGTAAATTATAATTTTGTAAGTCTCTTAATCTAATTTGAACTAGTTTTCTATTATTTTTGCTACAACAGTAATCAAACTTAAGGCCCGTATCGTCAGTCGTCCCTACAATTCTAGGGCGCGTTTATGGCCCCCTTGATTGTCATACTCCTTTCTCTCCTTCAAAAATTTCTAGAGTACACTTGTCCCGTGTCAGCGTCAGCGCTCTCCTGTTGTGAAAATATGTTTTCTTTTTAAATTGTAGGAAATTTCAGGCTGACAAAACATGATATAACTCAAAAGCAAGCACAATTTGATGCAAATAGATGTTTGTGACATAACCTCAAAATAGAGCGCTGACACGGAGAAGTAGAAAATTATGACAATCAAGGAGGCCATAAAGGCGCCCTACAATTGTAGGGACGACTGACGATACGGGCCTAAGGGTCTATAATTTTTTGGTAAAACTTTTGGACATCCTTTATAAATAGGAATAACTCCAATGTTTGCAAAAATTCTGAATGAACACCTGTGGTAAGAAAAATATTTATACGTTTTGCTAGCGTATGAAGAGCATCAAATGAAGGATTAGCTATAACAATCAAAGAAATTTGATCAATGCCTCATGATTTTTTATTTTTGATACATCTGAATACTAATTGCAGTTCATGAATGTCCGTATGATAAAGTAAAAATTTCTGAATTTAAGCACAGTCATGTACTGCGGTTATGAAGTTGAAAAATTAGATACATGATTCCATTTTGTGCTGGCCATGTGGCGGGCATAACGTCGATGCTCCAAATGATCGAATACGAATTCACCAGTGGGCGTTACCTTATCCACCTAATGCTCAGCGATTACGTGAAGGTTTTTTTTTACATTTCACTCCATGTAGGGTTTGGACAGACTGAAATAATGCAATAAACCACTTACCTTTTTGCATCGTATACGGTGTTTGTGGGGTTCATGGTCATTTGACCTTTGGCGGGATCCCCAATGAGTCGCTCAGTATTTGTGAAAGCCACACAACTCGGAGTGATTCGATTCCCTTGTTCATTTGAGATGATATCCACGGTTCCATTGCGAAATACTCCAACGCAGGAATATGTGGTGCCTAGATCTATGCCTACTGGCCATCCCATCGGCAACGCTGTGGCCATTTCAGATGTTGTTTTTTTACGTACACTTACAATTTAGGGATCTCCATCTTGATGTTGTGGGATTTCAGAGCTTGGAGTAATCTAGGATGATTTTTTGAGTTAGAGTGACAAGGTTGATACGTGTCACTCTAACCTGAAAAGTGGCATTGATGTATAACTGATTTATACGACTATTACAGAGTGAATGAGTGAATTTTGTATAGGTCTAAATTTTGGAAAGTAAGCGAAATATTTATGCAAGGATAATAGGCAGTCCCGGAAAAAGTATCATACTATATATACAGGGTTGAGTCATTTATTTTAACAGTGAGTAGATCTGATCAAAAGAAATGTTTTTTCCTTTAACAGTTTTGTGGTAAAATTAAAGTAACAAAGTTATAGCCCTTTAGAAGTTTGAGTACCGCCCTGTCTCAATAATAATATTATGTGCTCGTGTTTGGCAACAACGGATATAATCCGCCTTATCGGTTCATCGCATCGGAAACAAAAAAGCGAACGAATTTGAAACGCTGATCACGATGTTTTTATTCAGTCTGTGTCAGTCGCTAACGCGTGTGTGAATAGTGGTGTTTGCTGCGTGGCTCAAACGAAATAAAAAATGGCACATGTTTATGCGGATTGGTTTCCCAATCGAGTGCAACCAACCCCTCGTGCCTTTGTTAATGTAGTACAACGGGCTCGTGAATCAGGTGACTTAAGACCTCACAGGGGAGGGCATGCCGGTGCTCCAAGACCTCACGATCAAATACAGGTCCGCACTGAAATACTTGTCGGGAGGATACTTTATAAAACAAGGTAACATTTTTTTTAATTTTTTTTTTATTTTTACACACATATTTTGGTTTATCTTCCTTCTACAATCATTATCTGAAAATTAATGACTCAACTTCAAAGTCACCCTGTATATATATTTTTTTTCTGCTCGACTCCACCTTCCTGCTTTTTGCGGATTTTGCCCCATTATTTTCCTATTTTTCAATATATATATATATATATACAGGGTGGCCAAACACGTGACGTCATAAAAAAAAAATTAGATTCCCCACATCGAGAGGAACCCAAATCACCCCCATATATATGGTCCGATTTTGTTTAGTTTAGGAGTTATGATTTTTTTTCGGATTTTTCGAGAATTTTTGAGTTCTGTGTTTATTTTTACCATAACTTCGTTAATAATTGTGATAAATGCCTGCTTTTTTCACGATTATGTAGCTGAGACCTAAGGCTTAACTATCATATAATCATTCAAGTCATGTAACTAATGCTACTTTTTAATTTTTTTCAAAATCTTCGAACATAACAAAAAAGTAAAAAAGTGCAACAACTTTGAACGTTTATAAAAAATTGAAAAAACATGTTCTTACTATTCGTAAGTATCTTAAAAACTTCCTTACGGTATCAGCTATTTACCGTAAAAATTTCATCAACCTAGCTTTACTACATGCTACCGTAATTGTGGCTCAAATAGAACCGAACCCAAAATTGGATAACCCTCTGCTCAATAGAAATTGTTAGTTTCGGAAAAAAAATTTGCAAAAACCACAAAAACACGTTTGATTTTTACTGAACAGCAGATTATTATTCATTTATGTTATTTACAAGAGGTTTTCAAAATGTCTGCCTCTAACAGAAATGCACAGTGTACACCTACGTATGAAATTTTGTTTTAAATCTCTAAATGCTTGTGTGTTGTTTTTCAACACATGTGTCGCTTCTTGAATTTTGTTCCTCAATGAATTTCCATTTGCACATTCTTGGGCGAATGTTATGTCTTTAAAATATCCCCAAACAAAAAAATCAATGGGGTTGAGGTCAGGGGAGCGTGGAGGCCATCGTATCGGTCCGTTTCGTCCGATCCATCTGTCTGGGAACCTTTCGTTTAAGTAGTTTCGCACGATCGTTGCGTTGTGGCATGGTGCACCATCATTCTGGAACACCATGTTCCGTCTGGCTTCCAGGCTTGAATCTTCCAGCAATAATGGTAGGCTATTTTCAAGGAAGCTTTTGTAGGCTACCGAATCCAACCTTGACGGCAGTTCAAATGGACCGATAAATTCCATATTGAATATTCCTGACCACATGTTCACACTAAAACGGTGTTGAAATGTCGACGGCCTTGACTGGTGGGGGTTTTCAACAGCCCAAGTATGTAAATTATGGATATTGAATATCTCTGTTCTTTCAAAACGTGACTCGTCAGTCCATAAAATTTTATCAAAAAAATCGGGATCCTCTCGTTGTCTTCGCAGCATTGTCTCGCAGAAATCCAATCTTAACTGGTAATCTGAAGGCATCAACGCTTGAACTCTTTGAACATGATAGGCATGATAACCTTCTTCATGAAGAATATTTTGTATCGATGTTGGTGGTATTCTAAGGTTTTGTGCCATAGATCTCGTACTCGTTGAGGGATTCCGGCTAATTTCTTCAAGTACTACTTCTCTGCGATCCGGATCAGCTGTAGGATATCCTTCATTGCTTCCTCGTCCTGGAATGCGGCCTGCCATGAAAGTGTTATGTGTGTTAATAAAAACACGGTGGTCTGGGTAATGCTCAGGTTGTGGTCCGCCTCGGCGTATAAGTTGTTCCCGGTACAAGGTTGGATTCGGTAGCCTACAAAAGCTTCCTTGAAAATAGCCTACCATTATTGCTGGAAGATTCAAGCCTGGAAGCCAGACGGAACATGGTGTTCCAGAATGATGGTGCACCATGCCACAACGCAACGATCGTGCGAAACTACTTAAACGAAAGGTTCCCAGACAGATGGATCGGACGAAACGGACCGATACGATGGCCTCCACGCTCCCCTGACCTCAACCCCATTGATTTTTTTGTTTGGGGATATTTTAAAGACATAACATTCGCCCAAGAATGTGCAAATGAAAATTCATTGAGGAACAAAATTCAAGAAGCGACACATGTGTTGAAAAACAACACACAAGCATTTAGAGATTTAAAACAAAATTTCATACGTAGGTGTACACTGTGCATTTCTGTTAGAGGCAGACATTTTGAAAACCTCTTGTAAATAACATAAATGAATAATAATCTGCTGTTCAGTAAAAATCAAACGTGTTTTTGTGGTTTTTGCAAATTTTTTTTCCGAAACTAACAATTTCTATTGAGCAGAGGGTTATCCAATTTTGGGTTCGGTTCTATTTGAGCCACAATTACGGTAGCATGTAGTAAAGCTAGGTTGATGAAATTTTTACGGTAAATAGCTGATACCGTAAGGAAGTTTTTAAGATACTTACGAATAGTAAGAACATGTTTTTTCAATTTTTTATAAACGTTCAAAGTTGTTGCACTTTTTTACTTTTTTGTTATGTTCGAAGATTTTGAAAAAAATTAAAAAGTAGTATTAGTTACATGACTTGAATGATTATATGATAGTTAAGCCTTAGGTCTTAGCTACATAATCGTGAAAAAAAGCAGGCATTTATCACAATTATTAACAAAGTTATGGTAAAAATAAACACAGAACTCAAAAATTCTCGAAAAATCCGAAAAAAAATCATAACTCCTAAACTAAACAAAATCGGACCATATATATGGGGGTGATTTGGGTTCCTCTCGATGTGGGGAATCTAATTTTTTTTTTATGACGTCACGTGTTTGGCCACCCTGTATATATATATATGTATATAAAGGGTGTCCAAGAAAAGGTTCCTATGCATGGTGATCTCAATACCCGTGGGAGATAAATCTGAGGCTAAATTAAAAAAACTAAAAAACACGCTTTTATCGCTAACTGAACTAAAAAGTAGAAAATAATTTTTAATTACGAAGAATTTATATTACACTAGTAGACGGCCGAATAATCAATCATAATTAATGACCTCAAAACAAAATTATAATAAAATTTAAGTTATTAACAGAATAATTTAAGTCAGAGTAAAACGCGTCGGGTGCTTGATATATTGAATGTTACAATCATTCTTTTGGCAACTATCTATGAGACGAGACTTATGAAAATGTGGTAAAATCCACCCCACGCTTTTTACTCTGAATTGAATTATTCTGTTAATAACTTAAATTTTACTATAATTTTATTTTGAGGTCATTAATTATGATTGTTTTCTACTTTTTAGTTCGGTTAGATACAAAAGCGTGTTTTTTAGTTATTTTAAACTATTCTTTGTTTTTAATTTTTTAGTTCGATTTATCAATTATTCTTTGTGGACATGTCATGATATTGCATTGTCATAGGTCCTTGATACGTGAAGAAGTTTCAAATTAATCTAACTTCTGTAAATTCATGAAAATTATGCTCAAAGATTCCGTTACATAGATACATCATACATACATGCATACATACATATAGTAATGTACAAAAGTATATAGACAAATATGAATGTTTACCTAAATACCTTTAGAAAACAAATTCATACTTCATTGCTCCATAAACAAATGCGTTATTAGTAGAAAAACTAAATTCCTTGTTTTTACATTATCTGCAATGAACACAAAACAGAAGAGTTTGTGTTCATCAAGTATTGTGGAATAAGTTGAGTGATTTTAAGACCATGCCGCGTGGTCCAGAAATTTCATTCGATGTGAAAACTAAGATCATTGAGTTATACAAAGATGGTCAACGTCAAGTCGACATTGCCAAAAATTTGAAGCTGAAGCTCAAAGCAGTTTGGACAATATTGAACAAATATAAACAAAAAGGTATCTTGGAAGCCTCTGAGAGAAGTGGTCGGCCTAGAAAACTAAATGCTAGATCAGTTCGATTAATAAAAGTAATTTCGTCCAAAGATCCATTTAAAACCGTTTAAGACAAATAAAAGCCGAAATCGAGACAAAAGGAATTGTCAGTGTTTCTACGAAAACTATAAGTAGAAGATTGAATGATTTGAAGAAACCGTAAGGTCCGATTACAATTTGCACGGTTGCATCTTGATTGGAGCATCTGTGACCGGAAGAGGGTATGTTTCAGTGCCGAATCCAAGTTCAATATGTTTGGATCAGATGGTGTGAATTACGTTAAACGTCCTAGTGGACAAAGATTGAACCCCAAGTACACTTTGCCCACTGTCAATCATGGAGGCAGGTCTGTTATGGTTTGGGGGTGCTTTTCGAGGTTTGGGATGGGACCTTTACATAGAATAGATGGCATGATGGATAAGTTTGTATACACACACACATACTAAAGCATGTATGTTACCCTATATGGAAGACAATAATATGCCCTTAAGATCAATCTTCCAGCAAGATAATGACCCGAAGCACACTTCAAATCTCGCAAAGAAATTCTTTCTGGATGAAAAAATACCAGTTCTCAAATGGCCTTCACAGTCTCCCAATATAAACCCCATTGAAATGGGAATACTTAGATAAGCAAATACGAGATAAAAATTATTCAAACAAGGATGAACTTTTTGGCACTTCAGAGCAAAAGTGGAGACAGATTGATGAATTTTATATCAAGAAACTTCTACAATCTATGCCGAGACGATGCCAGGCGGAGATTGATAATAATGGTTATGCTACAAAATATTAACACAAAGATGGTTGGTATTGCTATAATTCAATGAACTTTGCTTCTTTTTTCTATAATTGTTTTGTGTTGTCTATATATTTTTGTCCTTCATAGTTCCAGTTTTTTCATTTAATTTTTTATTGAAGCGAGTGAATTTATTTATGTATAAGTGAGTATCATGCTATAACGAATTATGTATACAGGTTGATGTATTAATTAAACAAGTTAAAAAAGAAATACAGGACAAAATTAATTTGTCTATATACTTTTGTCCATTACTGTACATACATACATACATACATACATACATACATACATACATACATACATACATACATACATACATACATACATACATACATACATACATACATACATACACACATACATACATACACGCAACTTTTTTCTAATATAACCTAACCTGTATCTCCCACAGGTATTGAGATGCCCATGCATCCTTTTCTTGGACCCCTGATAATGCATAAAACCCTTTATACCAGAAGGTGTAGGGTGTGCTCATTTTATATTGATAGAAAACACTTTTAAAAGCAACTAAATTATTCAATAGATAGATAGAACATTTTTTGTCTTGCATTTCTGAGAGGTTTAGGATGTGCGGGAAAGAAGCGAACAGTCGGAAATCAGTGCAATGGCTTTTTATTTATGTGTCACAAAAACTAAATAAGAGACACACATACTCAAAATGTTTATCATAAAAATATAAAATTGCTGCTGGAGCTATCTATTGATCGATATTATAGATTTCACTTTGCGTAAGTAGTATTGATTTTGTGATTTTGGACTTCGAGGCTCGAAATGAATTATTGGGTTTTGTATATAAATTGAAAAAATAAATATTATTTAAATTAAGGTTTAATTATCGGTAAAAAACATAATCCGATCATAATTAATGTTGTACAACAAACTTGATTTTTACGCTGCTTGTTTTTTAGTGAAATGTGTCAATGAATCTGTTGTGAATTAACAGTGTCGCATACATTAGACATCAAGCTCATTATTTTGTTTCAGGGCATTTAAAAGCTTTAAGGAGCATTTTCCAGAGCAGGCTGAGACTTTGCTGCAGTCCCTAGATCCCGCCTACAAGAGGGCTTTGCAGGGTGAGTCAATGTCTGCTAGTTCATCACAAAGCAACATTGCTGGTTCCTTGAAGATGTCTAGAACATATGGTAGATCTGCAGTGACTAGTGCATCAGGTATGTTTCTGATACCAGATAATAAAGATATTTTTAATGCAAGCGGCTAAAACTCCATGTTCTTCTGACCGCTATTCAAGCACTTAGTGATCATTGGTAAATTTAACTTCGACGACGTTTATCAGTGCATTTCCAGACTACAAGCGAAAAATATGTCATACCAAATAACTACCCACCATTGGCCCACCATCTTGTCTTCATTACTATGAGAAAAATTAAACAACTCCCATCAAAACAAATTCACGTTAAATGACACTAAATATCTGTTGAATTTCGGTTACTGATATACTAGTTTTGATTAATTTAAATTTCCGAAGATTTTAAGTTAGTAGACAAATGTAATAGGCTAGTTGTCACTTTTTTAAGCAGGTCTCAAATAGTTAATATTTGTTTTTGTTAGATCAGAGAAATTAATACCATTTTTTTTTCAGACCTAAAAGACAGTAACTTTAATATAAAAATATATGTTTCTTAGACAGGCGAAAACGCTATGCGCCATATTGGGCACATATTAATGTGTTCTGGCGTCATACTATTTGTAAAAAGCAGCTGACAGTAGCATCACCTGTCAAACTTTCTAACATATAAACATGACTTCGACCAGTTTACATGGAAAATATAGTAATTATCGTTACTGTATCGTCCGAGAATGTGAAAACATAAAGACACCAAGAAAGCTGTGAGTTAGAGTGCCCAGGGAGGTAAAGATACGAGATACGCAACATTGTGTATTGCTTGGAGCACACCTTATGTTCGGGACATAACATATTTTACATTTTACTAAGAAGATCTTATTGTCTCGTTTACGTTGGACGTAACCTATGGCATCATTACCGTACGATTCCATTGCTTATGTGTAAGAAGAAATGAGCTTAGTTTTGAATGATTTCTGAATCAATGTGTCAATTTTCGGTAAATTTGTGCTATCTGATTTTACGAATCCAACGGGCATGATTGTTTTTTTTCAATAAAACTAAAAAACGATAACTTTTTACGTTGATTAGGAGTTTCCTAGAAATATTTAATGAAACAACTTTAGTCCACGAGTGACACAATTTGTATGACGTCAAATCATAGCATATAGTGTTTTTTCACCGTTTCATATATATATATATATATTGCTCAATATTTTATATTGGGCGTATATATTCATCTTGCGTTTTTACAATTTGAAATCGATATGTTTCGTTTTCCTAAGCGAAATACTATAAATCTTTATTATCGGAAAGTATATTTACATGGTGTCCGCAAAGTTGGGGTTTTCCTTTTCAGAAACAACTACCCTTGAAATAACAAAGGTAATGTGTAGTGAAACGAGGGCGACCAAGTAAAAAAAAAAAGGAAAAAGTACTCACTCTCCAGTTGACGAGAAGGGCTAAGTACGTCTCTGCCCGAAATCATACCGCTCCAACAGAAAATGAAATCAGCTGATGCGCTACCGAGCAGACGCAGGTGGTGGTGCAGATCACGAACAGAGGTAACAAATATGACGGCGTTGCCGCGTTTTCAGTTTTTAGGTAAACGTACTTGGTATTGTTCAAAGTTATCGCCGTTTGATTCAAAAACACAGGTGCGTGCACGACGTAGCCAAGCATCGGTACAGGCTTTGAGAATGAAAGCACCAGCTTGTTCAATTCTGAGACGAAGTTCGTCAACCGTATGCACTTCAGTTTTGTACACTAAGCGTTTCATTTCTCCCCAAAGAAAAAAATCACATGGTGTTAAGTCTGGAGATCGCGGAGGCCACGCTACGGGTCCATTACGTCCGATCCACCTATTCGGAAATAATTCATTCAAAAACTCACGCGTCTAAAACCACGAGCAGAAACCACATTGATTGACTTACACTTAATGGCACATCTTCTAACAAGGAAGGCAAAATGTTGCGTAAAAAGTCTAGGTATTGCATCCCGTCCAATCGATTTGGGAGAATAAATGGTCCAATGAGCATACCGTTCACCATGCCAGCCCAAACATTCACCGAAAATGTTTGTTGAAAATGTGCCCGACGGACAGCGTGCGGATTTTCTACTGACCAAACATGAGTGTTGCGAAAGTTATTCACCCCATTACGAGTGAACGTAGATTCGTCTGTCACCAATATGCACTTCAAAAAGTCCGGATTATTGTCATGTTGATATAACAACCACTCACAAAACCGCACTCTTGCTGGAAAATCGTCAGGTTGAAGGGCTTGTACACGTTGGACGTGAAACGGATACAGCCCCTCTTCATGCATCGTTTGCCACACTTTAGTTTTTGATACTTGCACTTCTCTAGCCACGTCTCTAGTGCTTGTTGAGGGATTCGCGTCTACGCGATTACCTCTACACGCGTGACCGTAACCGTCGGTTGAAGGTTGCATACTGACCTGACAGACTGACCCCGACCCAGTTCTGTCGTCGGGTTGAGCTAGTGTCCTAGTACCACTCGGGGATGTCGCGGCTACAGGACGGTATTCAGATATTTTTGATGTTGCAGAGCCCTTTATCTCGGTTCCCTTAAGACATTGGTGTATATGGTACTAAGAAAAATTGCTTATGTTTTCAAGATCTACACGTCGTGTAAAGGAAAACCCCAACTTTGCGGACACCCTGTATATATGACGCAAGTAGCTATTGGATTATTTACCAAAATGTGCAAAAACGGTTTATCAATTTTCACTGCCTATTTCACAAGATCCTTACATCAATTTCTGTTGACTATACAACCCCTAGTGTTTCTGTACCAGTTGTCCTTCTGAAGTTGTGTGTGTTTTGTGTAGATTCTTACAATTTCGATAGTATTTCATATAGAAAACACTGACACTGATCTTTATTATTGCTGCTAACTTTGGATGCTTAGGCAGTACAGAAAATGTATGTGCTGCAAGTGGTGGGCTTCACAGAGTTCCATCTTTACCCCGAACTTACAGACGGAGCAGCGGTATACCAGTTCTCACAAAAGAAAGTATGTAGATGTGATCAACAAAGCCTGTCTGTTCAGCTTTATATATTTTTGTTTCATGCCACAAAAAGTCAATGTTCACTGCCATCATGATCACTGTCGTTATTTAATGCTGATGTGTTCTTAAACCTCCTTATTTAATTAGCTGATTCATTTTAAAATACACCTATGGTATGAGGTCTGCAAATTAAGTAATGAGGCTTGATTTTTTAAATTTTTTTCATTCAAATATAATTACAATTTCATATTGTCACCCTCAACATAACTTCATTCTGAAGCCACACAGTGCTCGAGACGGTTCTTCTCCTCCTAGCAGTGCTGGAACTGGATACTGGAATAGCCTTCAGCTGACCGGGTACAGCCGTTTGAATGTTTTCGACTGTCTCAAAATGAGTTCCTTTGAGATGATTTTTCAACTTCGAGAAGAGAAAAAAGTCACAATGACTCATGTCAGGCGAATAAGGAGACTGAGGAGCCGAATAGTGTTTTTACTGACCAAAAACTCGTTTTCTTGACATTTTTATGGGACAAGGAGCGTTATTTTAATGCAACACACTGTTGTTCTAGGTGTTTAGTCTCACACCACTGACCCTTTTTCGATTTTTTTAAGAATCTCCCGGTAAAAGTGTTGCTTGTCCGTTTGGCCTTGAGGTAGAAACCTTTGTGGACGATTCTGTGAATATCGGAAAAACAAATCAGCATGCATTTGATCTTCGACTTGGTCTTTATTGCTTTTTTGGGCCTTGGAGAGGTTGAAGTGTGTCACTCCATGTTCTGGCGCTTGGTTTCTGGGCCGTACTCAAACACCAAAGACTTTCACCAGTAATGACACGTTTCAGAAAATGGGGGTCAGTTTCAATGGAATCGAAAAAGTCAAGGAACCTTTCCTTCCTGCTGTCCTTTTGGTCTTGCGAAAAGTTTTCTGGAACCATTTTTGCCCAGATTTTTCTCATCTCCAATTATACTGGTCAAAATCTGATGAACGGTGGTACGAGTCAAATTTAACTGTTCCCCGATCATTCTGACTGTCGACCGACGATCCAAACGCACAACATCCCGGATTCTGTCGATATTTTCGTCGGTTCGTGAAGATGACGCCCTTCCGCTTCGTGGTTCATCTTCAGTCGACTCTCTCACTTTTGAAAATGCCTTAAACCAGCGAAAAACCTGCGCTCTTCAAAAAACACTATTCCGTTGCACTCTGTCCAAGTTTAAAGCAAAACTTGATAGCACACCGTTGCTCGAAATTGACACAAAAAAAATCTATACGGACAACCAAAATTAGTCGAGCGAGTTCAAACTTGTACTGACGGCGGATCACATCTTCCTCTGTCTCCCCTCCAAGCCCGGCGCCTACAGTGGTGCCAGATCCAACGCTACGTTGCCAGTCTCATTACTTAATTCGAAGACCTCGTATGTTAGGTTATGTTTTAGAGTTGCATCCTGTGTAAAACACTGCATCAGAAAATAGGAACAGCAGTTTCAAATTCATCCTAATCGGTACTTATAAACTTTTTGTTCTATGTCTATACAAATAATTTTGAGCGTATCTTGTTTTTCGTTTAATAATTAGATCAGAATGCGGGCAATGTTCGATAGACGGGTGTCTCATTATAAACGTAATCAGAAACAAACTATCGACTGCCGAACATTGTTGAGGTACAAAAATTGCGTGCATGAATACGCGCTACCAAAAATGTTTTGTTTAGACTTCAACTATTTGGGCTTTCTTTTTTTAGATTCAGGTAGGAGGGGCTTCCGAAGCAACTCTGCAATTGATTTGCAGGCAGCTCAAAGGGCCAAAGCTAGAGCACAGTACTCAGCGATGGCGCGAAGTAAAATACAGTCAGGAACAGCCAGTCTACGTAAGATACTATGACTCCTCTAGTTTTATTCCGCTTGTTATTTTACTTGAGCAATTTCATTACAGCATGTTTGATACATACAGATTGTCGCTGGCGTTTTAGGACGTATCGTTTCTCTTAACAAGGATTTTCTTAACCCATTATATTCGATCAACAAGCAAAATTATATAAGCTAAACCAGGTGTCAAAATTTGAATTTCATGAGTACTTATTTTTTAGTATGATTGGGTGACTATATTTATTAATTTCAGTTTGGTTGTAGCATAGGTGCTTCTTGTAGACTCGTAGATATTCGACCTGCTTCGCTAATTACGACATTTGCTTGCCTTATGTCAGTATTTTTGAAAATACAGCAAAACTTTTACTACATATATTGAAAGCAGTAGCTTAAACTAACTTAATTGGGATAGAGGTGATCCTCTCTCATCTTAAGATAGCTTATTGTTTTTTTAAGTAGACTATCTTAATTACAATGTGGTTATTATTTATTCTATTTTGTTGTGGAGTTTGAGAGAACAAATAATCTAATCATAGTGTAATGCCTAAAAGAAAAGTCATGATTCCATTTTCCAGACGTGACAATCATTGTATTGTCAATAGGCTTCCATAATCAACTCTTTTGCGTGAAACAATAAATTATATATTTTTCACATATTTTCTGTTATCTAGTTTTAAGTCATCAATAACGAGTAACGCTATTTTGCTACTAGATTCTTTGGTTATAATACCTTGAAAGCTAGAGATATCAAAGGCGTGAATAATTCAAGAAAGGTGCTATGTTGCTAGAATACAGGAAACTATGTGAATAAGGTATTATTGATGCATTTTAGTGTGATGTGACTTAATTAACGATCATTTTGTTTGCTTTTCCATGTACAACAATAGAGGGTGAAGTGGCTCAGCAAGGTACTTACCTATTTAACAATATTGAACATAACTTTGTAGACTTTCGGTATGTTGATGATTGTTTCAACCTCATTATTATTTTGTCTTGTATATAAAAAATATATGTTTGGGCTTGTTTACCAAACATATTACTTGGTATTCTTTCATGCATATTGTTAGTTTAATTTTGAGAGGTTTTGAAAACCTCTAGTTTCAGAAAATTGTTTCCAGGGGTGTACTCGAATGTCGAATGGTAAACGTCGCATGCGTGAATGATAAAATGTCTCGCGAAACTGATAAACTGCCTTCCTGAATCTCGCAATCGACTTTTTTCATTCGATAAAATCTCGCAAAGTTAAGACCATGCGTCAATGAATGGATCGTACGAGATCACCAAATAGAAGTATAAGTTGCTGGAAAATACTTGTTTCTTCGCTATTGACAACATTTTCCTTTAATATAAAAATCTTAGCAAAAGACCCCCCCTCCCCATCCGCTACTATACCAAGGACGCAAGAGCTTTTTAGTGTTTGGAAATAGCTCCAGTGGCGGCAGAGAAAAAGGCAAAAAACGAAAAAGAATAAAAATCGCTCAAACCTTGTTTTTTGACGTTCCCGAGGAGCCTGATCATTTATGAAAAATAATTTTAGGAGTAAGCAAACTTGGAGGTGGGGAGGCTTATCTCAATTTTTGGATGTATATTTATACGCTCCCAACCTTGGTAATTTTACGCACCTGTTGTACATGTTTCACACATCATAGATTTCCCCACATATTAGCCCTCAAAAACTATTATCAGCAGTCGGATCGCGGTTGCTGCTCCCGAGGCCATGCCGTCGGCCTTGATGACTGCTCGGTTATGGTATGGTATTAGACGTATTTCTGCCGTGCTACAGCATAGTGCTGTGCTCTAGCCGCTTGCCGCGTCTGACCGTGTTATGTATCGCTGAAAGGTGTCGTTTCCAGATGCCTTACCGGTAAGGCGAGGTAAGAAGGTCTATGGGCTAATTGTATGGACCTGTTTGGCTGACCTTTTTCTCAGAGGGGTCTAGTTTGTGCTGAACATACTTTTTTTATGAACTGATTACGGCGTGGTGAGTGCAGAGCCAACCTACTTCACGCCATTTTTTTCATTGAGATTTGATTTCTCAGATATTTTTGATGTTTAACTGTATAATTGAGCTTAATAGTGTGTATAAGCGAGACATTTTATTCAGGTGTAGACAAGTTATGACATGTTTGTTTAGGAACATTCGAATTTCAGCTGCACTTGCTTGAAAAGGAAAAGTCTCCATTAAACATCCATAAAAACCTAGGTCCTTGAGATCTCAGTTATGCAGATTTGATTGGGGTTAAAACAACATCTAAAGTAACTGTTTTATTGAGAATGCTTCATGCTTGCGTATAGTTTTTCATCACATATTAACATTTGATTTATTAAACATATTAATAATCCATTTCGATAATTGAACATTTCGTAATATGTATTTATGACTTAATTGATATCGAGGCAAGTGGTATTGCTATCCTAGAATGTACAGTATGAATATATTTCTTGAATACCATTTTAAGGAATTGTAGAACTGTTATAATCTTATTAAAGAAAGAGTTATATATATAACATTTAGGTTCCATTTATATTGATTTCATATATGAGCTATCGCAATATGATTATTGATTCACTTCAATGAATTTATAAATTTCCCATTTCATAAAATTAAGTTTCGAAGCATGTAGTATTTTGCTTTATATTTTTCTCTTTTACAAGCACTTTTTTCATTGGATTAGTAATTTGGCTTTGATGCGAGATTAAATGAACAAAAGAACCACTTGCTAAGATGCTATTAGTTGCAAATGCATTGAAGTAATTAATTCTGACGGAAATCTTTGTATAGCTCGTCCAAGAAAGCTATCTGACCAGATGGCATCTCCAGAAAGGACTAGCAGAACGAGAAGTCGTAACTCACAGTCGCAACGTAAGTACTTTAGTCCTACTGATTTACAAAAATCCCCGTAAAATTTGGATTTTTGTCTTGATCCCTTAATTTTTTAGGGTTTTGTAAATAAAAGTTATTGTTTTGATAGAAGCTTTGATTTCATGTTTAAATGTGTGTTTTTCTTGAAAGTAATACCAATAACTCAAAAACATTTGGAAAAAGGTTGTTTAAAAAAAGTTCACAAAAACTATTTAACGGTGTAGAAATATACAGGATGTTCCATTCGAAATTTTTTAAAAAAGGTACATTTGGCGCTTTGAGATACCCTGTATAGTTAGGAAGACTTTTCAGCACTTTTTCCAGATCAGCTTGATGATAATATAATTTTTTTGAACTAAGATTTATGTAAATATCTTCAAAAGTGGCGGAGCTGCGAGCCGTCAAAGCTGACCATTTTTTCAGACATTTCACCAAATACCTAAGCAATTGAAAATCGAAACTATATGTTATATGATATCAAGCTTCTTGTTTTTAGAAGCTCTATTCACATATGCAATAAATGGGGGGTGGTCTATTAAAAAAAATATGTATGCTATGACACGAAGTTATGGAACACCCTGTATATATAAAAATAATTGTAACATATGCACTAGTAACATATCAAGGTTGCCCCAAAAACAGATATCTTTTCGTTTGCTCATAAAGCTACTTTCTATTTTCGTTGGAACACCCTGCATATACGTGGATTTCACGAAAACGTTTTTAGGTTAAACTGCTGTAAACTCTCTAAATAAATTATCTATAGCATCATTTACTGACTACTCTTCAGTGACGTGGATCTTTTAGTCCTGATCCATTTGTCGCTACTGCTACAATTGACCTCGCCTCACAGATACCCTAATATTGATGATATGATAAGGGAAGTTTATTTTGTATGGCTTACATTGCGCTGGAAATATGTCATATCTACAGCCTACTCATCTTTGATATATTTTCTCATGCATTCACTCTAGTTACTTTTATAACAATATGTTTTCTTTACAGCAACAAGTAGGTCTGGATCTCCAAGTTCTCGATTGGCGTACATTTATCAACGAAACACTGGTGATCATGATTCACCAAGAACACGAAGACTACCTTCTGGTATTCCGAGGTCGACGACAGGTTCCAGGGATGGATCTAGAGAGACAAGTCCTACAAGAGGACCCATGAGCAGGTAATGTATTGTTTTTAGTTTTTTGAATAGTTTGTTCGTTGTTCAGTGGCATTAACGCTCCTCTCTCGTCAAGTGGTCTCAGAGATGCCTATTTCCCCTTACGTCGTCTAAGACAAGATATGTGGACACTTCGCTCTACGTCACGCTGTTGAGAAGCCGCTATCAAAGACTTGCCTGCGACATCGCGGCATCCCCATTCAAAGCCCGCTTGTGAGCGCGTAACCTTTCGCGGATGTCTATTGCCGACTGTACTCTTTCATTGCACTTCAGTGCACAGTGCATCTCAGCTCATAGTCGTTCGTTTCCTATAGAAATAACAAATTTCATATCCAGTATATTGTGTATTTTTCGTTCAGCCCATAATAGCGTCATAGACTCACAAGGAGGGACGGCGATTACACTGGTCAACAAAATTTTAACTTTGTCGTGCCACACGGACTTTTTTGATATTTTTTACTTTAATTGGTGATTGTAAGAAAAAATAAACAGTTAAAAAAAATTTGCTAGACAAGGATTTTATTCTATTGAGTAATTTAAAATATTAAGAAAAAACACAGATCTCGTAAGTCAAAAGTTATTTTTTTTTTATAAATGACTTAATAATCTAAGATTTTCTTGAATATTTAGCTTCTGGTTGGTCCCTTTTAATTGTCCAGCAGTAATCTGCTAACATATTTGGGCTCCATTTGCCCTGGTACCGCTTTTCCATATTAGAAATGTCCTGATGGAACCTCTCACCGTGCTCGTCGCTGACGGCCCCTAAATTGTCAGGAAAAAAATCCAGGTGTGAGTCTAAAAAATGGATCTTAAGTGACATGTTGCAACCGAATGCTTGATATAACAATAATAGCTCGCTAACCAACTCTCTGTAGCTGTCACTCTTGTGGTTACCCAAAAAATCGCTTAATTTTTCTTCAAATCTTGAATCTTTTATTAACTCCCTAATTTGAGGACCAACAAAAATACCCTCTTTTATCTTTGCATCACTTATTTTAGGGAATTTTTCTTTTAGATACAAAAATCCACTTCCATTGCGATCCATTGCCTTCACAAAATTTTTTATTAATCCTAATTTGATATGCAATGGTGGTAGAAGCACATTATTTGGCTGTACAAGGGGTAAATACTTTACGTTTTTTTGCCCAGGAACTAACGATGCACGCGTAGGCCATGTTTTTTTTATATACTGATTAGTTCTGTCTCGGCTATCCCATTCACATAAAAAGCAGCAAAACTTTGTATAACCCAGCTGAAGTCCAAGTAATAGTGCAACAACTTTAAGATCACCGCAGATTTTGAAGGAATATGTACTGTAATTTATTTTTTCAAGTAAAAGTTTCATATTTTCATAGGTTTCTTTCATATTTGCAGCATGGGCCAGAGGTACAGACGGAAGCTTATTTCCATTATGCAATAACACTGCTTTTAGACTTGCTTTCGAAGAATCAATGAATAAACGCCACTGAGAGAGATCAAAATCTATGTCCAACATTTTCATAATCTCATTTATGTTACTGCAAAACACCAAATCTCCATCCTGAGAAAAATACGTTCTGAAGTGTTGATCACGGTTTCGAAAATAGCTAACTTTTGTATTATGATGTAGCAAATTCCATTCTTTTAGACGTGATCCTAATAGTTCTGACTGCTTTTTGACAAATTTAAATCCCTAACCAAATCATTTAGGTCTCCTTGAGTTATCAAATGTGGCTCGTTTACGATTCCTTTTAACTCAAAGTCATCGTCCTCGTCAACACATTCACCTGAAGTGGATGGTTGTGAATTGTTCTCAACAGACGTAGTTGCAACTGGTATTAGTTCTGGCAATTTTTTACAATGAGAGACTGGTCTTATAGCCGAAGATAAGTTAGGGTAAATAACTGTGGTTTTTTTCTTGTAATTTATACCTTTTATGTCTGTGAGACAAAAATAGCAATCTGAAACGTGATCTCGCTGTTCAGTCCATATCATGGGTACAGCAAACGGCATCGGTCGTGCACCTTTCTTCCAGTCAGTTAAATTTTTCACACACGTTATGCAACAGACATGAGTGGCCCAGGATTTGTCTTGATGGGCGACAGAAAACCAAAACATTGGTGATAACACTCCAACACAAGATTCGTAAAATTTCGTCGTTGTTTTTTGAATGTTAGTTCTCCGCAGACATAACAAAAAGAGTTAGGATCATTATTACACTTCCTCGACATATTCACAGGGTTAATAAATCACAAAAAAGTGTTCAAATTCAACAACAAATATAATAAGGATTTTCTTGTAAGCGTTTCTGTTAATTTACTGCCGTAGTACTAGTTATGAGTATTACCGTATCACAACAAATATGAGGCTAATAGACATATGACAGCTGTCATGTAATAATGAGGGTAGACTGATAAAACAAAATTAGCTGTCAAAGTTCGTGTGGCAAAACCAGTGTTGACCAGTGTTATTTGCTGTCGATAAACATTTATCTGGTACAGATTTATGAAGAGCACAATATTTCAAAACTAATATCCCGTCGAAAGACATTTCACGTGGCATGTTTTCTTTTCTGACATTATATCTTTTTGCCTTTTTTGTATTGTCCCATTGCAATCTTATCAAAATCCTTGGAAAACACACATATATGTCTCAATAAGCTGAGAATCATAGAAGAACGGAGTGAGAAGTATTAAGTCAGTATTCTTGCTTTTTTATTCATTATTTTTACGTTAATAGAAATTCAATTATTCCTTACTGGATTTATGCACCAACCATTTTACGCCAAATCTGTAATTTTGAATACTAAGGGCGCTGTACATGAGGTTAAAAAAACACCTTATTTATGTTTAAACTAGTATTTATTAAAAATTCTATTGCCATGATGGATCAGTACGTAAATGAATATATAAAAAATACAGACAAAAGAAATTTTTATCCTGAACAGATGTTGAATAAAATTATTTCGAGGAAGAAATAATGAAATAACGGATATAGAAGTTTATTCCTCAACTGAATGTCGTTTCGACTATTTACGTTTCCCTCAAGCTTAATGTTACTAAGATCTTGTTGGACTCCTGAGAAGTAGCTACCTAGGGTGTCGAGGATCTACTATGTCAGGAAGCATGTCATTATAATAAAAAAAGTAGTAGTGGTGCCGTCATCTTCGTTTTCCAAAATTGATCATCCCTTGGAATCTAAAAATATCATATTTGTATCGTGATATAACAGTAAACCTTATTTCACGAGTATCCATCACGCTTTAAGACAATATTGTAGATGCAGTAACTAACCTTCTGTACAAGTATTCCTTCTGGAAATCGTATTACGAAGTATCAATGCTTCCTACTTTTATTTCCAATATGGTTCCTTCTTTTATGATGCTTGGGATGCTTTATTTCAATAATGCCGTCGTCTCCAACAAGTCCATCTGGACTAGCGTCCAAAACGGGGTGATTAGCGTCTACAAACAATCTCTTACCTTGAAATATTAACATGGATTAACACAGTGACAGATACTTTTTTTAATCAACAGGTTTAGAAAAGGAAGCGGTAGTGGAGAAAGACCACCCTTGAATCCAGCCTCAAGACCAGTTTTAGCTCAGAAAATACTGCAACAAAGTAGGGAGGCAGAAAATGCGTTGGCCGATGTTCTTGTAAGTAGAATTAGACAGTGTCTTAGGCTAAAGCGAATCAGCTTTGCACTAACAAAAAAAAATATTAGTTCAGTAAAAGAAACTTCGATCACACCGCTTCTTTGATACGTTTTATTAGTTGATACGTTTTCTTTGCTGTACAACAAGTTGTTCTGATTTTTAAAATAATAACAAAGCGTATGATTAATTTTGATAAAAAATTGCAGTTCTACTTGTCACATGTTGCATATAATAATAATAAGTTCATTTCCAATAGGCAGATACACCCAATTGCAGTGAATATCAATAAAGCACAGTAAACAAAGACATAGATATAAGTACAGGGTCCGTCAGAAAGAACGCATGTTTTCTAAATGAGTAGTACAGTCAAAATAGGTATGGGAAAAATATCTTATTATATCAAAATACTCAGAAATACATGCCACTTTTTGAGTAAAAAAAAATTTACGTGAAAACTATGTCGGCCATATGGCGAGCTTGAGCCGAAATACAGGAATCAAGCATCTCCCGAAATGAGCCCATTGCGTTGGCCAGCATCCGTACAGGAATTTGGGTTACTTATCTTCTTATTTCCTCCTTCAAATCGACGAGGGTCCGAGGCTTGCTTTGGTAAACTTTTGATTTCAGGTAGCCCCATAAAAAAATCACACGTTGACAGGTCCGGGGAGCAAGGGTGCATGGAATATCGCCATGACGTGAAATGAGACGTCCTGGGAATTTTGGCTGAAGAAGTACCATCGAAGTGCGAGCTGTGTGAGATGTTGCCCCGTCTTGTTGGAACCACACTGTTCTGAGACGGACACGTCGACGTTGAAGTTCCGGAAAAAAAGTCTCATTTCACGTCATGAAATCAAAAGTTTACTAAAGCAAGCCTCGGACCCTCGTCGATTTGAAGGAGGAAATAAGAAGAGAAGTAACCCAAATTCCTCACGGATGCTGGCCGACTCAATGGGCTCAATTCGGGAGAGGCTTAATTCCTGCATTTCGGCTCAAGGGCGCCATATGGCCGACATAGTTTTTAGAACGTAAATTTTGTTTTACTCAAAAAAATGGCATGTATTTCTGAGTATTTTGATATAATAAAATATTTTTTCCCATACTTATTTTGACTGTACTACTCATTTAAAAAACATGCGTTGTTTCTGACGGACCCTGTATAACAACATAAACTGAACTGAAACTTAATCTTGATATTTTCGGAACGAAGAGAGATATCGAGTTGCGGTATTCGGGAGGTTCTTGACCAACTCTTTGAGAACACCCTACAGGGCCGGTATATTTCTTTCATTTATACACGTATAGAAGGTGAGCAACCGAAGTCAGTTTTTTTTACAAAGTTTGGAGCTGTCAGATTCTCAATTTTTGATCTTGGACATTTTTCTATGCATCTTTTTGATCTTTGGATTATCCTAAAAAAAGTAATTTTTCAGATTTTTCGAAAGTTGGCTATAACTCAAATTATCGAATTTTTAACTTCCCGGAATAAATGTCTTTCGGCTCGACCTCGTTTTTTTTTTGGATTATCCTCTCCATGCAAATAGGATATTTCTCAGGTTTCATCCTAACTACCTACACCTCAAACATGCAATTGCTATGTAACAATAATATAATAAAGAACGAGAAAATTCGATCAGATTATTGGGAGAAGGTCGAATGATGTAGCTTTAATTTATAATGGAGATCGGTCCGCAATATACCGTTTAAGGACTAGATATCAGGGAAACGTCCTACTTGCATGGAAAAGGTAATCCACAATAACACGAGGTCGGGTCGAAAAGCATTTATTGCAGGAAGTAAGGCGAATTAGGACCGCTTCATTCAATCGTACTGTAAGAAGAACTCTAAATTACAATTCGTTAAGGTATGTAAATGTTATAAAACATTTGCAAGGTACTTTTTTAAAGTACCATTTCTTGTCTGCTTATGTTCTCTAAGAGTTGGTCAAGAACCTCCAAAAACCGCAACTCGATATCTCTTTCCGTTCCGAAAATATCGACATTTGAATTTGGGTAAAATGTTTCATGTTGCAAAGCAACTGTTCACCAGTTTATAAGTATATAATCAACAATCATATACTAGCTTACAACTTCATCAAGGTGAAGTTCACTTGTAGTTAGACCAATAAACACTATTATTATTATTATTATTATTATTATTATTATTGAATATGTCTCAGTTACTAATTCCATTAAATAGTGCTCATATCCTATGACCGGGAGGCCTGGACAAAACATTGGTGTGGCAGAAATCATAGTAAAATGTAGCACAATAATGGTTACCTAAGCGAGGATTATTAAAACACATGCTATTTGAAATATATTGACAATAAATCTTATTGTGGGGTAAACTGAACAAAAAGGTCCGAGCGGAAATATATATATATATATAAATTTCAAGCGGTTTTATACAAAAAGTTTTGAGCAATTCATTATAGTCTTTGTCAAAAAATATATATTTTACAGCACTGCATTGAATACATTCCAATTTGCTAATAGGATTTTGATAAACAGGTGCTTAGATAAGTGAAGCAGATTCTGACGAATGTTTGATATATGAGCATGATTATTTCAACAGTCGAGAAACCTGACGAGTTTATATCACAGTGTTGGGGGCAGACGATGTAATGTTATTTATGTGATCATTAAAAGTGAACTTGGTGTCAAATGTAACACCTTGGTCTTTATAACGGCTACTCATTTCTAACCTTACCCGATTAACACTGTAATAGAAGCATAACATTTTGTTTTCTATAACATGTTTCTACTTTGCATTTTGACACATTTAGTGTGAGGAGGTTTTTGGAACAGCATGAACTGACAATTTCCAAATTATTTTGAAGAAATCAACAGTCTTCGGAAGTTATGATACTATTATAAATTTTAAAATCATCAGCGAAAAATCAATAATGACATTTAATTTCAAGGGACAAATCATTAATAAAGATTAAACATAATAAAGGTTCTAAGTTAGGCTCCTGGGGAACTCCTGAAGTAGGTATATCGTTATTATAAATATATTATATAAGTACTGTTCGAAGTTTTCGCCGTTCGACTTAGGAACATAAGTTTATTAACTCGTTCCTCAAGTTGCAGCATGCATGCAGATGCGCCTCGACACAAGTACAAACGGTCTTCGTACGAGCATTGATTAGCGTATTCAACTTGAATAGAGCAACTTAATGCTATATTCGAGCGTCCAAAAAATCATCCGAGGTAATATGAGATACCGCACGTGGCGCTGTAGTCACCTATATTCTTGTATACTCAAATAGACAGCGCCATCTATGAGAAATTAACTTTTTCAAAGTATACATATATAGTAAATAGCTGTAACAAATTGTTAGAGATGACGCTACGGTATCTCATTTATCTCGGATAATTTTTCGACGCGCGAATTTAGAATTAAGTTGGCTGTCCTCAGATAAAATACGTCAATCAATAAAACGAGATAAACAAACCCATTCAATGATGGTGGAGACACTGACAAAGCACCACCAGTATCTTGAAGATACTGATAGTAAACTAACGTCAATAAACCTTGATTGTAATATGCTTATGCAAATGTATTTTTTACAGAATTCGTCAGATCATTTTCGAACACCCAGGAGGGCAATGAGATCTATGGACAACCATTCTGACGAGTCTGAAACGTCAAGCGTGTGTTCAGAGCGTTCATCTGATCGATCATTTGATAATTTCAAGAGACCATCTGATGTAAGTGTTCGTAACCTATACATTGGGGCATGTACTGGACAGCGCATATATGTTTGCAAACATATAATTTGTTTATCAGCATTTATGAAATACATATTATGATTCATTGGGTGGTGAGTGGAAATTATATAGCATTGTTGGATTCTCATTAGCTACTGCATGGCAGACATTTGTTACTCATGATGGACAAAAATACATTTCTTCTCCATTTGTTGGGGTGCAACATTGGTAATGTTCAGTAACATTCATCTGTTGAGTGTTACCGCTGCGTGAAGTATGGATTAGTTCATTATCTGAATATTGGTTGCTATCGATCGAATCTACTGATAACTAACACAGCTGAGCATAAACTGTTTCACTCGAGGAAGGTGTTATTAAAATGTTCATTGACGAATTTGAGAAAAAAGATGGGCTGGGGAGTATACTCTAGGAGCCTCCGCATGAACTGTAAGTGGTCTATTGTCAAACATGACAGCGTGACGCAGGTCGAATTAGCTGATATAACTTCAGCCTCAATGAAAAGTGCCTATAGAAAGGTCACAGGCAAAAATATTACGATCTGTACGGACAGCAAGCAAGCAACACTGACTCTCAAGTCTAACTCTCACTTGGCATTTGTCAGTGCCTCAACTAGTAATAATATAACTGTTGTTAGAGTAAAGGGTCATTCACAATTCAAGGGTACAATTATACCCGATAAACTGGCAAAAAGAGCTGCCGATACGAAAATTGTGGACCCAGTACCCCTCTGTATTCTACCCATCAGGCCATGATAGCTATGCTAAAAGATCATACCCACGAAATCTTCAAGAACATTTAGAATGATACATAAGAGCTGCGCATTCGCTAAGGCATTCTTCAGATATCCTAGTGAGGAAGCAGCAAAAAAACTACCTGTCTATATCCAAACAACTTCGATTTACAATTGGTATTGCAACTGGACACTGTTAGCTAAGGAAGCATCTCTGTAACATGAGACTGCGTGACACATTTTTATGTAGAGGAGGTGAACAAGAAAATGAGACAGTGACTGCCCAGCTGTCCTATGAATCCGAGAATCAATTCTATCGGTCACATGGTGATTGGGCTATTAAACGCCATCTAACACCAGAAATGACTACTGTGGAGAGCGCATAGCTACTATTTATTGGAACTGTAAAGATCTCAGTTCGCGTTTAAGTTTGAGACTACATCTGTTCATACAATATTTCACTACTACGAATTCTGGATTTCCATAAAATATTTTTCAATTTTCCTTTGAACATTTTCAAACTGGCACACATGTTGATCATCATTACTTAGTTTATTAAACTCGTACAATCCTTTTTGAAATACTGTTTAATGTTATGTTGCTACTACAATTTTGTAAATGTAAATTGTTCAATACAATAAATGATTTGGTAGATGATTTTCTAACTTGAATATAAAAATGAAAACCAAGTAGGTGTATATTGGAAAATATAGTCAACAAAATTGTCGAACAATATAACAAATGAGGAAGACTGATAGTATAGAATAAATTCGATCAAATTAATTTATATTTTTGGGTGTTTTTAATGAGTCTTTATTAGGGGGCGAAGTTTAGCCTGATGGTACTTTGGAACTTTACACCTTATAATCTTCTACGAAGTGCACTTAAAACTCATCCAAGAGACGATAACTCGTAGGTTCTAGGAATAACTTTTACCTTCATCAAGTTATGTCACACTAAAGCCCGGTTATTCAATCGCAAGCTAACTTTCTGGTTAGTTAACTATAACCAAATGCGTTTTTCAAGTATTTGGTCAACGCCAATTAACTTATCCGAAGTTCATCATATATTTATGTTGCAACCTTGCATCTGTGGTTCTTATATGTCATGTTCTGTGAGGTAGCCCGTCTTTTTTAATGGAATTTTATAAAATAGTCGGAATTTAAACAAAACCTTCGTCAAGCAAGATAAGGTTTTTCAAACATTGCTCGTATACATGTTTAGTAGTAGACTCTATAGGCGGGATTATAGAAATGGTGATTAAGAAGGTGGAAAATACAATGTATAATCAACCTTACATAGGTCAATAAATATGCTAAAAATACAACTAAGTTTGTAAATATCTATTAAATATCGTGTTTGTCACCTTCTTCAGTATGACTCCGATAATCAATGACCCAAAAATAAAGGTCTTCAGTAGCGGAGAAAAAATACGACTATTCCTGTTTTTGTTTCCTAGAATGAAGAAAGACATCAAAAAAGAGCTCAAAAGAAGAGAAAATGATGTTAATATCATTGGTCTGTAAAAACAAAAGAATAATAAAGAGCGAAAAAAGTGGCACAGTCCTTTTTGTAAGACCACTTCTTGCAAGGAAATCCAGGTCGTCAAATTCGTCCGATGGCAGATCGTTTTTGTCCTTGCCTCTTCCCCTCAGCTAAACTACGTAATCATGTCGTAAGCCATAAACATATTTCAGCTTTAATCTATAATTATCAATAAATTGATATGCATTTGTGAACAAACGTCAAAGTCTGCATCAACAAACGTCAGGCATTGCGATTTAACCACAGCCTTTCTAGTTAACATAAATAGTCTTCTGGTTAAAGTTAACTACCGGTTTACTATAAACATGATATTGAAAAACGCTTTATCATAGATAACTATAAGATAAGACCTAAGTCGTAGTTAACCTGCGTCTGAAAAACCGGGCCTTAGCTGATTATCTTTTAGGGCCTCAGCTAGGAGATTGCACGATTAAATTCGGTATTAAAAGAGAATTGTTAGTTTAAAATGGAAAATGCTCCTACCCTCAAATACCAGGCGAACCCCATCTTAACTAAAATCATTCGAGAAATATTTGAGAGTAGAGGCTTTAATTCTGTTCTTGGATATCTTGATGTATTTAGTTAATATTTCTGTATTTACATTTAAGTAAAGTTTTTGTTTTTTGCTTTTTTTAAATGGTGAATGTGTTTTAGTAAGATGAAGAGTCAATGTTGCATTAGCTAATGTTGGATTATCGTTTTATTTACCTCAGTCATACTCATGGAGCGGTTCACAACAGAGGCTAGCTAGCAGGGATCTGTGGGAACCCTCCCGAGTAAGTAAAGCTTGTGTATCATTTTGCTTGCTGCACTGCACTATGCTTCTATCTTGCAAATTATTTTCGCATTGTGAAATGTATTAATGAATTGGAAACAGGTTTAAATACATACGCCCTACATATGGTGCCATTTTCGTCATCCAGAACTGCAGAGCTACAGCTTCTCTATCTACGTTTGCAGAAGTATCAGCCTCATAAACTGTGATACATACTGATACATTAACGCTTCGTGATGTCAAAATGTATCCCATAACCTCGCTATAATCATTTTTTAACATATGCCTCTATTAAATACTTTCTTTTTATATGTTCTATTTATCTTTCCCCTTTCTTAAGTATGTCTATAAAATGTCTAATGACTAGCGCTGGATTAATTTAGGAATATTATAGGATATCCGTATAATTAGTTATTTAAGAATTGCGTGACATTCTCTATCTGAATGTTCTTTCTTCTGATTTGTCTTTCCTACTTGCTTTTCTTCAACATTTTAACATCCCTTGATTTCATGTAGAACTTGAAAAATAATTAAGCTGATATTTAAGTCTAGTTTCTACTTTGTTGATATGTCAATTTAGTCCGCCCCTAGGTGAAAACATAGATATTGTTGGTCTCATGGTTGGGAAAAGTTATAGGTATCACTCTCATGCGAATGGGTTTAGCTACAAATGGGCTCTTGATAGGTTAGTTCACAATGTCTTTGTAGCCCTTAAATAGTAATATTTGTTCTATTAGACCAAAAAAAATTAATACTATATTTCTTCAGACCTAAAAGACTGTAACGCTTTGAAAATATATTTTTCTTGAACATGTGAAAACGCTGTCCGCCATGTATTAATGTGGTCTGACGCCATAGCATTTGTAAACAGCAACTGACAGAAGCATAGTGTTGCCGAACCTACCGATTTTTCGGTATTCCTACCAAAATGAGAACTTATTTTTCGAAATACCGATATTTCCAGATTTTTTACGGAGAAAGCTGGAACCAAAATAAAGCTAAAAAAAGAATTCTATGTAGTTTTATGCCCCATACCAGTCATACATAAACGTACACTTGGGCAGTCAGGCCGTTACCACCGAGAGTACAAGGCCTAACAACAGACGCGTGACGTCATCACGAGTAGGCCGGTCGGCCGGCCGACAGCACGGCGTGCCGTATATCAGCGCTAGTGAATAATATATTATTGTAGAATATTTAATATACTCTACCTGATGTGAATAACAAATAATTCAGAAAAGTGTTTTTGGTATATGAAGGCAACTTGGCGGAAAATATTAAAGTAGTTATTAACTATTTTGACCCTGATTTTCACTGATATTTCATCCAACATTACGTGCCCATTAGATTAATAAGTTGATGTTATAAAAGCTTGCTAAAAATGATAAATTCTTCAATGAATAACTCCATGTTACTCACAACCGATCAACAAAATTTCACAGGAATATGTGGACAATTTACTATTATTAGAGGTATAATATAATACAGCTATGTAAATGTTGCGGCCTCATGTGAATGTAGTCAATTTACGTTTCTTTGCTTTATTCGCGCTTGCAAAGCTGTCGTTCATTTTGGCACAATAATTTTTCAAAAATGTATTGACTGTGCAAATAACAATTAGTTTTATAACATAATCTTGTGAATGGATTGTGTAACGCGAAAATGATGTGTCGTGTCGTGTCTCTTATCAGTGATTTCTAAAAATGATTCCTCGTCACTTTCCAAAACTTTTTAAAATTATATAACTTAGCATGACAATATTAATAATTGGATCCTTTGGGAATTTTAAGCCACCTCTACTCAAATTTTGTATAATATTGTGCTTGTCTTCTATATCAATATCATCTGTGTGTGTCAAATTTTCCTTACAATGATCGCAGTGATTTTTCTTTAATAAGGCATAACAACAGTAACCAGCTAAGCAGGTGATGACAGGGATTTCATCCTTTATAGTATCAATATCAGACTGTAAAATTTAAATTTCCCAGAAAAAGTGGTAATCATTAAAATTGTGTGGAATTTCATCTATTTCTAAATCATCATTTCCACAGAATTTATCTATTTGTATATCACCATAGCGAGACTTCAATGACATCAGGCTTTGAGTTCGTAACTTTTCCTCAGACTCATATAACTGACGAATTGATATATTATATTGACCCCCTGCCAGTTGACGATACTTACCAAATCTATTTTCCAATGAGTCAGTTTGAAATTTACCTAACAATATATAATTACTATGCAGTTCAGATTTACAGTACCTTACTAATCCCAATAAGCTATATACTGTATGATGTAGTGCAGTGTAAGTCTGACTAGTTAGTCTTTTTGAAAATTTTGCTGGATCATTCCACTCTTCTAGCCAATCTAGCATTTTTGCAAGAATGTCAGCTTACTGTCATCACCTTGTCCATCACTGTTGAAGCAAACAATAGGCTCTGCATAAAGGTCATTTAACCGCGTTCCTTTCAATGGACTTTTTACATTGACAATTCTCCACCACTTCCATATAATATCTATGAATTTTGCTGTCTCTTCGGAGTGCTGTATGTTTTTACCAAACCTTGATACTGCATCTATTACAAATGGGTTGAATATCTTGAGAGCTAAATTAATATTTTGTCTTTCAAGGTTGGTAGGATATAAGGCTTTTGTCTGGAGAAAAATGTGCCATCGCTTTACTATTCAGTGCGTTATTATCACTTACAACACAAAAAATTTTATAACCAAGTTCTTCTAATCCAATAATAAGTTTTTTTGTCATATTGTATAATAGATTATGATCAATTTTAGAAACAGGACAGATTTGAACAACTTCTTTGAAATTGGAGTAGAAGCTTGAAATCATAAACACATAGGCTGTTGTAGCTAATGAAGAATTATTAATTGACGTTCCAACAATATTACCCGCTTTGAAATCTAAATATGGCTGAATGTGTATTTCATCCATCAATAAAATCATGTACTTACTCCTCACCAGGTTTTACAAATCTGAAAAGGTTTTTTGCATAGCCTAAAAAGTTATATCACTCATCGGGACCTGGATCGACCATCAATGTATTACATATTGACTTCAGAGTATTTTGGTGTGGTAAAATAAGTGCTCCATGGCTCCTAATAAATCTGTATGAATGTGGTCTGATTGTATACAACATAGAGCAAAACACTATTGTTTCTGATGAGTAACTGTGTCTGTTCTTCTGACTAATAGCAAGCTTTAGTTGCTCACAAATAAATTGAATGACAGTGTTGGTCTCTTCAGCGGTGAATAGTTCTGTGCTATTTAAAATATTGTCAGCATGGTTGATAGTGGCTCTGAACTGGTCTTTACCTGAATATTCCCTCGAAGCATCTGCATTCTCAGAAAGAACATGTAGAACATCATCCAAGTGGTGTATATTAGATAATCAAAATGGAGTTTTAATATTACCTGAGTTGAGTAACAATTCTTGGGAGTACATATACGTTTTTACATTGAGATCTTTATCAACAATTACAGAGTGAGTTATGATGGGTGCTGGTTTATATTCTAACTTAAACAAAGTAACTTTATCCTGAACAATTTTATGCCACCCATATGGACATTGCCATGAACTGAAAACTGTGAGAAAGTCTGAATAATTTTGAAAACAAGTTGATTTTTGATAGGAGGAATAATCATCAATGCTAGTTTGCAGTGCTTTAAGTAGTTGTTCTTGTTCCTTGTCCCTCAATTTCTCATCTCGGCTTCTTCTTCTTGATATATCCTTTGAAAGGTATTTTGGACAATTTGTAAAGATACTTGGAATTACATGTGCCTTTAATTTTGGATACTTAAGGGGTACAGTAATGGTCCTACCTGTCTTTTCGTCATGGAAGGTGGATTCCCAAATGATGCTGCCCTCAGCAAAGTGCAAATTACATACTCGAGTGTATTTTGTAACCACTAAATCACTACGAGGGATTGCATTGAGCCATCTTTTACGACAGAAAATACGTGTACCTTCGGACCCTTCCCGTAATTACCGACACAATTAGGAACGCAGCACTTGTAAGGCATTTTGAAAACTTAGCTAAACACTCGCGAGACACAAATATAAGTTTAAAACATCAATAATTTTCCGTTTACATGGCACTGAAAGATCAGACTCAGAATGTGAGGTTAGTTGGCAAGGTTGTCACATCTTCCAATTTTGAATGGAATATTAGACTTCACAAGTGACAGATTGAACGTAATATCGAAAATGTATTCTTGACATACTGAGGCAGATCAGAAAGAATAATCACATCATCACTGAAGCTGCGCAGGCCCCGAGTACATCTTGCAAATTCGCCCACAGAGAGGTACAACTAATTAGTAGAGATTTCGATACTGCTATATCAAACCTAGATATGACAACACCCCAGAGAAATGGTGGCGCGGTTCTCTTGCCAGCCAGTCATGGCGAAACTCCATAAGAACATGCATAGGCCTACTCTGCGTGACGTCATAGGCTTTTCCGAGCCCAGTTGTTTGGCCTTGTACTCTCGGTGGTAACTGTCAGGCACATGAGGGGCGTAGATTTCGGTTGCCTACATTTATGTACGCACATCCCTTATTCTGCTCATCCCTACATTGGTTTTTCTGTAGAACAGGTACAGACTGGTAGATCATTGTCATCATCGCATCACCAGACAACAATAAGGAAATCAAAGTTCGTCTGTAGTCATTTGAGTACTGAATTAAAATGTTAGGTGATAAAGCCTCAAGTTCATGAATGGAACATACAAATATTCAGAATCTTATAAACAAGAATGGCGAAGGAGTTCGAAGAGCGACCAGCATGTTCATTCTGCAAGTTGTAATAAAGAACTTAAGATTTTTTTATATAAAAAATACTTGTTTCTTGGAGGGCGCTGCATGACGAAAAGACCCTTGATCCATCGCTGATCTTGAGACGGATCTGATTTTTTCCTCTTACCGATTTTGACCTTGAATCTACCGAATTTCAACAATATTGTCTATCGGTTTAGTCTTTTTTGGTTCGGCAACACTGTAGCAGCATACTCTCTCGAACTTTTAAACATATAAACATGACTTATACTAGTTTACATAAAAAATATAGTAATTATCGTTATTGTATCGTCCGAGAATATAAAAACACATCGATAAAGACTCCAGGAAAGCTGTAGATTAGACTTGCCCATCGAAATAAATATTTGCAACAATTGCTTGAAGCATACTTTATGTTCGGGACATATTTTACATTTTTCTGTGCAGATTTTTCTCGTCTTGATTACGTTGGACGTAACCTATCATCAAATGTGTAAGATGTAATACAATATTAGATAACGCTTGGTTTTGAATGAATTCTGAAAAGGTAGATTATGTAAGTGTATTACTTATTCCTTCTTTTGATGCCTATCATTAAATCAGATCACTTACATAGAAGACGTTCCTCAGCTCAAGAGCAGAAATCTGAGTTGAAGACAAAAAAAATGCAAACTATTATTGTGTCAATTTCTGGCAAATTTGTGCTTTCTGCTTTTACGAATCCAACGTGCATTTTTTTTGCAACAAAACGAGAAAACGATAGAAGTTTTTTAGAAATACCTAAACAAGACAAACTTAATCCACGAGTGACATACAGATGACGTTTATTTGTTTACATTTTGTATGACGTCATATCATGGCCGATAATGTTTTCCCTGGTTCGTATTAAAATATTTTCTTAAAAATGGACTTTTTTATCCATCTAGTGATTTTGAAAATTGAAATCGATATATTTCCTTTTTCTAAGCCAAATATTGTAAAAAATACTAATTTATTCAATGAAATTAGATTTGAATCAAGTAGCCTATTCAGGCAATAATTGGTACAGGTAGGTTTTAATTGTAAGTAAAATGTACTCAAAACCCATGTACATAGAAGTTTATGTAAGAGTCCTTCACTCTAATAAATTACACATGTGGCCCTATCACTTGTAACAATTATAGCGCACTATTACAAGTTCTACAAGCACTATTTAATTTTGCATTAATTATACTAACTTGTTTGTGTTGTTGTTCATCGACTTCTGATATAGATAAAATAACATTTTAAGATGAATTCTTTCCATGTACAGTCTGTGAAAACCAAAAGCTCGTCAATTCTGGCCTGAAGAACAAGGTTGAAATCACTTTAAAACTAATCTCAAAACACTCTTCAAGGTTTTAATTTTAACCCGGACCAAATTTGTTTGAAAATATTTTTAAAATATTACATTTTTTTGCTCGGACAAATATTTTTCAGGTTTTTTTGGATTATTCAGAACAAAAAAGCTTCCATTAACTTTTCTCTAAAGCTGACCATTTTCGAGTTATAAGCTATTTAATGTCTGGAAATTCGTAAAAATTTGTACATTCAATGCTTAAAAACTCGGTTAAAAATTATATTTTTTAGGTCGTGAAAAGTATTTTCAGATCACTTTGTTTTAAAGCGATTTTAACCTTGTCTGATAGGCCAAAACTGGCAAACTTTTGGTCCAAAGAAGCATACACTGGAAATTTAAAGAACATTAAAAATAACAATAGTTAGTTTTCAAACGAAAAAGCCGAACTATGTTTATTCATTTACTAAGCAATTTATTAATTATTAATCACGCTTACAACAAAATTTTTACAACAGTAAAAAACCGATTCTTAGAAAATGTTATTATATCACTTCCCAAATATCCTGTTTGTTGGAGCAGTTATAGACTCTAAAGGGACAGGGTGCCAGGTATACCTGCAAATTATTTTTCTGGAAATTTAATTTCGCTTAATTATTTTTCATAGGACATCAACCAGATAATTGCGATGTGTGCTAGCACGACCTGGCAAGAACGAAAAGACGGTCTACTGTCCTTGCAGTACTATATGGCCAACGAAATCCCTCTGACTGTAGGCGAGCTGAAACACCTGACGGAAATATTCACGAAGATGTTCATGGATTCTCATACCAAAGGTCTGGGTGTGTTTCTAGATACACTGCACGAAGTTATCAAGAGCTATAAACACGAACTACACTCATGGCTCTATGTGCTGTTGCAAAGGGTGAGTACTTCAAGTAGCTAAATTCCTTCATAAAACATTGTAATTATACCTTGAATCGAAAAGTAATAGGTTACCACGAAGTTTGCCATAAGGCTATCAAATATTCACGCAATTTGTCTCTGACCTTGATTTGCCTTTAGATCATATCTGTCAGGCAGGAGGCAATATATTGAACACGAAGGAAGCAAATCTAAGGATATATTTACGACTTCAGGTGTGCCTCAGGGCCCATGCTTAGGTGCCTAGGTACCCAACTTTTCATTATTTTTATTAACGGCATTGTTAATAGTATCGATTGTTGCCATTTGATTTATGCAAATGATTTGAATATGTATTATGGTGTCGAAAGCAGTGTGGATTGTGCTCGTCTGAAGGGTAACATCGACAAGGTATTAGAATGGTGTGTTATAAACATTCCCCAATCGACATTAGTAAATGTAGTGTTATGTCATACACAAGAAAGATTGTTCCCATTCAATTCAATTATCAAGTCGATAATTGTCCTTAGATATGAGCATAAGGACCTAGGTGTGAACAATTCTTTAAGCTTCAATCCTCATATAGTACTATACAAGGAGGTAATGATCATGATTTTCAACTCCTTCGTATTATCTAGTTTTTGTATTTCAAAACCGAGGGCACATATCCGCCTATTGGAACCCTTCAGGGCGAGCTATTGCAAAAACATCATTTCGTTGGTTCAAATAATAGAACGAAAGCACACTCTCTTGTATTTCTGTACAACCCAGTCCATGGTATTTGCGGTTGCCCATCTTTCACGTCACTGTTAACGTTCAATACCCCCAAAATGTTTTACTCAAAATACGCTTACCTCTTACCTCCCTACCCTACGAACTACACCTCTGTACTCGATGTGTTCGTGAATAACCTTCAGGGGTATATTAATATATTTATCACAAAGTTATCATACATCAAGCAAACTTGTGAAAATATGGTTTAATTAGTGTGAATTACATCACTTTGTTTGTTAACTTGCTGTATCCCCACCAGTAATTAGTACACCTTTTGGTGGTGTATGAATAAATAAATGCCCCTTGCCGCGATACAAGGCGTTGAAGTTGATTTTAGAAATTTGAAAACAGATGTATTTTGGAAGTAAATGAAGTTATTGACCCAAATTGTAACTATATGATTCAGCGAGCACCTCTTCGGCAATATACAACAATTCTTCCAAAACATTCTAAACTAGGAATATTTTGACATCTATTGGAAAATATCTTCTACTTTATTGGCTCGGTACTAGGCATACTCGCTTATTTTACTGAGTACCAGATTTCGCAGAGTATTGAATTACACGGCTGGGTACTTACTCGGTCTGAACGCAAGACACACAACTTTTACAAAGGGTACTATAAAAGTTTCGCAATATGACTTAACAAACTACGCAGGAGGCCGTATGTTACTGACTGTTGAGACATATCCATGAGTACACAGTAGCCGCCAGCAGCACGTCTGTTGATTTAGTTGTTCATTCGTATTGACAGTGTAAGGTGCGGACTATGGCATCCTGGTCACGTAGGGAGATAAGGACAATTTTACGGTATAACTTTACGCGTGGTTGAAGCATAGACCAGAGGTTAGAAGAAATGAAGATTGCATTAAAGAATGATTGTCCTCATCGTACGACTATATGCAGGTGGTACATAAAATTTCAAAGAGGCAATTTCACTTCAAGACGCTGACAGGGAAGGAAGGCCGCGAACGTCAGTAACAAAAGAAAACATTACTGCTGTGAGGAAAACCAGCAATTCATTCAATTCTGCGTGACCATTTACACGTAGGGAAACTTTGTTCACTCTGGGTACCGCATAGTCGGAAGAGCAGAAGACTCGTCGTCCCTACTGAGCGAGGGCCGTGGCAAATGCTTGTTCCGGAAGTTATTGTATCCAGTATACAACTTCTTCCCGTCCAAGTGATTGTGCACGCGTTAAGGAATACCTCAGTACCGATTGCCGGGTGGCGGTACAAGTCCGCCAACGGGCCACTTTAGGTCTATTTAACATCACTAACACGTAAAAAGAAGGTGGTAGACAAGGACCAGTCGACCGAGGCAGTACCACCCGCTAGCTTTTCCCAGGGTGTCTTATAAATGTCCGCATGTTTCCACACCTAAGCTATGCAGTCGGTTATCTACCAAAACAAAGAAATTAATGATGATGGATCCCTCGAGCACTAAAAACTCCGGACGTAAACTCACTCCACTCTCGGAATGTACGGGTGGAGGGTGGGCTCGAGGGAACAACATCGAAGATAAAATTTGTTTTTCGAACATCTGCGGGATCAACAGCAACATCGATGCTGTTCATCACTACCTGCAATCCAATCGTCCCGCCGTGCTTTTCTTGGCGGAGACAAAAATCTCAGAGACTGCACCGATTAACCATCTCAACTTCCCAAACTACGAGGTGCACTCCAATCTGAGAAAGAACGGGGGAGTTGTGGCTTTTGTCCGCAGCAGTCTTTCCTGCTCCAGGGATCTTTCTTTGGAATCAGACCGGAAGGACATTCTGTGGCTTCGCCTCAGCTCCAAAACATCACCCAAATTTATTTGCTGCCTTTATCGCTCTCCCTCGAACCATAACTGGGATGACCTACTCGAATACCTCGCCGTCCAGATCGACTTCCTGAACATCAATCACCCCGCTTCAGAGGTAGTTCTTCTCGGTGATTTCAATGCCCATAATGAGCTTTGGTTGGGCTCAAATAAGACCGATGCAGCAGGTCGTGCAGTCGAAGCGTTCGCTCTTTCTCAAGGGCTGACCCAGCTGGTCACGAGCCCTACTTTTTTCCCCCGCGTCTCGTCACACGCCAGTAGCCTGCTGGATCTCTTTCTGACCACGCATCCTGCCCTTTACAGCACTGCTGTCCTGTCCCCCCTGGGTAACTCAGATCACGGTGTTGTGGAGGTTAGGTTTCGGTCAGAAGCCGCTGTGGCAGCAGAAACTCGCACAGGCCGCAAAACTTGGCATTACGGACATGCCGACTGGGAGGGTCTCAGAGATTTCTTCTCTAGCTTTCCTTGGAGAGATGTCTGTTTCACTGACGCGGATGCGTCGACTGTCTGTTCTTCAATAACCGAAATTATCCACGTCGGAATGGAGGAATACATCCCTCACACAGTGAAAGTTCCTAAACCAGGGTCCAACGGCTGGTTCAACAAATCGTGTGACACTGCTCGCCAGCAGAAGATCAAGGCCCACAGAACCTACTTACAAAACCCCACTGTAGAGAACAGACAAGCCGACGTCGAGTCCAGAAACAAATATAACGAAGCGGTTCGCAATGCCAAAAACCAGCATGATATAAAAGTTAGGCACAGGGTAATGTCGCAGCGCAATGGCAGTCGGTCTTTCTGGACGCTGGCCAAGCAGATTGAAAAGAACTTCTCACACAGTAGCCTTCCACCACTTACGTGTCAGGATGGAACTATTGTATTCGACTCAAAGGCCAAGGCGGAAGTGCTAGCCAAGATCTTTGCTGCCAACTCCACCATGGACGTCCCCACCAACGCCCAAGTGCCGTCAATTCAAAGGGTTCCCCACACTATGCGGGAGGTAACATTCAGGCATAAGACCGTACGACGAGTGCTCTTGTCGCTCGACATCAACAAAGCTTCTGGTCCGGACTTGATTCCTGCCATTGTACTGAAGAGATGTGCAGCGGAGCTTGCTCCAGTTCTTTCGCGTCTCTTCCAGATATCTTATGAATCCGTCACCTTCCCAGAAAACTGGAAATTTGCTCATGTACAGCCCATCCCAAAAAAAGGATCTGAATCCGACCCTTACAACTACAGGCCTATAGCACTGCTTTCTGTTATAAGTAAAGTGATGGAGAGGTGCATAAATCGCGAGCTTCTGGACTACCTCGAACGTCACAGCTTGATTAGCGACAGGCAGTACGGTTTCCGGCACCAACGATCCACAGGGGACCTCCTAGCTTACGTCACGCAACTGTGGAGTAAACTCATCCAGTCTCATGGTGAGGCTCATGTCGTTGCTCTTGACATCACGAAAGCGTTCGATCAGCTGTGGCACGCTGCCCTCTTAAGCAAACTTCCATCCTATGGCCTCCCAGAAAAGCTTTGCAGATGGGTGGCTGACTTTATCTCTGGCCGCAAGATATCCGTCGTAATTGACGGATTCTCCTCTTCATCCCACAACGTCAACGCGGGTGTTCCCCAGGGATCGGTCTTGGCTCCAACACTGTTTCTCTTACATATCAACGACCTCCTTTCCTGCACGATCAACCCAATCCACAGCTTCGCTGATGACAGCACTCTACATGCAGGAATTCATAGTGACAAGCCGATCTCTGCCGCTGAGCTGGAAAAAAGAAGACTAGCGACGACTTCTTCTCTGACAAGAGACCTGGAGGCTATCACTGCTTGGGGACGCAACAATCTTGTACAGTTCAATGCTTCCAAAACACAGTACTGTACTTTGACGAACAAAAAGCGTCCTAGCGCTCATACAGTTTCGATGGACGGTCGAGTTCTACCAAAGAGCCATTCATTTCGGCTGGTCGGAGTCCAGATCACCGAGGACCTGATCTGGCACGAACACATCTCTTCAATAGCTGCAGCTGGTGGGAAAAAGCTAGGCTATCTGTTTAGGGCTAAGAAGTACTTTTCTTCGCATGACATTCTCACTCTATACAAGGCCCAGACAAGGCCTAGCCTCGAGTATTGCTCACACATTTGGGGTGCTGCCGCCCCGACTACATTGTCCATGCTCGATGCTGTCCAGAGGAGGGCGGTCCGACTGATCGACGACTCTTCTCTAACAGACAGTCTCGGGACTCTTTCGCACCGGCGGGCCGTCGGCGATCTAGCTCTTTTCTATCGCTACACCAACGGGCTTTGCTCCTAGGAGCTCTCTTCCATGATGCCGCCGCGCGATGTGCCGGCTAGACAGACCCGCCTGACTTCGGCGTCCCATCCTAACCGTGTCAAACTTCGTACATCCAGAACTGGCCGATACGACCGCTCCTTTGTCCCGAGGGTGTCTAGATTGTGGAACAATCTACGGGAGGAAGCTTTTCCCAGTTCTACTGACCTTAGGCAGTTCAAAAATCGTATTAACAAAATTTCTTTGGGATCATCATAGCAGCCGCGGTGTTCCGGCATTATATCCGGATATATAAAAAAAAACGACTTGTTGCCGAAAGATGCTGAAAATGTTTGATAAGGGCAATCTCAGTATGTGAACAGCGTCGTTACAGGTGACGAGACTTGTCTCTATTATTACGATGTGCCGACCAAGGTTCAAAACGAAGTTTGGGTCTTTGATGATGAGGACCGAAATGTCAGAAAATCCCGTTCTGCTGAGAAAAAAATGTTAGCTGTATTTTTTGGACATACAGAAGACAGTCACAGCTAAGTGGTACACTTAACAGTGCCTGCCTAAAGTCATAAAGTCTATGAAAAACCTGCGGCCAAAGTCAAGACCACCATGACAACGCTCCAGCTCATTGGTCCAAAGCGTACACCGAGTATTTGGCCACTACTGAATTGAAACTTATTAAGCACCCTCATTACAGTGCAGATCTTATTCCCTGCGACTTTGCACTGTTTCCGCATGTGAAAATGAAGCTAAAAGGAAAACGGTTTTCTAGCGATGAGGACATTCTTGAGGGATTGGGACAAGTGTGCCGCACTCCTGGGTGAAACTTGACAGAGGTGGTTTAAGAACTGGTTTTGGCGGATGGAGAAGTGTATTGAATGTGGTGGAAATTACTTCAAACGAAGTCAATAAATAAAGCTGTATTGCAAGACTTCGATAGTATCCTTTGCATAAACCAAGGAATTGCAAATGTGATGTCCAATGTCTGAGCTCACATGCATTTCTCAAACCTTAATGATATGTTCTCCAGGAAACTAATGCATAGTACATGAAATATGCTAAGGTTACAGCATATTGCTGCAGGAATCAATTGCCTGATTTGAAATATTTTTTAGTATGTCTTATCCAGTAATTTAGTGTATTTACGGTATTTGCGCAGGTAATTTTTTTTTATCGACAAGGTGTTACTACTGCATGCTTTAAATGAGAGGCCTACTGACAGGGAAGTATTGTAATCGCAAACAAATCCGCAACGAGGTATGTTTTTTTGGATGTTATATGACATAAACATCTCATTTCGGTCTGTCTGTCCGTTAATCCTTGACCCCTCTATAACTGGAGAAGTGCCAGTCGGACTTTGATGAAATTTTCACACTGGGTTACTACAATGGCAAGGACAAAAAAGCTTTGTAGTTCTGAAAATCGGTCTAGTGTAGGCGGAGGAAAAGGCCAAAAATGAAAAAAAAAAAAATAAAGAACGCTCAAATTTCGTTTTTTGCCGTTTCAGACGATCCTGATCATTTTCGGAAAAAGTGTTGTAGGGGTTAAAAATTGGGGGTCACCGATTGAAGTGGGGGATATTTTAATTTTTTGATATTGGTATATTTATACGTCTCCAACCATAGTAATTCTACGTACAAAGGGACAATATTTTCTCTCTTCTTTCCAGGTGTTCTTGAAGATCGGTACCGAAACCCTAACCTCAATCCAACACAAGCTCCTCGCCACATTGGATCTGATTCGCAGCAGCTTCCCGATGCCAGCGCTGTTCGCTGCTACGTACCGCTTCCTGGTGGACGCTACGCAAACACCAAACGCACGCGTCAAGGTGACCGCGTTGAACTTCATATCGCAGCTGTGCAACGGGGGAGGCGAGGAGGCAGCACAACACATCGCCACGGCCCCGTCGGCGGGACAGGCGCTTATGAAGATTGTCACCTACGCACAGGATGCTAAGGTAAACAACATCTTACGACTTGGCATTTTTGCAGAAGATAGATAGATAAATATGCTTTATTGTGTAAAGAACACAATCATTCCTAATGACAAAGCTAACTTAAAAATAAACCATAATATAATTACAAGAAAGTGAATTATGGAACTCACACAAGGTCTATTATGGTTTACATATTAAAAGTTTTTAAACTCACGGCGGGGAGACACATGTACATTTTCAGACCATTATAAATTATTGAGTCTTGCACAACTATTGTTTTAGGTCCTACTAATTTGAGCCTTGTTTCGGTCTAATATTGTAATTAATATTTAGTGTTTCAAGTTTAGATTTATTTTTAAAAATAAGAGTTGCTTTTTTTGAATTGACTAATGATACGGCAGTCGTTCTTTCAAGATTTACAAATAAAGGCTTTCATGTTGCTTAGGAGTGCATTAAGTTATATATCTTACATAGTTCTTTTTTGTAGAACAAACAACTTATTTTAAACAGTTTTGGGAGACGCACCAAAAGGAATCTACTTTCAAATAAGGCAAAGTAACTGCTTAAGGCTGTGCATTCCCTACATTTGAAATATTTGTTCTGATAATAAGGAAATCTTTGCTAGTTGAGTATGCAATTTGTCTACATGATTAGTAAAATCTAGTTTATAATCAAAGGTCAGTCCCAAAAATTTGATGGTATCTGTTTTGGGTGTCAATTTATTATTTAAATTTATACAATCAAGGGGGCATTTAAATATCATAAATTATGTTTCATTAACATTGAAAGCCAAATAATTGTTGTCAAACCATTTTTTTTTATTAATTGCATATAACTATCAATTTTTGTCTTAATTTCTTTTATATCTAGTCTTGCTTGTGGTATTATCAGCAAAAACTACTAATTTATCATTTATGTTTAAATTTTTTAAATCATTGTTATCATCATTGTAATTGAGTGAAGTTCCTAGTACAACCATATATGTTTAATTTCCTTAATGGTACATCATAGTTTACACAGCTAAAAGCTTTGAATATTTCAAAAAAGAGCTATTGAAATTTGTTTATCGATTAAATTTGAGTATAACTGTAACGTCAATAATGAACGTCTTAGTTTTTGCGATCGCCGATTTGGGTTGCTCAATTTTAAGACCAGCCTAGACCTCTTTTCACGTCGGTGCATCGCTGTACTATCTAATCATATCTAATCATATTAGACGAAAATACCCCTTGTAGTGCATTAAACAAGCCGTCAATAGCGAAATGTGAATAGAGACTTTCTACCGATACGTCTCTCTCATATAATATATAATAAAAGCACACAATGTGAAAAAGCATTTATTTCTCCAAATTTAAAAAAAGCAGAGAAAAAGGAGCTGCGCAGATTGGAACCACCGTTCTGCGGTTTTGCAATCGTCTATCATTCCCATTGCGCTACGACGGCTCTTGGTTTACTGTATCCTTATACCACTATGCGTGACACTGACAAATATCAAGCGAACGTTGTAGGCGTATCAAATCCGTTATAAACAATTACAGTACCCTTGAAAACCATACAAGATACAATGCTGAATTTTTAAATAATGTATTAGGGATTAATAACGAGCATTTTGTCTAATTTTTAAATTCGCTACAATTGGTTGATATTTGTCTGCTGTTTTTTTCGTTTTCTCGAGTTTATTTTCAACATTTTTAACTGGTCGTTCTAATCGAACGAAATTTCGAAAACAGACGTATACTATAGTAATACTTTTAGAAAAAAGTCTAGGGAATTATATTTATTCGTAAAGAAACTGTGACCTAACTATTTGACAAAGTCATGCAGTCATCAGTAATGCAGCCATTTAGCACATGCTACATACTAACTAGTCTAAGACAGTTTGAAACATAATTGTGTCTTCAGCTTGCGTGCTAATTTTATAACAGTTCAGCGCATTCCAATATTGAATATTTTTTGTACAAACTTTAAGGCTCATCTGTGAAAAAAAATTACAGCTCTAAATATGTGTATACACTCAAGAGTATGAAGAAATCTTGAACAAAAATTGTTTGTTTTCTGTATAATAGCGTATGTTTTTCGAATACGGTAGCGAATCTGTTCAGTTACTCAGATATACGAACTGTTTGAATTTGTTTAGAAGAAAAAAACGTAACCCTTCGTTTTCTCATAAAAATAACAATTATCTTTTGGAATGGTTAGTGATTCACGTCGGCAAGGTAAATTCGTGTATTTTGCTATAAAATGCTATTTGAACGAACCCTGAATATTGCTCAGTAATCTAGCAGTGAAGGCCGGAAGACAGGTGTTTTGGGATAAACAATTAGAAATTCTCAAAAACTACTTGACCAATCGACTCCAATTTTGTTGTAGTTATTTAGAAGTATGGAGCCTACGAAATCGAAGAATTTCAAGTAGTGGCGTGAAATTATCGCATTAGCAACAAGTGCCAAAACCTACATTTTGTCTCGGTTTTCAGCCATAACTTTTTTACTATTAGTCGGATCTTTTTACGTGTGGTCTCATTTTGTAGGTCTCATAAATACGTAAAAATCTTATTTGAAGAGTTTTTTCGTTCCTGCCAACAGTTTCAATTGAATCCCGAGCAACACATTTTCTCATTATTTGTTTTCGAATAAAAAGTTGTCCCACAAAAAATTAGTGTATCCATTTTATGAGTCCATGTTTTAAATACCCCCTTGAACAACTTGCATCAATAAAACCCGAATTTACGATTCTTTCGGGGAAATTCACGAATATGGTTAGTCTACTACTTATTTTTATATAGATGTTAATCTTTCCTTTTTTTCTCAAATGGACAGGAATAATTTTTGCATTTCCATCTTATATTTTCTATTATCTTGTATTATGTGACATCGTTACAGCAGTTCAAAAGAGAATAGCCGAATATGTCCAGAAGATGCGTGACCCATGTATTTAGATTCAGATTCAACTTTATTTTCCATTTAACTGTACCACAGTGTAAGAAATTGTCACGTACAAAAAAAATGCAAAACGATAAAACAGCGAAAGCCCTGATCAACAAACAAATGGCATAAGACAAGTTGCACAAAAGAGACAGTTCTAGTGAAAAGAGCCGATAGTTATGAACATTTAACATGTTTGTAATTTGTCTTGAAAAAATCTTTAAGACGTCTCCCGAAAAGTATTGTCATGCTATCTCTAACTCAGGTTGGTAGGTGATTATGAATCTTCACTCCCACGTAGTTTAGAGCATTATAGCTGACATTTAGCCTTGCTAGAGGGATATGCAAATTATATTTTCATATCTTGTACTCCTAAGATGAAGGTCATAGCTGTTTTTGAATGTTATTCTACTTTTATAGATGTAAATACTAATTTCATAAATATGGCAGCAGACAAGGGTAAACATTTTGATGTTCTAACACCACCCTACACGATGTTGTTTGACATACTAGCAATAACCCTAATAATCTTTTTTTGTGAGATAAAAATTGAATCTTCATGGGTCGATGTTCCCCAGATTCCATACCTTTGTCTGCTATCAATTAAGCCATATTACCGGCAGTTGGTTAGCTGCTACCAAAAACAGTGTATTCTTAAGTTTATCGCAATAAGATTTCCATGTCCCAATGCATTCATCAAAGAGAATATCAAGTAACTTAACAGCTTTATTTGCTCTTTTAATATTCCCATTACAATTAAAAGGTCATTAAGATGGTGTTGGCGAGTTTTTTTATTGAATTGTTTACAGTTTTTTTTTGGTTCAGATATAAGTAGCTACTATCAAAGTAGTGTGTTAACGAAATCAAGAATTGTGAACATTTTTCCTCAATCGACATGTCTGTGTTATCCGATATGATGAAGGAAAAGTCATCAGCGTAAGCCACGTAAAATTCGTCAGGCTAAACCAAAATAGTTCCATCCATCACTTAATTAATCCAAGTATAAATCAGTCACTAGTCAAAACATAACATATAAGCTATCAATATTTACCATATTTATTTTTGTGCGTAGTCGGCTGAAACGCGCGCCGCAGCCAGAGCATGTATCGTCGCCATGTGGAACTGCAACACTTCGCAAATCACTATGCTACTAGCCGAGCTGCCCACGGAGGCTCAAGAGGTCGCTTCGGCAGCAGTACGTGGGCACATGAGGGCGGCGCAAGGTGGAGCTGCTGGAGACGAACCGGGCAGCCCGTTGGTTTCGACCGGAGCGACTGCAAGCAGTCCCAGAGGAGCTGGTGGATCGCCTGGATACAGGGATGTAATTGATCACGAAGAGGTGTATAGAAACTTGAGGCGGACCACTGCTGAGATACAGAACTACAGCTTCGAAATAGGTTAGTGTATACTTCAGTGCGTATGTATAATAGGTGCTTAGAATTTGAGAGCGTATACATATACTAAAATTAAAAAAATATAGATATACCCTACCCCACAACTCCCTCCCTCCTCCCAATTTTTTACCCAAAAAAAAAAATGTTCAAAAATGATTAGGATCCTTTCAGCGATTTCTATTTTTTTTTTTTTCGTTTTTGACTACTTTCTCCGTCGCTACTGGATCGATTTTTAAAAATTACAGAGCTCTTTCGTCGTGGCATAGTAGTAACCTTGTTTGATAATTTCATCCAAATCCAAGCAGTAATTTCCAAGTTATAGATGAGCCAATTATTATCGGACAGACAGACAGGCCGACAGAAATGTGTGACATAATACCTCATCTTCAAAATTTTTCACGATTACAATACTTCAGTAGGCGTAGGAAGTAAAAACATCACTGTTTACTTCCTGGATGTTTCCACCCCGAGCTGCGTAAATCTATTTATATCGTGCTGAGGCCTTCGAGGCGGACACAATAAAAAACCTACACATACCAAACTGTCGCAAACCTAGTAAGCAGTGTTTGTGTTTCTGAATCGAATGGCTGCAACTTCAAACAATAGCAAATCAGTACTAGCAATTTCTTATCAAATAAATAGTGGGTTAGTACATTTCTTCAATTTATTTCAACACTTTTAACGAGAGATTTATTCTAAACATCAATAAATGACCCATATTTTTTCTATGCCGAAGTAGCCGCGCAGGCAAAAACCTAAATGCCAGGACACCACGGCTGCTATGAGGATCCCAAAGAAAATTTGTTAATCCGATTTTTGAACTACCTAAGGTTAGTTGAACTGGGAAAATCTTCCTCTTGTAGATTGTCTTAAAGGCACATTGCGCAGCGTCATCATGGAGGAGAACGCTGAGGAGCAAAGCCGATTACTGATAATGTAGTCGGGGCGACAGCACCCTCTTAGCCCTAAATAAATACCCTAGCTTTTTCCCAGCAACTGCCGCTATTGATCAGATGTGTTCGTGCCAGGTCAAGTTCTCTGCGATCTGGACTCCGACCAGCCGAAATGAAGGGCTTTTTAGCAGAACTCGACCATCCAATGAAACCAGATTAGGACGCTGTTTGTTCGTCAAGGTTTATTACTGTGTTTTGGAAGCATTAAACTGTACAAAATTGATGCGTCCACAAGCAGTGATAACCTCCAGGTCTCTCGTCGGAGAGGAAGTCGTCGCGAGTCTTCTTTTTACCAGTTCACCGGCAGAGATCGACTTGTCGCTCTGAATTCCTGCATGTAGGGTGCTGTCATCAGCAAAGCTGTGGATTGGGTTGATCGTGCAGGAAAGGAGGTCGTTGATATGTAAGAGAAACAGTGTCGGAGCCATGACCGATCCCTGGGGAACACCCGCGTTGACGTTGTGGGATGAAGAGGAGAACCCGTCAATTACGACGGATATCTTGCGGCCAGAGATAAAGTCAGCCACCCATCTGCAAAGCTTTTCTGGGAGGCCATAGGATGGAAGTTTGCTTAAGAGGGCAGCGTGCCACAGCTGATCGAACGCTTTCGTGATGTCAAGAGCAACGACATGAACCTCACCATAAGACTGGATGAGTTTACTCCACAATTGAGTGACGTAAGCTAGGAGGTCCCCTGTGGATCGTTGGTGCCGGAAACCATACTGCCTGTCGCTAATCAAGCCGTGACGTTCGAGGTAGTCCAGAAGCTCGCGATTTATGCACCTCTCCATCACCTTACTTAAAACAGAAAGAGCTATAGGCCTGTAGTTGTAAGGGTCGGTCTTACATCCTTTTTTTTGGGACAGGTTGGACATGAGCAAATTTCCAGTTTCCTGGGAAGATGCCGTATTCGTAATATATCTGGAAGAGATGCGAAAGAACTGGAGCAAGCTTTGCTGCACACCTCTTCAATATAATGGCAGGAATCAGTTCCAGACCAGAAGATTTGTTGATGTCGAGCAACAAGAGCACCCCTCTTACTTATGTCCACATAGTCTACGGAGCCGTTTGAATCGACCGCACTCGGGCGTGGGGGGACGTCCATGGTGGAGTTGAGAGCAAAGATCTTGGCAAGCACTTCCGCGTTAGACTTTGAGTCGGTTACGATCGTTCCATCCTCACCGTAAGTGGTGAAAGGCTACTCTGTGAGAAGTTCCTTTCAATCTGCTTCCCAGCGTCCAGAAAGATCGACTGCCATTGCGCTGCGACATTACCCTGTGCCTAACTTTTGTATCGTACCGGTCTTTAGCATTACGAACCGCTTCGCTATATTTGTTTCTGGACGCCGCCTTGTCTGTTCTCTATATTGGGGTTTTGTAAGAAGGTTCTGCGTACCTTGATCTTCTGCTCAGAGTGGATAATTTCGGTTATCGGCGAGCAAACAGCCGACGCATACGCGTCAGGGAAACAAACATATCTTCAAGGAAAGGCGGAGAAGATGTCTCCGAGCCCCTCCCAGTCGGCACGACCGTAATGCCAAATTTTGCGTCATTGGCGAGTTTCTGGTGTCACAGAGGGGTCTGACTGAAACCTGATCTAAACAACACCGTGGTCTGAGTTACCCAGGGGAGACAGAACAGCAGGGCGTAAGGGACAGTATGCATGGTCAGAAATAGAGGTACAGCGGGCTACTTGCATGCGACGAAACGCGGGGGAAAAGAGTAGGGCTCGGTCAGCTGAGTCAGCGCCTAGGTAATAGCGAACGCTTCAACTGCACACCCTGCTGCATCGGCCTTATTTGAGATAACAAAAGCCTTATGGGCATTCAACTCACTGAGGAGAACTACATCTGAAGCGGAGTGATTGATGTTCAGAAAATCGATCTTGACAGCGAGGTATTAGGTAATCCCAGTTATGGTCTGAGGGAGAGCGATAAACACAGCAAATAATTTGGGGAATGTCCTTCCGGTCTGATTCCAAATAAACATCTATGGAGGACAAAAGACTGCTGCGGACAAAAGCTCCCCCGTTTTTTCACAGATTGGAGTGCACCTCGTAATTTTGGAAGCTGATTAATCGGTGCAGACTCTGAGATTTTTGTCTCCGCCAAAAAAATCATGGCGGGACGACTAGGTTGCAGGTAGTAAATTAAAATCGAGGTTATTAGCGGTGGTCGATCCAAAAATGATACCTATAAACCTCTTATTCTGAGAATGGGATTTTTGTTACACCGAAATATTATATTAAACCTCAGAACCTATATTCTGTTCGATTTAATTTTTTCCTACTAACGAGAAGCGGCAAAACTTGCGTAGTTCAGGCGTACAATTTCGCGCCAAATCTATGGCTTAAGCTCTAGCCTAATATTTTTTTCCATCGTCCTGTCCTTGGAATGTGACTCTACTTCTGCCATAGAGATTAGACTTCCGTCAGATATGACTTTTACAATTTGACATGAATGTGGAAAATACCAATGCTAGATTTTACAATTACACGATTCTAAAACTTCGTTAAGACTGAAATACGATTCCTATATTATATCAATTATTTATTTGATGCACAGTCTCGAGTTATGTGCAAAATCACGTAGGATGAGAATCTAATGATGGAGAAGAACTGTCGAAATGAACACTTTCTATCAGAAAATTACAGTTGCATAACACAGATTCAATGCCAGTTTATTCTAGCTTTTTCTTCCGCGGGCGGTTGCCGCTGCTAGCTACAAAACTGCTACACGCACTACGGTAAAGAAATCTTTTGCGATAAAAATCGCCAGTGCTATTTGCAATCCTTATATATGTCCACAGGAGTTTTACCTGACCTATTATGATATATTCAGGACGAGTTTTTGCTGCCTTTTTCTTTTAGCATCATTGTTGTCCGTAGTTCAACGAATATTTGAGTTTAATAATGAAAGTAGTAGCAGTTTTACGTTCTATGTATAGACAATGCAACTCTGCTGGCCAGACCGTTGCATTCCTTATTACCACATAAACTCAGTGATCGTTGCACCAATTTAGAAAAAAGGAAAGTGATATGTTTTGTGTTATAATTCTAATGCTGCTACATTTTTAAAATCATGTTATTAGCGTTAGAGAATTGGTAAAGAATAACAAAAAACACACATGCTCAAGCCTTATTTTCTAAGTTCCAGATTACTTTATTTGTTTGTTTAGGATTTATTTATCATGACTGCTACAATTACATTATTTTAAAAACAACAATTGCATAACATACGAATACTCGGAAAACAAAACTTGATCTTGCATCTCTAAAAATGTTTGCTGTCCATGGAATGTTCCTTTAATTTTATTTTAAACATCTTTAGATTGCAGATATACTTTATATCATTATTTATGTTATTAAATCCAAACAATCCCTTCTGAAATATTGATTTGCTAATTATGGTAATGTATGGTAATCTTGTAAATGAAAATCTCTTTTTTATAATAATTATGGTAACGATTCTTCAATTCTATGTAATGTTCTAAATGTTGTAGCAAAAGATTACTTTTTATTGTAAATATGAAAATAAGACCCAAATATGATGGAATATGTTCAAGTCTATGAGAAGGCCTATAAAGTTCATTTGTTTTTTTTTTGGCAATCTATGAAATAATGTGTTCATAGTGATCCTCAAACTTTGGTACACATACACCCAAATATTTAATTGTTTCAATTTTTTCAATTATATCACCACTTATCCTAACTGTGATCGTCTCTTCATCAAAGTTTTTTCCTATCAGCATACATTTTGTTTTAGAAGCATTCAATTTTGGTTATATTTAAGTAATTTATGATTTTTGCCAAGTCAGAATTCAGCATCTATAAAGCAGTGTCTATATTTTTATCAGATATGTATATTAATGAATCATCTGCAAATATCTGAATTTTACAATAATCTAAAATATAATTAAACCATTTGAAGTGCCGTTTCAGTTGAGTTCTTCCTAAATCCAGCTTAAAATTCTATGTCATAATGAGAGCAATTATCAACGACATTTTTATTAATCACACACTTCGGTCGCCTTTGATCCATAATTCCATAATTCCATAATGATTTTTACAAACAAATTGTGTTTTAAACGACTATTTAGACTCTGGTTTTAATTGAAAGTAGTACCCATTTAAAAGTATGGTGTACCTAGTGTGAGAGGTTATTGAAAGCTTACATCTTTATTTTTTGCAGGTTCCAAATTGGATAGGGATACAGCATCCCAGGACTCAGGTATTTCGCAGATGTCAGTCGGTAATGACATAGGCAGAGAGATAACTTCATTGGAAGACAGAATGGAGGATTTGGCAATCAAAACTCATTTTAATATTAGATCAGGATCGAGATCGCTTCCTTACACTGCCGTGAATGGTGTTCCAGAAGCCAGTTCAAACGGATTTAGAAGTTTAGGTAAGTTTTAAGATTGAAGCTGTAGTATAGTCGCTGCGTGATTTGACACTACTATTGTCAATTAATATTTGCATTCCAATTCTATTTTAAAAGATTGCAAATCCAAGATGCGAAACGTTTTTTTATTATTTTTAGGAGATAATGAAGACTCGGAACAAATTGTTTTAAATATACTAGATAGTTGTTTGGTGAACAATACAACCCCCAGTGAAGAGAAGAGGAAGTTGTTACTCCACCTTAATGAACTCATCATTAAGTCTGGCCATATAGAACCTGTTAAAAAACATTTTAAGTAAGTTTGATACTTTACAGTTTCTGCTAGTGTTATACATATAACAATTTTCGTAATAATGATGCAACTACCAAGTGCATACTCTCCTATCTACACATGGCTTGAACATATAGGTATTTATCGATTATGGCGGGTCATCATAAAACACTTTCATACCTCCTGCCCCCATCTTCCTCACACATACGCATCAAATCTACCACTCTATACTATCTTATGTTTGTGCAAGCTCACACATACGCTTTTTTGTTTTATCTCGCCGCGCACCTTTCTCATTACGTATAAGTGTTCTGCAACTATATTTGCACTTATTTTATACGTTATTGGTCATGTTTATATCGTGGCCAGCATATTCCGTGCGTTATTACAGCTCTGCGTTAAGAGATGGCCCAACATAAAAGCTCTAGTCATCACGAGGTAAGCTTCGTTCAGGCGATGGACTTGTATAGATCTTACTTCTGAAAACACAAGGCCTGCCAGTAGCCTCGTGACGTCACAAGTGGATACATGAGTTGTGCTACATATTTTCATATTTTAACATACTCCACCTGCCGGAAACGATGGTTAAATAATTCAAAAACGTGTTTTTGGAATATAAATACAACGTGGTGCAAAATATTGAAATATTCATCCGTATTTTCACGAATATTTTGTCCAACATTAGGTGTATGCTGGAAACGTTTTTTTTTTGTCGAATACATATGCATAAACAATACCGGGCTTATTATCTGGAGAAAACGGCACCATTGCTCTACTATTTAGTGTATTGTTATCATTTACAACACACAAATGTAGCCTATTTCCTCTAATCCAACAATAAGTTTTTTTTACAATGTTGTGTAACAGATTCTGATGAATTTTAGGAACATGACAGATGCGAACAACTTCTTTGAAATCAGAATAAGAACTTTAAATTATAAACATAAGCTGTTGTAACCAATGATGATGAAGTGTTATTAACTGATGTTCCAACAATATATTAATAATCATACAGGGTGTTTCAAATTCGACCCTCACCATTGGGATTTCGGAAATGGCAAGTGATGTGAAGGGGCCTAAATCGGGCAAAGTTGCGTATTTAGATAACCAACGAGATGCCTCCATCTTCATCTATATTGTTTTTAATGGATGCCATATTGGATTTCTGCATAGATGAATAGAGTTTTTAATTTTGACAAACCTTAGTTATTAAAAAAAAAAGGATTTCCTGCATTTTGTTATGGATATAATACATTTGTTTATTTCACGATTAACTTCACATATTTATATAAAGTAATATTAATTCTTAGTAGTTTTTAAAAGGTACAAAATTCCAATATAGCGTCCATATGAAAATCAAAGTTGATGATGTAAGTGGAAAGAAGAAACCTCGAATTAAAAACACGCCACCTTTAGAAGAGAAAAAGTAAAAAACATGCAATTTATTTTGAAATCGCATCTCAAATAAAGTCAGAAAATTGGCAATGCTAAGGTATAACACGTTATACTTTTTTGGAACCAGAATTAAAAATTCTATTATTCCGTGTAAAAATCCAGTCTTCGGTACGAAAAAAGGACAAGAGACAAAACGTCATATTGAAATTCTGATTATGCCATCTTTTAGAGGGGAAAAAGTTAAGTTTAGTGTAGTAGAAGTACTTTGAATTTTGAAGCTTTCCAAGCGGCATTTTGTTAGTTACTCAAATTTGCAGGTTCGCCTCCATTTAAGCGACTTCGTATCTAATACCGTTTTCGAGATCCCATTGGCGAGGTTCGAATTTGAAACTCCTGGTATACAACATGGAAGGAAACACAATTGCTTCTGAAGAGTAATTGTGTCTATTTTTCTGACTAATAACAGCGTAAATTGCCCTCATATAAATTGAGTGACAGTTGCTATGAATTGGTTTTTATCTAGGTATTCCTTTGAAGAATCTATATTCTGACTAACATCACCCAATAAATCATTTAAATGGTGTACATTAGATAATAAAAATGGAGTTTTAATAAGCCGTAATAGCACATATAAATAGGTTTTCATATTTAGATCTGAATCAATAATACAATAATTACAGAGATGCTGATTTAAAAGTAACCTTATCGTGAACAATTTTATGCCACTCATCTGGACCACAAATTATTAGTGCACTAATCTGGAAACTGACATGAATTGGAAACTTGGAGAAAGCATAAATAATTTTGTATTGTAATCGTAAATATTATTTGGAGGGTTTTGATTAGGTATTCTTGTGCCTTGTCCCTCAATTTTTGTTCCGACTACTTGTGCATAAATCATTTGAAGTGAATTTTGAGCAATTTGCAAAAATTCTTGGATATGCATCTGGTACTTACGTACCTGTGTTTTCGTCATGGATTCCGAAAGAAGACAGTCCTTAGAAAAATGCCCTCGCATATTTTCCGGCACAATTATTAGGAACACAGCACTTGTAAGGCATTTTAAAGAAAAACGGACACAATCACGAGACACAAATATAAATATAAAACCACAGTTTTAAAGTCGAAAAAAAATGCAAAGATGCAAGACAGCAGTTTAAAAGGGAGGTTAGGAGTGGCTGAGCTGCTAGGTTTAGATTTGGATTGAAAGGTTAGACTTCGCACCTGACAATGACAGATTGGACGCAGTATCGACGTTCTATTCTGGATATACTTAGCGAGATCAGAAATAATAGTCACATCATTATTAAAGCAACGCAGGCCTTGAGAATATGTTGCAAATTGGCCTACTTTAGAAAAGTAACTAATTATCAGAAATATTCGACACTGCTATATCTTTTGTAGATATCTCAACGCAGCATAGACTCCAGCGATCGGTGGCTCCATACGAAAACGTTTAGATCTGTTTGTAGATCTAATTTGGGTGACTACACTACCAACTAGCAGCTCTGTTGTTCTTTCGGTGGTAAAGGCATAGAGCGCGGTATGAACTGTGTATTACTTCGCCATCTCTTGGCATGGATTTGTGTTAACACACTAAACAATATGATTGTTGTTAGCTAACATGGACAATAATTCATGACCGCTCAAGTCGATGAAAATACCTATTATTGATTACACAGCTTAGGCTAATCACCTAATCAGGCCGATATTAAAGAGCTAATATATTTTTATTATACACTATACATATTTAGTGCTACATGATACATTTTATAAGTATACTGACTTTTGTTTGTTTATTGGATTTTATGCTTATCTTACGAAAATTTTAATTCTCTACAATAGATAGATAGCCCGAAGAATACAATCATTCTGAATTACAATCGTAACTTAGAACTAAGCTATAAGATAATTACAAATAAATATCTTGAATAACTAAACTGTAAACTCACACATTAATTATAAGATATAATATTAGACGAAAACAAGATCGTAAATTAGTAGTAGCTAAAATAACACTTTCGAAAGACAAGACTCATTGATTCATAATGGTCTGAAAACTTACATTGTCTCGCAACTCGCCTACTTAAGATCCACATATGTAATTATCTTTTAGTTTAGTTTCAAGTTAGCATTGTCTAAAAGAATGATTCTATTATTCAGACAATAAATCGTATCTATATCTACCTATTAATTAAGTTAACTACTTTTATGATTATTACGAAAGATGAATAATCGTTGATTTGACTTGTTGCAGGAAAATCTTGAAGCTGTTAATTGAGAACCTCAACAACGGTGACCCAGTCATTCGGATCCCAGTGCTACAAATCCTCAGATCCATATTCAAGTGCCAGCAGCTTAAAGATCACTGGACTAGTTTTGTGGAACTACTTACGCTTAGGATATTGGATGCACATTGCATTGATAAAAGAGAGGTAATTATGGATGTACTTTAATTGTGCGGAATATTTTCAGTGCTGGTAGACAACATATTGCATACGAGGGATGTCTTTTAAGTTTTGCATATGGAAATAAAACAACACGGTAGGTAGTTTTAAATAACTTTATTTTGTTTTTCGAAGATTAATACACATCTGAATGCGCTCGATCCAATTTTCGAAGAACTTATTCCACTCGTTTGCTGGCACATCCAAAACGGCATTTTTGAATGCGTGAACTGCTTTTTCTGGTGACTGGAACCTTTGACCTCACAGTCTTTTTTTAATTTTCGGGAAAGTAAAGAAATCGTTAGGACTCTTCCGTTAAATACTGCCTTGTTTTTTAGGCTGTATGCGAGCTTGCATTGTCTTGGTGGAGGATGATTCTTCTTTCGGGGTTGATTTTTCGAAGCTCGGTGATGACTTTTGGCAAACAAATGGTGGTATACCAATCCGCAGTAACAGTTCTTTGCTCATTAAGAGGAATTCTTGCAATATACCCTGCTTTTGACACAAATGTCGCGACCATCTTTTTCGAAACACTTCGAGAACGGAAGACTTTTGTTGGCTTTTCTTCACTTTGGAACACCCAAACAGCCGACTGTCGTTTATTTTCTGGTTCATCCACGATTCATCACCACTAACAATGCTGTACACATTTTTTGAGTTTCCGGAATTGAAACGGTCAAGTGTTTTTTGACACCAATTAACGCTGGCTGCTTTCTGCTCTTCAGTCAACAGGTGAGGTATTCAACGAGAAACTAATTTTCTTACTCCTAATTCTTCATGTAAAATTTTTTGAATTAAGGTCTTTGAGATCTTCAAGGATATATAATATAATATAATATAATATATAATAAATTATGGCGCGAAAATGTTCTCGGTTGAGTTCCATTTTTCTAATGACTTGGTGACACTTAAAAATTCACTGTAGTGAGAACACTGCACATATTGTTGTGAAACTTTGAATTTAAGTTTACTAAAGAGTGAGGTTAAGATTCAGTACTTATGTTCGATCCGCGCGGCCTACTATGTTTCTATATGCAAAACTTAAAAGACATCTCACGTAGTAGTTTGAAATATATTTAAAAGAAGAATCTAATTTCTCGTTAGTCGCAGTCGAATCAACGACACTTTCGGCCTTATAACCTCATGAAATCAAAGTTATTCCTTATACAAATCAAACAGTGTCATCGATCAGTAAATCAATTCACACTATAAACACGCAGGTCGTCCTGCATTTTTCTGGCATTATAAGGCTTATCATTAAATCAAAATCAAAATTTGTTTGAGTTTGAGAACTACAACTACAAAAAATTAAGATATACACCTCCTTAAAAAAGGCCACTGTGGTCGTTAGTAAACGATACCTAAAGCATATGTGGTTTTGTTTAGAGGCCAGATAAACATGGAGGATTATAAGATATGCATGATATTCAATAAGAAATCGAGAGACGAACTGACGAACTTCATGAATAAAACTACTAAAAAGAACAAGAAATGTGATCACGCGAATTTTTATAATTTTCTCGACTCCTTTTACTGCGTTTTTTATGTTCAAACATTGCTCCATAAAAACGAGTGAGGTTTTAGCTGTCATGGAAACCTTAGTTAAAAAGAGTTTTATATAAAAGTGTTAAACTTTGACAGCTGAAGCTAAGCGGCTGCTTTTAAGACTGTTCTAAATTGACTTGTAACATCACAAAAAGCTTTGTTGAAGACATTTAAACATAAAGTGTATCCTAAACCGGGTGCGCCTCAAATTTCTCAAATATATGTCACCTCACTCGTTAGGTTACTGTATTTTAAAATCGTCAAAGACAGCAGACAGGCATGTACAAGATCTCGGAAAAGCGGAACTTTAATTGTATCTAAAATTAATTTGTCGTTTACTCTCTGTTATAAACAGCGCCCAAGATATATAATTTCATGCCTTTTCAATTCAGATCCAATTCATATCTAAAAATTAAATATAAAATTAAGCCTTGGAAAACTTGAGGCAAGCATTTAGCAGTTAGTTTCTGAAATTCAAAACATTCATTTTTAAAAAGTTTGTTTTTTCTTGATACTATGTTTCAAGCTCTCAGACTGTAATGCTTACAATTTCGTCAAGTTATACCTTAAATCAATGATATAATTTTATTGGATGCGGGCACCCACAAACTTTCTAGTTAATTGTGCTAAAAACGTCATTTTTGTGAATGTATACATATTTTTTGAAATTAACAGTATTACTAGTACTACCACCGATTTATTTATTTATTCAATTTCGTATAAACATTTAAAGCGACGGATGCCTCATGCTTAGATTTAGAACGTAGTATGGAATTGTTGGAGATATTTTCTATATTGAAAATTTTTTGATGCCTTGTAGGGAGACCATCACTCTAAGGAAAGCATTATGGTATGTATAACACTAATAAGTTTTCTGTTCTGAATTTGTTTAGTTGATGTAGATTTATTTAGCATAAATGCTACAATATCAATGTCATACAGTATATCAGATAATATATTTTCAAGACTACATATTTTTATACAAAATTTCACTACTAGGAATTCTGGTTTTCCATGAAATATTTCTTTGATTTATTTCACTTTAAACATTTTCAAATTGGTACACATCTTGATATCATTAATTAATTTATTAAATTCGTACAATCCTTTTTGAAATACGGATTTGTTTGTTATATGGCTACTACAGTTTTGTAAATGAAAATCTATACTCCCTCTAGTAGAATAACTATGGTACTCATTGTTCCATTTAATGAAGTTTTCCAAGTGATTTGGCAGAAGATGATTTTTTAACTTAAATATGAAAAAGAAAACCAAGTAGATTATGAAATTTTTAATATTTAACCATTGTAGTTTCAGCATAAAATTTATATACATATTATGTATTAATTTTTATTAAAGATGATTCTCATAGCTTTATTTTGTAATATTTGTAATTTTAAAAATACAGTTTCGTTTGCAGCGAACAAAATGGTCGAACAATATAACAAATGAGGAAGAATGATAGTGATGTACACAATTTCTTTAGAATAAACGCTTGCGAAAGTCTATGAAAGTAATTTATCTTTTTGGATATTTTTGAAATAATATATTCATATGCCATTCAAAATTTTAATTACTATCTACGTATATCACCAAATATTTAAATGATTCGATTGAGTCAATTTTTTCATGATTAATCGTAAGATTTATCGTATTTTTATCCTCAGATTTTCCTGTAAGCATACATTTTGTTTTGTTTGTGTTTAATTTGAGTTTATTCACATTCAACCAATTAATTATGTCTTTCATATCATTATTTAACAGCTTTATTGCAGTTTCAATGTCTTTATTTGATTTATACATTAATATATCATCAGCAAATATTTGAATTTTGCAGGGTTGTAACACATGAGGAATATCGTTAATATATAAAATAAATAATAATGGACATAATTTGGTAACCTTTGTCACATCTACCGAAATGTTTTTAATGCTTGATAGTGTATTGCCAATTTTAGTTCTTTGACTTTTATTGATTAAATGATTTTGTAATATGTTGAATACTGAACTAGATATCTTATTTCGTGTATTCCGAGCAAATAAAAACAAATGTCCACAGGTTGCGATCTCGAATTTGGAATATCCATATCTTGGCAAATAAGTACTTTGCACTTATTATACTAGAACGTTCACTTTTTTTATTTTGACATTTGACCTTGTTAGTGTCGTGTCTAGTTAAAAAAAATATTTTAGCGCGCTTGTGTGCTAAAGGTATGTTTAGTATATGTGCATATAACACTTTTAATTGATCGACATTGGTTTTTACTCCACCAAAAATGGATCATTTTTCCATTTAAAATAAATTACCTACACAAACTGATAAAAATAGAAAACCTCGGTATATCTAAATAACTACTGGATTATACAAAACGAGTAATCATAAAATGTCTGCTTTTTAAAAAAAGTATAGAGAGCCTTAAAAAATTGAAATCAGCCCACTGGTTAAAAAGATATGTTGAACAACCGTTTTACAACGTGCCGACACGTTTAAATATTACGGCTACACCGCCACGATTTGTATCGCGTGACTTGATTTTTTATATAATCCTAGAGGTGCTCAATTTTTCTGTTTTTTAGGTATCTGATACCGAATTCGGTATCGATTTTTTAGAAATCAGAATGGTGAGAGCTGTAGTTAGCTTCTGCCAACAATGACGTATTTCTTAGCTGGGTGTCTGTAGAACATATTATCGAAATAGAGCGGACGTTTTATATAAATTATTTTTGAATACACCAATTCATTATGAGTTTCGGAAAAATTATCGAAATTATATATTTGAGACGAGATTCTAGTGATTTTGATGTTTGGTAGGACAGACATTCAATTCACTCCATTATAATTCCGCATGTAGAGTCATCGAAGTGGAACAAATGTTATCAAAAAATAATTATATGGGTGCCCAGCGAAAAATATTTAACTTTAAAATTCAGTTTAAAAAAACTACATTGTTCGGGGATTGTTATTGTAAACCTTTGATTTGAGGTATCCACATAAAAAGAAATCGCAGGTCTGAGGTCTGGTGACCGAGGCGACCTCGAAATGTCTCCGTACTTGCAGTTCAGCCTAGTCGGAAAAATTGTCCTTAACCTCCCCATCGACACCCTAGCTGTATGCGGAGTGGCATCCTCTTGCTGAAATAGCTGCTGATTTTTCAAAATAACATCCCTCTTCTCTCTCGTACACATTACGACGTCAGCCAAACTTGAATCTTACCGTATGTTTATTGTAAATATCTGCTTTAAAGTTTTTGTAGAGGACAGACGTATTGGTGCTTGACAGAATGTCATAAATTGTATATTATTTGTTTTTTTTGTAACCTGTTGTACTTTGGTACTTTTCGCAAGTTCAATTATTGTTTTTGTTTTACATACATTAAGTGGTTTTTTCCATTTAATTTGGTTTTAATGTATGCTTATACAGGGTGTTTTCAAAGTTGAGACATTTATTTTTAGATTTAAAATTAAAAACAAAACAAGAATGTTATTCCACAGATTTTCTGATATTCTCGACCAATGCCGTGTAAAATCTTAGTGTTTTTTGCTTACTACTCTCATAGTTTATCCAAATTGTGGTAAACTTTTTGTGTTATTGTATGGTTTTCAGTAGAAGTCTTTGGTTCGATCAGTCTTTTAATAGTGCGTATACTTGCATGTGCCTGATTATTTTGTGCGAAAAAATGAACATGCTTACGAAAACAATGAACAAGGGGACATAATACTAACATACGGAGAGTGTCAACAAAATGCAGCCTCAGCATGCAGGTTATATGCGGAAAGGATTCCTAAGAGATCATTCGGCCCCATGGACGTTTGTAAATTTAGTTATTACACAGGATATTCAAAAGAATAGCGAGGAGGGCACGCTGGAAGACCTGCTCAACCTGAAATGTTAGAAATTGAGGAAGACATTTTGGAATTGGTCGAAGACGACCCAAAAATGAATACTAGAGCCATAGCAGCTCAAGTTGAAGTTTCCCATAGTAAAGTGTAGATCAGTATTATACTTATTATCAACGGCTACAAGCGTTACAACCTGAAAATCATGCTAGAAGAGTTGCAATTTGCCAGTGGCTTTTAGAACAGTTCGGCAGAAACGAAGGTTTTACGAAATTAATTTTGTGTACAGACGAGGCAACATTTACACGAAATGGAGTGCACCATTTCCACAACAATCATATTTGGGCAGTAGAAAATCAGCATGTTGTGAATACAACTCATTTTCATTAAATGTTTGGGCTGGCGTGGTAAATAGCATGCTTATTGGACCCTACTTTTTTTACACCTCGACTGACCGGTGAAATTTATTTAGATCTTCTTCGACACAACATGACATGATGGTTCTCCACCACATTTTAGACGAGAAGTTTATGAACATCTAAATAATGAGTTCCCGAATATATGGATAGGTCGCAATGGACCCACTTATTGGCCTGATCGCTTACAGGATTTAACGCCTAGCTATTTTTTTTCTGTGGGGCTATTTGGAAGAGTTGGTGTATCATGATGAGTAGTAAATACCCACCAGAATTTTATTTACGAAGCTTGTAAAGAGTCTTGTATTCGCCGATGGGTTTTTGTTTATCTCTCAATTAAATTTTGATATTCATTATGAGAAAATTATAAACAAGAATAGTAGTAAAGTGGGATATTTATCAAGAGTTCATATAGTAGAAAAAGTATGTCATCCTTCCAAATTTCTTGGACTGTTCGACTATTCTATATTTAGCTAATAATTCCATTTTTGGAAGACTGCAAATTTTACATCACATGAGAATAATACTGAATAAAAATAAATATTCTCCAATTAGACAAATGCAAATTAAAATGGCTCAATGTGAAAAATTTTATCAAATATCTTGTAATGATATTCATTTATAAAGAAAAAAATAATATGTTTCCAGCATGTCTAAACTAAATTAACATCATCAAACCATGATTTACATAATACCAGAAATAGAGATGACTTCCATTTAATGTCTAAAAAGCATAATATATGTTACAAACCTATATTCCATCAAGGGTTGATTGTATAATAAATTAAACAGATAAAATACCAAGTAAAATTGAGGAATCACTTGTTAAATCGACAAGTATAGCTTGCCCAACATGTGCATCATATAGCTTAAACTTACTAATTTTGAGTTGTTTATAATTATTCTGTTTATGTAGCCAAATGCGCTAAATACATAATTCTACTACTACTACTACTACTATTGAAAATGGTGCAATTAGATCGATCGCTTAACTTACAGGTCAATAGACTACTTCAGCATCGGAAGTAATACCGCTATCTTTCTGTATAACGCCATTTGTAGCTTCAGAGGCTATACCATTATTAATTCCGAACTGTCCGATTAATTACTTTCACGATTTACGGTTATTTTTAAATAGATGATAGGATATAGCCTTCTCATGGAATAATTATTTATTGGCCGAATAGGCGGACGATATTTACGACTTTCCTGTGCTTCGCATATACTTAATGACCGCGATGCCTCTGGAATGCTCCTGGAAGGTATGCGTCTTGACAGTGAATTCAGGATCTGTGAGTGCCTTCGCGGCTCCTGTCTTCGCGAGCGCAGAAAATAATAAAAAATTACCCGTACCCAATGCTACCTGTTTCACTCTCAGTATATACGGAAATTTGAGAAAATAGTTTGCCATACAAAAAATTGAAGAAAAAGTGGGGAATTTGTTTGGGTATGATTTCCTAGCCCATTTTAGGAAGAAAAACTCATATGAAGATATATCCTAAACCTCTTAATTTTTGAGCTACAGGGTGTTAAAATTAAAAAAAAAATCGTTTTCTCATCATAGCTTTAATACTGTTCATGAAATTTAACACGCACCTACTAAGCACAATAGGCAATATTGCGACCAGTGGCGTCCATAAGTACACTGAAGATTTTTCAAAAAATGGTACATTATTGCTTTTTTCAAATAATCGTTTATTTTATTTATCCTCTTGACGACTTTTTTCTGTACGATGCACCGTTTTCGCGTAAAAAAATAAAACCCATTTTCGTGCATTTGTGGTATAACGAAATTATTTTGAACTAGTATGCTGGTGCCCTATTTAGTTTTTTAAATAATGACATTTGATCGATTACGCTGCGGTCTTATTTTGTCAAGTATTCATAAGCGTGATAGTTTTTTACATGGTGAAAGTTTCTTTAATCAGTAATGAAGAGAAAATAGGTAAACTATGCCAAGATTTACGAATTCCGAGTTAGCATACATGCATTTTACCTACGGACTTGCTGATGGGAATGTGCTTATGGTTAGGGAGATATTTCAAGAGCGGTAACCAAATCCTATCATTCTCAATGCCAGAATGTTTTCTAGAATACACAAAACTGGGAATCTTAGCATTGACAATAGTTCTAAAGGGGCACATCATTCGGAGAGAACACCAGAATTAGGGGAAGCTGTTTTAGACACAATTATTGTCACACAACATCCAGAAACAAGAACTAAGAAAATTGCGGTAATGGTTAATGTTTTCCATTTTCTTATTTAAAAAATACTTGTTGATAATTTACTATACCCTTATCGTATTCAAAGTGTTCAAGAACTACTGCCGCATGATTTTCCATTGCGTGTAGATTTCTGCCGATGGTTTCTAGAAAAAACTTGCGGGAAACCATTTATTTGATATCAAATTACTCTTTACTGATGAAGCTACTTTTTCCCGCAATTCCATTCGAAATTTCCATAATAATGATGTATGGGCCGAAGAAAACCCATATGCAACTACGGCGGCACATCATCAGGAGCAATTTTACGGTGAATTTGCGGGCTGGAATAGTTGGAGATTTCCTCATAGGACCATTCTTCCTTCCAGGACGACTGGATGGACTATCCTATCGTCAGTTTCTTGAAAACGATTCGCCAATTTTGCTCGAGGCTGTACCTATCTTATTAAGAGAAGAAATGTGGTACATGCATGTTGGTGCTCCTGCACATTTTAGCTTTCATGCTAGTGAATATCTAATTACAGCGTTTACGAATTGCTGGATAGGACGTGAGGGAACTCAATCTTGGCCTCCCAGGTCCCATAATCTAAATAGTTTAGACTATATTTTTGTGGGGGCATCTCAAGACTTTAGTTTGTACTACAACGGTTCAAACTGTAGAGGAACTAAGGCAGAAAATTTTACTTTCTTGTCAAACCATAAGAAATACTCCTGGATTTTTTGAAAGGTTCGCCAATCCATGAGAAAGAGAATTGAAGCCTGTTTTCTAGCAGGGGGGCATTTTCAACAATTCTTGTGAAAATTGAATTAAACAGTATTGTTTACTTGATCCGCAGAAATTGTCAAAACTTGTTTTTTCAAATTCCATGCATTGCAAAATCACTAAAATCTCAATAGGCAAAATGGTTTTTATTTTTTACGCGAAAACGGTGAATCGGACGGAAAAAAGTTAACAGGTTAAATTTGTTGCAAAATAAATTAGTATTTCAAAAGAAATATTTTCGGAAAAAGCAATGGCATACCATATTTTTTCACTGGTAGAATTATTAAAAAATATTCTACATTAAAAACTGTCTATTGGTACTTGGTCCGTGTCAAATTTCATGGAAATATCTAGAACAGTATTAAAGTTATGATAAGAAAACTCTGTAGTTCAAAAGTTAAGAGATTTAGGACATGTGCTCTTATAAACTTTTTGTTGTCATAAGCTTTAGTTTATTGGTAAATTATACACTGAATACTTGAATAATCAACCTTTTATTATTGAAACTAACTGGACAATTTTTTACATAAAACATTTTCCACAAAACGCTCTCAACATTACATTTGCGCCAATCTGTCCATCTGTCCTGAGTGACAATTGACATTACAGACTGACACACTGTTGCCAACTTTATATTGAAATAATTTTCTTGGTATAAAAACACTTTTCTTCCTAAAATGAGCTAAAGAATCATATTCTGAACAAGCGTGATCTGATCGCCCCTAAAAATCGAGTGGGACTCAGGAAGTCGGAAAATCTCTGACGGAAGTGGGTAGGTCTGGTACACGGACGGCTCGGTTACTGAAGAGTGCTCTGGCGCCGAAGTCTTTGGACCTAGAACTAGCTTCTATCTGCCTCTCGGTGAATAGACCACTACTTTCCAGGTGTAAATCTAAGCGATTCCCGCATTTTGGAGAAGAATAATAATCTTTGAGAGCCAAGCTGCGATGAAGGCACTTAGTGCGTGCAAGATTAGTTCGAGCCTTGTATTGCAATACAGGGAGACTTTGGATAGTATAGAAGCGAGGCATCCGATATTGTTAGTGTGAGTACCGAGGCACGCTGGGATAAAGGGTAATGCTATGGCGGATGCTCTTGCGAAAGCAGGATCAACGCACAAGCTTGTTAGTCCTGAGCCAGCCCTCGAGCTGCCCACGCAGAGTTAGGAGGAAAATGGAGAAGTGGATTGATGGACAACACTCTCAGAAATGGAGAAGCATCTCTAGACCTCTTCGTCAGGCACGGGAGCTCATCGTATGGCCCAGTGTTAAGGATTGACGCTTTTACTTTGGATAGTCAACCTCAGGTTGTGAGCGGGACTGTTGTCTGGCCATAACACGATGAGGCGCCGACTGCATGTGATAGGGGTGGCTGAGGATTCCATGTGATGGGCGAGCGCTGCGCGGTAGAGGAATGGCGCATGTTATGTGCCGCTGCGAGGCTCTGAGCTACTAGAGTTACACCATACAGCGGTCCAACACCTTGGAGCCCCAGAATTTTAATGAGGGCTCAGGGCTATACTCAACTTTACTAGAAGGGCGGAGCTGGAGGCTTCAGGAATGTAGTGCCGGTTTTTGCGGCCTATGCATCGGCTTCTCATGGTGGCCGGTATGCCTATAATTCCGTTATTCATTCATTCAGTCAATCCTTGTTTCATTGTATTCCATTTCTCTTTTTTGATTAGTCAACATGTTTCATTGTTTGTTGTAGGTCGTGAAAGAGGCTGAAGAGACTGCAGCAGCAATGAGCATTGGTCCGTTCAACACGCTCGTGGAGATCCTGGCACCCCAGATCCGCACCCTCAGCTACCCGTCCCTCCTTGGAGCCATCAAGATGCTCACGAAACTCATTGAACATAACCCCAAAGAAGTCACAGACGAACATCTTAGACAAATAATGCCAGGATTGATCAAGGTAAGCAAGGATTTTTTTTAAGAACTCATTTAAATGTATTGCGAATATACATTGCGTCGTAACGAAAATGAGCAAACTTGAAAAGATATCAATAATACAGCTTCAAAAAAAAAGAAGTTTGATTTCATATAACATATGAAGGGTGGGCCGTTAGTTACTTTTTTTAAAGTTGGTATTGTTTCGACAGTTGGTAACACTTCCATGCTCAACATATTGACAGATATATTGGGTCAAACATTCGGTGTGAGCAATGGATCGTTTTAATCTTGAACAAAGGTGGAAAAATATTGGAAAACTATTTGCACTGTGTTGCAGATACTTTGCGAAAATTGAGAAGACTATTTGGTCGGAATTAAGCTCCGTCTGCGACTGGTATATGAAAATACGTGAAGAAGGTTCGTAAAACTTTCCTGCTTGTGGATAACAGAAGGTATGAGCGTGTTCGACCCGTACATACAGCCGAAAAGATTGCTTCTGTTCCCCAGAGTGTGCGTGAAAACACAAGAATGTCAACTTGTCAAAGAGCACAACAAGTGGTCATCAGTCACACTTCGGTACAGAGAAAATTGCATAACGACCTGGGATTATTTCCTTACAAGGTGCAACTTGTGCAAGAGTTGAAACAAAATGACCATCCGCTTCGATATTGTTTCTCTGTGTGGGCTCTAAATCAATTGGAAACGGACGTCAATTTTGGTCGCCGAACCATCTTTTCGGAAGAAGCCCATTTCCATCTGGGAGGTTATGTTAACAAGCAAAACTGTAACGCTATAGAGACATGTTGAGGAGTTTTTTTGTCGCCACTATTAGACGACATACACTTGTACAATCCCTGGTTCCAGCAGGATGGCGCAACATGCTACACCAGCCGTGAAACAATCGATCTTTTACACACTAAGTTCGGTCATCGCGTTATCAGCAGTTTTGGAGACGTTCATTGGCTAGCCCGCAGCTGTGATTTGACGCCCGTGGATTACTTCCTATGGGGTGCTGTTAAGGACTGCTGTTACACTAACGATTTTCAAAGAATTGATGAAAATGTGCTTCAAAATTGGGTTAAGAGGATTGACTACTACCAGGCCAGCCGCGGCAGCCATTTAAGTGAAATTGTTTTTCATAAATAATGGTGTATTCTTTTGAATAAAGTATCGAGTGTAAAACATTATTGAAGAGTGTAGTTTTAATACCAATTTAAAACAGAAACCAACGGATGGCTCACCCTTTATTTAGTGAAATAGCTTTCCTTGGGAACTTTATTTTTGATATAAGGTTTGTACAACTTTTTTCGAACAGTTTTCGAGTTGTTGCTATTGATTCCAAGAAAAAAATATATTCCACATTTAGACTTAAAACCAGATGTTCGATGAAAACTTTTTTTTTGCACAACAATACTCATCTTAACCCAAGATAGTTATTCATTGTGAAATTGTTGTAATATATTCCAGTTCTATTGATTCCCAGATATTTTATCACTGGTCCAGTATTTTGTCACAACCACGTTGTTTCAGCAACTTGGGTAACACGATTTCCTATTGTGTTTAACTAGAAGGACCATATATCACTGATGTTTAATAAAACCTAGCGCCCTAATAGTTGGATAGGTCAGCGAGATCTCTCGATCTGACGCCTCTCGACTTCTTTCTCTGGGGCCATGTAAGAGAAGATTATTACCAGGAGAAACCTACAATACCCGAGGACATGAAACATCTTATAAGCGAGTCATTTAAGAGGATACCAAACAATAAACAAACCCTTTTAGATGCGCAAGACAGGCGTCTAGTCTTGGGTGCTTTGCACCAAGGTGATATATTCGAACAATTTATTAATGATTGGTTGCCTTAGGTTGAGATTATTTTTGTTGTGTTAATATGTTTGATAGAATATTTGATTTCATGTTTAGATACAAAATGTATTTGGTTTTTCTTGAAATTAATACCAAACTCAAAAACATTTGGAAAAAACGATGTAGAAATATACATTTGAAACTTTTGAGGAAATGTACCATTTACGTTTTGAGATACCATGTATAAATAGAAAGAAATTTCAGCACTTTTTACAAATCAGCTTAAAATCGATGACAATAAAATTTTTGTGAACTAACATTTATATAAATATCTTCGAAAATGGTGAAGCTGCGAACCGTTAAAGCTGGGCATTTTTTCAGACGTTTGATCAAATATCTAAACAATATTGACAATCTAAACCATATTAAACTTTTTGCTTTTGGGTATATTCAAATATACAATAATATTAAACAATATGTTTGCTATGTCACTTATTAAAATAATTTTAAAATCTGCACTATTAACATATCAAGGTTGCTACAAAACAGATTTTTGATATCCTCTACAGTTTGCTCATAAAACTACCTTCCCTTCATAAATTTATCTCTGTTGGGCCTTTACTATATTAGTAAAACACCTTAATTTAATTTACTGTTAACTTTATTCTATATAATCTCTGTTGCCAGCTTTTGCGAGGTAGTTGCTCTGCTTACCGCAGCATTTTCTGACCGTTTACAAAAACAATATATATATATATATATATATATACTGTGTTCGTATTAGTGATGTGAATTGAAAAAGAAAACTCTTTTTTAGATATCTTGAAAAAAAACATGAAAAAAAACTTGACGCTTTCTTTTTTTTATAAATTTGTTTTTTTTTTCAAATACAGTGCAATAAGATATTTTAAAAACACACTCAATATTTTGCTCAATTTTGTACAGTCTTGTAAATGCTTTGACATTCTTGTGCCGTTTTTTGTACTTTCGAAATACTAGGCAGTCTGATAAGTCCCTGAAAAATGAAACACGGAGACGTTTTTTTGGCCAAAGTCGGGTTTATTTTTCAACATACTCTCCTTTTAGGTCGATACAGCGAATCCAACGATTTTCTAACTTTTTGATACCGTCCGAAAAGTACTCGATCGGAAGGTCTCCAAAATACGCTTCAGTTTCAGCTATGAGCTCCTCATTTGAGTAAAAACGCTTACCGATGAGCCATCTCTTCAGGTTAGGGAATAAGTAATAGTCGCTGGGGGCCAGGTCTGGTGAATACGGTGGCTGAGGAACCAATTCGAAGCCGATTTCGTGCAATTTTGCTTGTGCAACTAAGCATGAATGAACAGGCGCATTGTCGTGATGATAAAGCGGTTTTTTCTTCTTCAAATGCGGTCGTTTTTCGGCGATTTCGATTTTCAATCGGTCCAATAATGATGAATAATATGCTCCGGTTATGGTTTTACCTTTTCCAAGATAGTCCACGAATATTATGCCATGAGCATCCCAAAATACGGAGGCCATAACCTTTCCGGCCCATTGTTGCGTTTTTGGACGCTTCGGAGCACTTCGGCCCGGTGGAACCCACTGTTTTGCCTGTTGCGTTGACTCAGGAGTGTAGTAATGGATCCAGGTTTCATCCATGGTTACAAATCGTCGCAAAAACTCGGTCGGCTTACGCGAAAATAATGCCAAATTCTGCTGGGAAGTCGTCACACGAATTCGTTTTTGGTCCACTGTGAGCAAACGCGGCACCCATCGCGCGCAGAGCTTCTTCATGCCCAAAACTGAATGGACGATATTGCCTACGCGTTCCAATGACATGCCTACAGCATTAGCTACCTCTCTCAATTTCACTTTGGGATCATTCAACATCATATCATGGATTTTTTCGACGTTTTCTGGTGTAGTGACCTCTTTTGGGCGCCCAGATCGTTCAGCATCAACTGTGCTTGTACGGCCACAACGAAACTCCGTAAACCACTTATGAATCGTTCCAATCGACGGTGCAGAGTCCGGGTAATACTTATCCAGCTTGGCCTTGGTCTCGGATATCGTTTTCTTGCGTAGATAGTAGTGTTTGATCAAAACTCGAAACTCGGATTTTTCCATATTAAAAAAAACTCTGAGGTTAGTCGCTTCTCAGTGCTGTAACTTGTAAATGTGTAAACATGAATGGCTGAAGTTTTGACAGGTGTCATTTGAAGGATCAGGCTCGACAAAAATGGTTCGCATTAGTGAATACTAATGCCATCTCTTAGAATTTTCAGGTACTTATCAGACTGCCTAGTAGAATCAACATCGCAAAAAATATTTCCCACTACTGATGCTTTTCGACCAGAACCAACTGGTTTCGGCATATTAATCAGCATAGTCTACACCACAAAAGCCTACTCAGAGAATGCAAACAAGCCAATCGTAAATCAAACAAGGTTATGGGAATCCCCGTCCGTATAATGCTACCGCAGAACGTGCGCACGGAAAGAACGCCTAAGCATATGAATCCGACAGCCGCCATTTTTCCCCTGTCCGGATACGCAAGCATGAATGTTGCCAATTAAATATAGTTGCTTATACTGTACAATTAAAATAAATGATTAGTTACAAATCTCAAGATGAAACCAACCCATAGTTTAACTATATTCACGTTTTTAATTGCATTTTTGAACTTTTGAAAAAACGAATTAGAAAAAAACCGTTTTTCGTTCTGTTTTTATCACAGTTTTTTTTTAATTTCAGAAGAAAAAAAACGATTTTTTACAACTCTAGTTCGTACCATATATCCTTCTCCGATATTCAAAGGAACTTTCTATCTAATGAAATAAAATTCTTCTACTTCGATGAGAATGTTTTGTGACACGACGAAACAAAAATATATCTATATATAAATTTGTAAATTAAATACACCTGTACACATATTTATAAAATGCATTTCTTAATTGCTATAAAGTTTGGTTAACTTTATACTATCTAATCTCTTTTGCTAGGTGGTTGCGCTGCTTACTGCAGCATTTCCTGTGCTCAATATTATTTGCAATACCTAACATTTTCTAACAGTTAACAATAACAATATTTATACACTGTGTTCGTACCGTACTATACCCTAATCTTAATGACCTTTTGGCATCTTTTTGACGTAGTATAACCTGAAATTCTTGTTTTTTTAGGGCACCGATCATAATGAGAGCTCAGTAAGAAAAAGCAGCATATTCTGCATGGTAGCCATCCACAAAGCAGTTAGTGAAGAACGCATGGAACCCTATATAAAATTACTGTCAGGCAGCAAGCTGAAACTTCTCCGTTTGTACATAAGTAGGTTGGAACTACAGACGCCAATGCCGTCATCTCCCACGAGCCCCAAAAATAATACCACGACAGCCAGCTAGTCGTAAATTGTTTTTTTGAGTGAATTGATGGACGACATGATTTTAGAGGTGCAGTAGGAGTGTGATACAGTTTGGCAAAAATGGCGTTTGAAAGCAAAATTACCTTTCAGTCCGCCTTCATTTCTACATACACAGTTTCATGATGGTTTAGTTATGTGTATATACATTTATACACTTTTCATACGAATGCGACATAGCGGTGTACATGTATTGCCTAACACCAAAACGTTCATGCGTAGTTAATACTTCGACAAGCTCATAAGTAGAGATATGTTCACATTCAAATATTTAAATGCCTATACCGGGTGTTTCAAATTCGACTCTCACCATTGGGATCAAACAGTAAGAGATGCAAAGTTGCTTAAATGGAGGCAAAGTAGCGTGTTTAGGTAGCTAATTGGACAAAACAGTAAACGTCATATTGAAATTCTAATTATGCAATCTTGTAAAGGAGAAAAAGTAGCAGTGTTAATGTGGAATTGATTCTAAAATCTCACCAGAAATAAAACCAAGAAAAAATTGAAACGATTTTGAGAAAATTTGTTTTCCGTCTCTTTCCGGTAGTACTTTGAATTTCGGAAATTTCTAAGCGGCATTTTGTTAGTTAACTAAACATGCCACTTTGCTCTCATGAATTTGAAACACCCGGTATAGCAGCAAACGTTTTATGTGTGAATGATATTCTATTCTTTCAGCCGTGTAAACTGTCCTTGTCTGTGCGTATGAAGCGGGCTAAGACTGCAAGAAGTTATACAGCATTTGCAGATACAGATTTTGTATAGGATGTTTCATAAGCATGAATTTATTACAATATACAACGTTTCATCGTGATTATCCACGTACATTCCGTTTTTTGTGCGAAAAAGTGTATCTGATAGAATTTTCGGTACCTTCTGGCAAAATATCATACCTGGCCGTGACTGATACCTCTTTTACAGGACTTATCACTATTTTGTGCATCTTCACGATCGTGTGACATTGTAACATAATCAATCGTAAATATTCATGATCGTTTTAGAATTCTTAACTCACAGATAAGTTGAAGCACTTCGAATTAAACAATCACCTATCAGTGGATTCTCCTCGTCTGTATAGGGTGATTCAACAAAGATATAAAGACCATGTCATCTCACTATCCGCGGCGACTGGTGTGATGTCATGTATCATATTGCTAGAGCAAGAGCCCTATGTCGGATTACGTCACGTCTAGTATTTATATCATTAGTGATTCAAATTCTAAAATTTTTGATGATATCCAACCGCAAACAAGTATATACATATTTTTCTAATATTCTTTTAATAATTACCATACAACTGAAATTTTGTTTCACTATGACAGCTATGGCATGAGAATCTATTTGCCCGGTTTAGTAGGAACAACTATGTGCATTAGATTGCTGACAGCTCCATCTATTAATAAATTGTATAAATTATTCGTCTCTTCTGATGCGTCTCTGCGTGGTATCCGGGCGACCAACTCTGATAGACCTACTGACACAACTATACTGTTTTGAGGAATATTGAATAATTTATAATGACTCCAAAATAAAGATAAATTGGTATTATTAAGCATTGAACGCTTATGCTGGCAGTACACTCTCGTCGAAGCCATCCGAATGCGAGACTCCCCGATGCGAGGCGCCCCGAGGCACGAGGCCCGAGGACACCGTGTATACTCTCGCAGTAAACATCGAACCGGCTCCTTGTGTAGATTCGTGCGAGTGATGGCCAAGAACGTGGAAATTTGTGTAGCTGTAGCCTATGCTGCTTATTGTTACTATAAATATTTGCATATTATATCAACTTCAAAAATCAAGAAGCCTTGGAAGAAAAGAAGATGGTGGGTGAAATCAATCAATCGAAATAGACCGAGGTAGGTATAGACTGACATTATTACGTAATTTGATTAGATTTTATAAAGTGTTTTGTGTTTGATTTGATTTTTTATTTTCGTATAGGGAACACATGGACAGACAGTTGAGCGAATTGTTAATGGAACCTGGTGGTGAATTTGAAAATTTTACTCGAATGTATATAGCTGATTTTGAGTATCTTTTAAATATAGTCTCACCAATGATTTCCAAAAAAGATACTTCAATGAGACAGGCAATAACTCCAAAAATACGGCTAGCAATTACTTTGAGATATTTAGCCACAGGCGTCAGTTTCAAGAGCCTACATTATTTATTTAAAGTTTCACGTGAAATAATATCGCGGATTGTTCCGGAGGTCTGTGCAGCACTGAATGAGGCTTTGAAAGATGAAATTAAGGTAAATAGATTCATTTGCATTTATAGAGCTACAGTTTTATTATAAAATGTTTACATCTACATGTTGAAATGAGTAGTTTTCGAGTTGGTGTCTGTTTTTCCTCCAAAGGTCATATACAGTGCTTGGCTGATAGGATCAGATTCCTGTATGTGTTCTTCCATTTGGTCCTGGGCATGCTCGTTGATACCCTGTGATGAAGCATAGGAACAGTTATTGCTGTTTGCAGATGTAGGTCGAGAATACGATAAGGAAATTAGCGATGAGTTCGAAGGTGGTCCATTGGAACAGGATGGCGTGGCGACAGAACCATGAGATGGATGCATTGCCCTGAGGACCATTTCGTTAATATCATGCATCAAGTATTCTCTTTGAAATTCCGGAATTTTTCGTAGTTTTTTCGCCAACATTCTACCGGATAAATCGCACTCGTCTTCTTTTTCATCATTTCTGGACACAACATTCTTCACCCATGAGAAGGCTTCCTTCATTTCACTTTCTGCTTGAAGCAATTCCGTAGGAACTTGGCGACGACGATATCTTTGCTGAGAAATTGGTAAGGGTGTTGGTCGGTGAGGTTTGGCTACAAGTGCTGCTTGCTGAGACTTAGCTGAGGGTACAACATTCACTACTTCATTGATTTCTGATTCTGATTCTTGAGATGTGGGCTCGAGGGTTTCGTTATCAAGAGAAAGCTGAAAAATAAATACATTTTATTACATATTAACAATATTAACAATAAATGTAATTTCTTATCTTTTTGCAGATGCCGTCAACTACAGATGAGTGGATAGAAATTGAAAAAGGATTTAGAGATAATTTTCCCCACGCCATTGGAGCAATCGACGGAAAACATGTTGTAATCAAATGTCCTGATCACACTGGATCAGAATATTACAATTACAAAAGAACCTTTAGTATTGTTCTTCTAGCTGTAGTAGACAGTAAATATCGATTTATATTTTGTGACATTGGAAGCCAAGGAAGAATCAGTGATGGCGGCATACTTAGAAATAGTGTGTTATGGAAAAATATTTGTGAAAATAAGATGAATTTTCCTCCACCTTGCCCCTTACCCGGATTAAACGTCGATTTACCATATGTTGTCTTGGGAGATGGTGCTTTTGCATTAAGCGAGAACTTAATGAAGCCATATCCTGGCGATCATAAATTGAATACTCCCAAACGTATTTTCAATGAAACATTGTCAAGGTCTCGTGTATTGTCTGAAAATACTTTTGGAATATTAACTTCCAGATTCCGATTTTTCAAAAAGCCAATCGAATTGATGCCCGAAAAAGTGACGCAGTTAACAATGACATGTGTACTTCTACACAATTTTCTTATGAAAAACATTTATAACCCGTCGGGCACTCTTGATAAATATGATAACGGCGTTTTTATTGAAGGGGCTTGGAGGCAAGAAGTACCTCAAAACTGTGCTATTCGATGTGTACCACATATTGCTCGTCGATCACCGATTAGTGCGACTAAGATTAGAGATAATTTCACTGAATATTTTGTGAATTTAAGAAACAAATAAAATATTGTATGACAAGTAATAAGTAATTTTTTTTTTTTTTTTTTTTTTTTTTTTTATATCGAAACAGCCGCGCAGGCAGAAGCCTAAATGCCGGAACACCGCGGCTGCTATGATGATCCCAAAGAAATTTTGTTAATACGATTTTTGAACTGCCTAAGGTTAGTAGAACTGGGAAAAGCTTCCTCCCGTAGTTTGTTCCACAATCTAGACACCCTCGGGATAAAGGAGCGGTCGTATCGGCCAGTTCTGGATGTACGAAGTTTGACACGGTTAGGATGGGACGCCGAAGTCAGGCGGGTCTGTCTGGCAGGCACATCGCGCGGCGGCATCATGGACGAGAGCTCTGAGGAGCAAAGCCCGTTGGTGTAGCGATAGAAAAGAGCTAGATCGCCGACGGCCCGCCGGTGCGAAAGAGTCCCGAGACTGTCTGTTAGAGAAGAGTCATCGATCAGTCGGACCGCCCTCCTCTGGACAGCATCGAGCATGGACAATGTAGTCGGGGCGGCAGCACCCCAAATGTGTGAGCAATACTCGAGGCTGGGCCTTATCTGGGCCTTGTAGAGAGTGAGAAGGTCATGCGGAGAAAAGTACTTCTTAGCCCTAAACAAATAGCCTAGCTTTTTCCCAGCAGCTGCAGCTATTGAAGAGATGTGTTCGTGCCAGATCAGGTCCTCGGTGATCTGGACTCCGACCAACCGAAATGAATGGCTCTTTGGTAGAACTCGACCGTCCATCGAAACTGTATGAGCGCTAGGACGCTTTTTGTTCGTCAAAGTGCAGTACTGTGTTTTGGAAGCATTGAACTGTACAAGATTGTTGCGTCCCCAAGCAGTGATAGCCTCCAGGTCTCTTGTCAGAGAAGAAGTCGTCGCTAGTCTTCTTTTTTCCAGCTCAGCGGCAGAGATCGGCTTGTCACTCTGAATTCCTGTATGTAGAGTGCTGTCATCAGCGAAGCTGTGGATTGGGTTGATCGTGCAGGAAAGGAGGTCGTTGATATGTAAGAGAAACAGTGTTGGAGCCAAGACCGATCCCTGGGGAACACCCGCGTTGACGTTGTGGGATGAAGAGGAGAATCCGTCAATTACGACGGATATCTTGCGGCCAGAGATAAAGTCAGCCACCCATCTGCAAAGCTTTTCTGGGAGGCCGTAGGATGGAAGTTTGCTCAAGAGGGCAGCGTGCCACAGCTGATCGAACGCTTTCGTGATGTCAAGAGCAACGACATGAGCCTCACCATGAGACTGGATGAGTTTACTCCACAGTTGCGTGACGTAAGCTAGGAGGTCCCCTGTGGATCGTTGGTGCCGGAAACCATACTGCCTGTCGCTAATCAAGCTGTGACGTTCGAGGTAGTCCAGAAGCTCGCGATTTATGCACCTCTCCATCACTTTACTTATAACAGAAAGCAGAGCTACAGGCCTGTAGTTGTAAGGGTCGGTTTTAGATCCTTTTTTTGGGATGGGCTGTACATGAGCAAATTTCCAGTTTTCTGGGAAGGTGCCGGATTCATAAGATATCTGGAAGAGACGCGAAAGAACTGGAGCAAGCTCAGCTGCACATCTCTTCAGTACAATGGCAGGAATCAAGTCCGGACCAGAAGCTTTGTTGATGTCGAGCGACAAGAGCACTCGTCTTACGGTCTTATGCCTGAATGTTACCTCCCGCATAGTGTGGGGAACCCTTTGAATTGACGGCACTTGGGCGTTGATGGGGACGTCCATGGTGGAGTTGGCAGCAAAGATCTTGGCTAGCACTTCCGCCTTGGCCTTTGAGTCGAATACAATAGTTCCATCCTGACACGTAAGTGGTGGAAGGCTACTGTGTGAGAAGTTCTTTTCAATCTGCTTGGCCAGCGTCCAGAAAGACCGACTGCCATTGCGCTGCGACATTACCCTGTGCCTAACTTTTATATCATGCTGGGTTTTGGCATTGTGAACCGCTTCGTTATATTTGTTTCTGGACTCGACGTCGGCTTGTCTGTTCTCTACAGTGGGGTTTTGTAAGTAGGTTCTGTGGGCCTTGATCTTCTGCTGGCGAGCAGTGTCACACGATTTGTTGAACCAGCCGTTGGACCCTGGTTTAGGAGCTTTCACTGTGTGAGGGATGTATTCCTCCATTCCGACGTGGATAATTTCGGTTATTGAAGAACAGACAGTCGACGCATCCGCGTCAGTGAAACAGACATCTCTCCAAGGAAAGCTAGAGAAGAAGTCTCTGAGCCCCTCCCAGTCGGCATGTCCGTAATGCCAAGTTTTGCGGCCTGTGCGAGTTTCTGCGGCCACAGCGACTTCTGACCGAAACCTAACCTCCACAACACCGTGATCTGAGTTACCCAGGGGGGACAGGACGGCAGTGCTGTAAGGGGCAGGATGCGTGGTCAGAAAGAGATCCAGCAGGCTACTGGCGTGTGACGAGACGCGGGGGAAAAAAGTAGGGCTCGTCACCAGCTGGGTCAGCCCTTGAGTAAGAGCGAACGCTTCGACTGCACGACCTGCTGCATCGGTCTTATTTGAGCCCAACCAAAGCTCATTATGGGCATTGAAATCACCGAGAACAACTACCCCTGAAGCGGGGTGGTTGATGTTCAGGAAGTCGATCTGGACGGCGAGGTATTCGAGTAGGTCATCCCAGTTATGGTTCGAGGGAGAGCGATAAAGGCAGCAAATAAATTTGGGTGATGTTTTGGAGTTGAGGCGAAGCCACAGAATGTCCTTCCGGTCTGATTCCAAAGAAAGATCCCTGGAGCAGGAAAGACTGCTGCGGACAAAAGCCACAACTCCCCCGTTCTTTCTCAGATTGGAGTGCACCTCATAGTTTGGGAAGTTGAGATGGTTAATCGGTGCAGCCTCTGAGATTTTTGTCTCCGCCAAGAAAAGCACGGCGGGACGATTGGATTGCAGGTAGTGATGAACAGCATCAATGTTGCTGTTGATCCCGCAGATGTTGGAAAAACAAATTTTATCTTCGATGTTGTTCCCTCGAGCCCACCCTCCACCCGGACATTCCGAGAGTGGAGTGAGTTTACGTCCGGAGTTTTTAGTGCTCGAGGGATCCATCATCATTAATTTCTTTGTTTTGGTAGATAACCGACTGCATAGCTTAGGTGTGGAAACATGCGGACATTTATAAGACACCCTGGGAAAAGCTAGCGGGTGGTACTGCCTCGGTCGACTGGTCCTTGTCTACCACCTTCTTTTTATATATTAGTGATGTTAAATAGACCTAAAGTGGCCCGTTGGCGGACTTGTACCGCCACCCGGCAATCGGTACTGAGGTATTCCTTAACGCGAGCGCAATCACTTGGACGGGAAGAAGTTGTATACTGGATACAACGACTTCCGGAACAAGCATTTGCCACGGCCCTCGCTCAGTAATAGTTATTTTATTGAATGTACTTACCGTGTCTTGACTGTTTATGGTAGGGTGGCAGTCATATATTTGACCAAGAAAAGTTTCCATAAAGCTGTATGCAAACCATATAAGTTTGTAAATATCATCGCCCCCAGCACCGCTCCTAATGGACGCCTTTTTCCTTCTTAAGTGACCCCGGAAAGTGGCCATTAAAGAATCTTTTTTCTTCTTTAATTCTGCCACAGATTTGCCTGTAGATTCAGAGATTCGATTCCAGGCGTCAGCTAATTTCTCCTTTCTTTTATGATTTTCGTCAGAGGGATCCCACAAACAAGGTTCGCTCTGATAAAATTCCAAAAACTTGATAGTAAAATCATTTGTCCACTCCATTTTAAAAATAAACAATGTCAACCAATATAGCCGCAAACGAAAACTAATCACGCCACAAATTCCACTGTTCAACAAGAGACCAGCGTGTGCCGAGGTCGCCCGAATATACCATGTCCACGCTCGCGAGACCTCCCACTTATGCTCTCGGTTCCTTTGACTCGCACTGGGAGACCGCTTCTACACCGAGCGCTCCGAGGGCGAGGCGAGAGGGTCTAGGGCGAGGCGGGAATAGTAAGTACACTCTCGCGCTCGTCTCATCTCGGATAGCCTCGGCGAGCGTGTACTGCCGGCATTACAGAAACTAAATTAGGAATAGGTCACTAAGAATTCATTCGATCTAATCAGTTTATTTCAAAATTTGGACTATGATCATACGTTTCTAAGCACGAGTTCATCTGACAGGACTTATTTCGAGCTCACTTAAAGATGCCGATGCTTCACCTATTAGATAGCGTTTTTTTAAGCGATCTATTTGCTAGGACATACATTCAAATTCCTTGCTAATACCTAACCTTACGGCTAATCTAAACACAGAAGTATAAACCCTAAAATATTATTGATATCATATGGACATTCCCAATTACGTTTAAGATTTTGCAAAATGATCAAGACCTGAGAAAAGTACTTTTCAAAATTTTGATAAACTACATTTCTCTATGCTCTAACGTGATAAAAGTATACTAAGAAAAATGGTTCTGTGACTTATTTATGTTTATTTTTTTTGTTTTCTTCGTTGTTATTATAGGGGATTCGGAAGTACAAAAATGGTAACGAAGAGCAATGCCCTTCCAACAATGCTATACATATATTCAGGGTGAGTTTCCCTCCTTGTTGAAAGTCTGGTATTAAAAGAGGTCAATATGAGCATTTTTTGAAAACGAAAAATTAATGTGCTTGGGCACTATTTTAAAATCGCCTGAAATTAGGCAACCTAACTATTAGTTCAGCAAAATACGGCACTTTTGATCGTTACTTAGGCTATACATTCAAATTATCACATTTCTTGTGTTATTTGATTTATCTTGAGTCCAAATATTCACTTGGCCCCTTTCACTTGGCAACTCTGTTTCTTCCAGACTCAGATATAGACGAGAAAACTCACCCTATACGTTTTAGAAGTCAACTTTATGTTGTTCTTATAGAAGAGTATTCTACACGAGCTAGTATGAAAATTTCATTTAAGTCATGGAAAGATACGAAGCTCCTTCCAATGGTAAGATATGATTTTGTTTATATAAAAAAAGATCTTCCAAAATTTGAGAAAAAAGAAAGCACAAGTTTTTTGT